CGATGCGCTCTTCGATGGTCGGCCGTGGTCTCTAAGAACGTCACCCAGTTTGAAATGCCACAAGTCTCGACAGCACACTTGAGACGATCGGAAAAGTGAGTCATACACGCCAAGGTCATGTAACCGCCGTAGGATCTACCCATGGCGGCAATTCTTGAAGAGTCCAGGAACGACATATCGGTGGAAATATAATCAAGTAGCGAACCGATATCTCTCACAGAATCTTCGCGTTTAATACCGTCGTCAGCTGCCATAAACGCTTTTCCATATCCGGACGATCCGCGTACGTTAGGTGCAATGATGCAACAGTTCAGAGTATGAACAAAGTACTGAAGGTAAAGTCGAGGGTTATAAGACGGAACATGCTGTGATTCCGGCCCTCCATGCATGTAGATGATGACAGGTAGTTTGTCTTTGGAGTCAATGCGGTCCAAGCTGACACCATTGTACTTGGCGGGTAGGTAGACAAATGCTGGAATTTCCAACCCATCAAAAGACTTGTAACGAATGAGTTTAGGAAACCCAGACGGGTGAGGTGGATTAGAAATTTCAGTGCATTTATATGGCTTGAGTTTCAGTGTCTCTAAATTGAGAAGGTACATCACCCCAGGAGATGCCACAGAGTCCAAGGAGAAGATAGCTAGGTTATCGTCCAATACAGATGTCTTCAACTTGCTAGCTTTTCCAATCATAGAATCAGGAATGTCGACTTTTCTGATGACTTCTGTAGCAATGTCGAATACATAGAGCTCATCGTATCCGTCGACTAGGGCTTGGATAAGCATTTTGGTTTTAGTCATATGACTGTAGCAAGTCCATGGCATTGGCAACATAGATTCTTCCAGAGTGGGTGTAGTGATGGGTCTTACAGAATCGTTAGAGGCATCATAAATCACGAGAGAAGTGTGTTCAGACATCCAGTTGGTAGAAAGATAGATAATATGAGGATCAGTCTTAGAGAATCGTCCAAGAACCTTGATGTCGGCGTTACCCTTGTGTGTACCAGGGAGTACCACTTGGTCCATCTCCCCTGTCTTAATATCATACAGCCAGAGCTCTACTAGTTGTGGTGAGACTCTGTGAAAGGTTATCATTTTGGAGTCATCGGCATTGATTTCACCCACTCTCCAACCATCGTCCAATTCTCGGATCAGCTGGCCATATTCAGGCTCATCAGAAGGTCGATTCTTCAGATGACGCACATACAGATCCATGTCTTTTCCGTTGCGAGCATTGCATACGTAGAACAGTTTGGAACAGTCGCTGGTTAGAACGAAGGGCCGCGTTACTGTGCCTGGCTTCGTCCAGGCTTCAAGCAATTGCGGCTTTCCGTCAGAGGCAGGTAGAAATCGAAATATTTGGAAAAACTCTTCTCCATTAGAGTCAATGGTGCATATGGCTCCACCGTCCCTACGCTGACCATTGGCATCTTCATCATAGTCAATGGGAATGAGTGTCTGGATGATGTTTCCTTTACCTCTGCCAGTCAAGAACGTGACTTGGGTTGCAGTTGGGTCTTCCGTTGACGATGTATAGAACACCTCATCCGACTCACTGCCTTCGGGCTTCTTACGGAAATAGATGGCCTCGGGCTTGTTGAAGCTTTGATGATCAAACTCGCCTTCATGATTTGGATGAGCAGCTTGATAAAGGCTGAATTCCTCTATATCTTGAGAAGTGATTTCAGGAACGTTGATCGTTTCTACGCAGGCAGGAATGAAGCTAGAGGACATCATTGGATGTATACAAGGAGTATGATAGGGCAATGGTACGGATTTTTTAAATTGTATTTATATGGGTCCTTTCTGGATGATCGGAGCTGTAGGGCTTACCTAATGCGAACGATCTCAATGTTATCTGAGCTGCATCCTTCCTTGTCCAGCCAGGCACGAAGGAATGAAATCCAAAAAAAATATAATATCCTTGAAGTCCTTTGGTCCCAGAAGATATTACCTTCCCATATCAATTTCAAGACAATTTTCGCTTCTTCTCATCTTCTTTTGCTGGCTCGCTCTGCCAAACACGTAAGAAAGAAGAATGTCACGAATGCGACGCCAACAATTCCACAATTATAGTTTACCCAGCCGACATTAACTTGTAGTAATTGTCCTAGAATGTACTTTCTGAGTGCGCCAACCAAAGTCAGCTTGATAACGACTTTCTCACTAGTTCTCTACAACATTTGAGCCTGTCAGATTTTTATTTCTAATTTCTAGGATTTATGTTTCGATGAAAGTTGCTTTTGGTGCAGCGTTAAATCAATTTTCCCTTCAACTCCCAACAACCGTCATAAGCTAGGGATATCGTACGATCTTATATTAAAACACTTGATACTGCGGTTATGGTGCACGACATTACATATTTAGGGAGGCCAATAACAAGAAGCGGAGCCTGCTAACCGGAAGTACTACTTTTGCGTGACCATACCAAATTGTTACAGCCACCCAACGACTTTCTTACATTCTGATACTCGAGACATGTTCGCCAGAATAAAATCATTTCAGGCATGTGTATCTATGGGGCGAACTAAAGGCGATTGATTACGCGTCGCCTTGATATGGTGATTAACTTCAAAACGCCGTTTGACTGCAGGTTATGATATTCAGTGAGATTTCCAGATTTCTTACAATGTGAAAAGCTAGGAGGCTCAAACAATGAATATTACTCACGAAACAAGATGAGTATTTCTTCGTTTTTTGATAAGTTTACAGTAATTGCCTGAAAAAATTGCTCGCAAAAGGGAACAACCGTTTACCCCAATCGTATTGAGAAGGTCATCTTCCAGTTTTAATTCTGGTTGGGGTTATTCTTTTGGACACGCATTTCTTAGTACAATTTGCCTCCAGTACTTACATTGCCAAGGCGTCCTGCGATTGCCTAAAGATGTAACTTATCCCCTATCCTGGCGTTCCCGACGCCATTCAGCTCGTTTCATTGTTACAGCGTTTACCCGAAGACAATTTCTCTGTCGACTACCAAGGAGGCATGTGGTGGTACAAGACGATTGTTTCTTAAATGTGCATAAGGGTTGGTGCTCAAACTCGCTTCGTAACATTGGTCTTTTCTAGCATGTAGCGAGGCTCTCATCCAATCATGCTCCTCTACTTTTAAAAAATGACTTTACCTCATGTAACCTCAAAATCCACAGCCATTAGTACCACTGGTCAGTGTTTGCAAGGTGTAAATTCATGGAGTAGCACAATTGAGAATTTCAATGTCACGCACAGCTAACCATGGACTCTATTTGAATACGTTGTGGTAGCAGCCGTCATATGCCGAAAGAAGAACCACATTTGGCAGGGAAAGTGGGTGGATGTTTATTATTTTAAAGTTTTCAGCAGATTCGACATGCATAACTCAACAGAGATGTCAACAGATATGTTGATAAGCTGCTTAACCATGACTATTGCAAAGTATATCATTGTTTTGACTTAACCTCACAATGTTAGGAGCTCACACTACCCTTCGGCTCGCATTCGGCTCGTCTTTGGTTGAACCTTCATGAAATATAAAAATTGTATGAGAATGTGATTATAATTCGATGTCTCTTTGAAAATCCGTTCACCCATCAATAGCTTCATATACTACTAGAAATTCTTTACTCCAATCATGGCCCGATCATATATGATAAATTCTAACTGTTCCCCTTAGATGTCAATGAGCTATCGAATATAATCAACAACTCACAAACAACAAGAAACCAACAACTTCCGTGTGTGGGATATAAAGCTTATTTGTTTATCGATGCCTTTTTTCCATGACTTGACTGTTGAACGTTCCGTTCACAAGTATTTGTTGTAGCAACTGACCATCGGCCAGCTGAGGGGACAGTGAAGGTCCCACGATTCTGTTACCGAAAACAGACTGGTGCCGGTCTCACTCCGACAAGACGTCATGTCACGCATTCTAACAACCCCGTCCTATTAATCAACGGATTCGATAGACTTCTTTTCTTCCCCTATTCATTCCGTCATGTCCCCTTCAAAAAACACTGTTAGTTCTACTCCAAGAGATGCTACCATCATGCTTTGGACTCATCCACGCTCTCGTTCCACGGCTTTCGAGAGAGTTTTCATTCATAGAGAGGACATAGAATGCTTTCATGAACCATACGGTGACTCCTACTACTTTGGCCAGGGAAGAGTGTCTAAGCGGTTCAATGAAGATCACTGCAACAGCCATGAATGCAATAATGCCACATATGAAAGCGTTACAAAGGATCTGATCAATGGCACCAAGGGCAAGAGGGTTTTTGCAAAGGATATGGCATACTATTTGTACAGTAGCAGCAACCGCAAGCTGCAGGTTCCCATGGAAACCCTCAACAAGATGCAGCATACATTCCTAATTAGAACGCCTGAAAAGAGCATACCTTCCTACTACCGATTATGCAAAGGTGATACCACCACCTTCGATCATTTTGATCCCAGTGAAGCTGGCTATGCTGAGCTTCGAGAATTATTCGACATGATTCGGGAGTACACCGGTGAAACGCCGATTGTTCTGGATGCAGAGGAGCTGGTGACGCACCCAAAGGATTTGATGAAGCGCTACTGTGAGGCTATAGACTTGGATTTCACTCCAAACATGCTTGAATGGCAACCATCAACTGTCAAGCAATTTGACAAGTGGACCGGATGGCACGAGTAAGTGTTTATATACTATTCAGTGGAGACGAACAAACAACTGATCCACATTTCGTTATGTAGAGAGGTACAAAACAGTACAGGATTTGGGCAATATGTCAATGCGAACAAAGAAGAGAATGAAGAGATGCCTGCTATTGTCGAAAACACCATCAAGGCCAACATGGAAGACTTTGAATATCTTCGTCAGTTCTGTATAAAGCTATAGCTGGGCTATTGAATTTTCTGCTTTTTTCTTACATTTGTATCATTACGTTTTACATCGCATCTGCGTGTGGTCCTCCTTCGTGAACCCTGCTGTCGATGATTTTTGGAATATATATCCTGGGTGTTACCCTTCGCTCTTGCGCATCAAGATTGCCGCACAATATATGTTCAGGGGGGGTGCCAACAGCATGTTTTTGTTTAAATTGTTGTTTACATGGCTGTTGTTCTTGCATGATTCTTTACAGTTTCACAGGGCCCTGATAAAATTCTTTCTTCCTCTTGTGGGCTAAAGGTTTCTGATGTGCACATGAACGAACAAGTCCTTAAAATCGTAGAAGTAAGTAATCGTAACCACTTTGTTCAACAGCTTTGCCTCCACTGCCATTGATGATAGAGCAAATATTTTGCTCAAGGTCAAGGGGGCTACTGTTTAAGCCCATATGCACTCCGAACCTCCAGCTATTGTTGTATGTACAAAACTAATCTGGACATTATCTTTTCTTTTTTTTTGAAACGAATGACTTTTGACAAAACCGCAAGTGATAACGTTGGCGATAACGCAAACGATACGGCGCAAGGGCATGTCTGAGTTTCTAGTCTCCGCCAATGGTTAGTCGATTTACTCAACGTCAGCAATATTGCAGCTATAAAGGATTGCGCTGAAGACACAAGGAAGGTAGTCTAGAAACAAACTAGAAGCTTTACTTTTATATGTTGTAGGCTCTTCACAATAAGTCTTAAAGTGCTGTGTTATAGAAAATAGCTTGCACCATCAAGCGTGGGCATTGTACCTTTTCCGCGTGACCTCAACTTACAGCGATTTTACGCCATCATCCGCCTGCCCTGAACTTTGTGTCTTTGCTCTTTCATACTCGCTTGGACTTATCATCGATGACGGGTCAAGTGAATACTTACCTTGTGTTTATGGTGTTTACGATTGCCTTGGTGAGTCGGTTAAACCTGTTGTTGGTATTAAGACATCCGTAGCTAAATGGAATTTTTATCATAGGGTGCGTTTCAATATGGATACCATATAGGTGAACTGAATACCCCGCAAGCTATCATATCCAAGTGTAAATCACACGATTACGACCCTGACCCCGATCCCAGCACGTTCTATGCCTTGCTTCCACCATGCATACCCATGAGTGATTCCACATTTTCCTTGGTGGTGTCCATGTTGAATGTCGGAGGTCTGCTGGGTGCCATATTAGCTCCTCGATTCTCTGATCGGTTTGGTCGCAGATTGACCCTGTTTGGCAATACTGGCTTGCTCTTGCTTGGGTCACTTTCCATGGGTCTCGCCACTAATCTCTATATCCTCCTGTGGGGTCGCTTCTTAGCTGGTGTAGGTTCTGGCATCATCACAGTGATATGTTCCACCTATATTGCCGAATGTGTGCCTGATGATCTGCGAGGTATCTTTGGTGTATGCAACCAGCTCGGTATTGTTCTCGGAATCCTTGTTGCGCAAGTGCTTGGGATGTTTTTATCCACACTGTCCGGTTGGCGATGGATTCTTTTGATTGGCGCATTTTTATCGCTTTTTCAAGCCATCTTGCTTCCATTTTGTGTGGAATCCCCACGTTACCTAGCGGCCAAAGCCGGAGGTTATAATGCGGCCAAAGCTAGTCTGGTCAAACTGCGCGGAACTGAATTCGTCGAAGATGAAATAAATTCGTGGCGACGAGATTGGGCTGAAGAAGCTGGCGAGCAGCAACAACTTTTGAATGAACTCGATGATCCACAGGAGGAAGGAGGACAAGCAGACCACCATACACCTTTAGTCCACCCGTCAAAAGCCCAAAATGTGGGTATGTTCAGTTTTCTCACGTCACCTCTTTATCGCAAACCCTTGTGTATTCTTCTTCTACTCCACGTTACACAACAATTTTCTGGGATCAATGCGGTCATTTTCTACTCAACCTCCATCATGACTCCTATCCTGCCTCAATACTCTGACAAGATCACAGTGTTCATTTCACTTATCAATGTTACCATGACCCTTGTGTCTGGTTACCTCATGGATCGACTAGGGCGAAGATCGCTCTTTCTATATTCGTCAGGCATTATGGCTGCTGTGACCCTCGTACTTGCATGGAGTATGGACACTAACATGTGGCCTTCCCTATCAGCTGTCGCGATCATTGGTTTCGTTGCTGCATTTGCCGTGGGCCTTGGTCCTATTCCATTCTTAATGGTTCCAGAAATTGTAGATACCCAGGCGGTGTCTACAGCGAGTTCTATTGCGCTTTCCACCAATTGGATTTGTAACTTTGTTGTCTCCGCTGGATTTCTTGTTGTTCGAAATGCCCTAGGAGGAGGAGGCAAGGTGTTTTACTTGTTTGCTGTGATACTGGCCATAGTATGGGTCATTGCCTACCGAATTCTTCCCGAAACCAAGGGCCGTAGTGTAGAAGAAGTGGTTCGATCGAACTGGGCAGTTAAACTTAATTCTGTCAGATTCCAACCACGTAGCATAGCGTAAGCTTAATTCCATGTAATATACACCGCATTGTGACAATTGGCTAGCTCGGGTAGCACTCAGAGCATGTGAAAAGAGGACTGTGGAGTTTGCTTAGATGAGCGTTTTTGTATGTTTATGGTAGAGTTCAGTCTGAGAAAAACATTCAGTATCCGCTTGAAAGGGAAAAAAAAAAAATTGGCAAACATGTTAAATAAACCCGCGGTAGTAGCAGCTCCTCCACCCCCGCACTCCTCTTTATTCATTCATTCATTACAATGTCTGGTCCCTTGACGTACACCTCGCTTGATCTAATCCCCACCGCTGTCAACGACCTTCGCTCTGTGTACAACACTGGTACGATGATTGCCTCGCTACGGTTCAATTTTGTCGCGATATTAAAAAATTTCCACAGGGTTAACAAAGTCGCTTGACTTTAGAAAGCAACAGTTGCAGCGTCTTGCCGACCTTTGCCTTGAGAACACCGATGCGCTTATCGAGGCACTTCACAAGGATCTTCGTAAACATAAGGTTGAAAGTGTTATTGGTGAAATCTCACCTGTTGTTGATGAATGTCAGTTTATGATCAAGGTACGAAGTTCGGTTTGAAATGAGGGTTTTGACATGTTTCGACACTAATTCGCAATTACAGAACCTCAACAAACTGGCCAAGCCTGAACAGACCAGCAAGCGTTTCCTCATGAACGCTACTGACAAGACGTTGGTTCGCAAGGAACCCAAGGGCGTGGTTTTAATCATTGGTAAGCGCCATTTCCCTGAATGGCAAGTCTTTTCATCAAGCTATCCGTTTTTGCTAACATCGCTTTCCTTTTTGGCCGACATTTGCAGGTGCTTGGAATTATCCTGTGAGTATTTTCAATCGATTGATCGATGAATGCCTTAACGCTTGAACTAACCTCGTTCAATAGGTCAATCTCTTGTTGCTGCCTTTCGTCGGTGCCATTGCTGCTGGTAACACGGTTTTGCTCAAGGTAAGTCCCAATTTTTAATTAACTGTCCGCTCTCTGATTTAATATATGTTGGTGTAACGCCCTAACAATTATATTCTTAGCCTTCAGAAGTATCAGCTAACACTGCTGCATTGATAACCGAACTTTTGCCTAAATATTTGAGCCAAGATGCTTATCGTGTCATCAACGGTGGTGTGAGTGAGACCACCGTCGCTCTCGGTGAGTAAAATACACGAAAAAACCAGAAACCAGGGTAAAACACGAGCTAATCATGCTTTGCTTTCAGAACAACGTTTCGATCACATATTCTATACTGGTAACGGTGCTGTCGGCAAGATCGTCATGACTGCTGCTGCAAAGCAACTTTGCTCTGTCACTCTTGAGTTGGGTGGAAAGTCACCTACTGTCATTGCTCCTGATGCTGATTTGGACGTCACAGTCCATCGTTTGGCTTGGGGTAAATTTTACAACAATGGCCAAACTTGCGTGGCTCCTGATTATGTCCTTATTCATAAGCCCTTGTTGAAGCCTTTCATTGAAAAGCTTCGCGCTTTCCTTGAGAAGAGTTATGGAAACAAGCCTCAGGCTTCCGAGTCCTATGGACGTATCGTCACTGACCGCCATTTCGACCGCCTCAAGGCTATGATTGATCGTATTGATGCTTCCAAAATCGCCATTGGTGGCCAAACCGACCCCTCCGATCGTTTCATCGCCCCTACTATTGTCACTGATATCTCCAACGACGATGCCAATCTGATGATTGAAGAAATCTTCGGTCCCATTCTTCCCGTCCTTGTGTACGATGAGTTGCAAGAGGCCGTCGATATCATCAATGGTCGCGACTATCCTCTAGCTCTTTACATCTTCTCCAAGAGCGAAAAGACCGCCAACTGGGTTTTGGACAGAACCCAATCTGGTGGCTGCTGCGTCAATGATACCCTTATGCACTTGCAGGAACTTTCACTGCCATTCGGTGGTGTTGGTCCCAGTGGTCAAGGCAATTACCATGGTGAACGTTCTTTCTCTGCTTTCACTCATGAACGTACTACCATGTACAAGGATGCTTCCGCTGAAAAGGTCAATGAGGTCAAATACCCCCCTTACAATGAAAACAAGTACAAGGTCTTGTCCTTCATGGTCTATGGATTGCCCGGCTCTGTCAGTCGTAAGGTCAAGACCTTCATGACTGTTTGGATGGCCCTTTGGGCTGTCTTGTTCTCCAAGAAATCCAAGCTTTAAACAGGACATCTGTTGGTGACATTATAACTGTAATCCCCATTCCTTATTGTTGATACTCTCTTTTTGCATATCAAATACTGTTTATGCTGGATCAAAAACAAAAATTCTTTCTCATCATCCTACTCAGTCTTTCTATACCTATCTTAACGCATCACTATAGGCTAAAGTTCAAACCATTCCTTTTGCATTAGCCCAATATTATGAACTACAATGAAATTTTTATTCTAGTTGTCATGTTTTTGCTCTAGCAGCGATCATATAAATTATCTCCATTTGTAATGGAAACCATGTGTTTAAACCATCGCTCTGGAGTGGCATACCGGGGTGTCAATATCACTATGGTTAGTCTATGCGACGGATGCCAAAAGGCTACCGGCAAAATGGCTAGTTCGTATCACCATTTTCACTAAACTTGGCTTTTCTTTCCCGGTAGCTGTTACTCAGTCATACTGGTTTCAACTGACCTTGAGATTCTTCAATCTCAGTTATTGACACTGATCTTCTTCTATTGTACAATGAATGACACTACACTACACGATTAATAATGGATTTGAAAAAAGATTTGGTTTTGTTTTTATTACCCGACTATAGGTCTAGATCCTGCTACAGAAGGAATTGGACAGCCATTATTAATCTTCAGCCGTCTCATTATCCTGGTTCTCTGTTACACTATCTGTAGTGTTATTTTGTTGAGCCATACGCCAAGCTGCAGCCATTTGCAGCAACTTGAGGTTGGGTTTCTGAGTCTCATCGTCAGGGAAGATGTAATCGTAGTACTCTTCGTAAACCACATTGTCTTCTCCTTCGCCATCGTCGGTCTTTCTTTTCTTTGATCGCTTGACAGTGCGTGGCATTTTGCTCTTGACAGCCTCCATTGTTTCGTCTGTACCATGGTTCTCTTCAAAGTCCTTCCATGATTCTAGTAAGATGACACGCTGCGAGAGAAAAAAGACATTAAGTAAGCCGATGGACTAACGTGGTAAAAAGGAGACTTGCACAACATACCTCTTCCTTCAACTCCTTCTCCTTCATGCTCTTGTAAGCATTCTCAAACACTTTTCGAGCTCGTACAACATTATCACCTTCATCGCCTTCTTCAACCGAGAGCTCGAACTGTGCATAACTGACGTACACCTTGACATGGGTCGTTCGCTCCAAGAGGCGCTCGTATAACAATCTAGTGCGTTCATATTCTTCTTCGTTGAACTCAAAGTCTGATATGACCAAAACACAATTTTTTGTTTAGTCTTGCTTCATTTTCAATGGCCGCACCGCAATCTTTCTGTGCACTTACCAATATACGCTTTCCAAAGGATTTCTGGCATATCCAAAACAGGCTGATTGACGGCCAGTTCAAAGATAGCACGGCATCTCTCGTATTCTCCCAGTAACCGTTCAACTTCGGCGAACTTGATCCAGGCAGTGCAGTTGGCAGGGTTATATTCCAAGAACTTCGTATAAAGTGTACGACATCGGTCAAATTCGCGAAGTTGCATCTCAAGTTCAATATAGCCTTTGAAAAGTCGGTCCTTGGGGCACATGCCGATAGCGCGACCCAAGATCTTTCTCGCCGTGGTGATGTCTAAGCGGCGAACTTCAAACTGTGCATAGAGAAGCCATATTTTTGCAAAAGTGAATTTTTTGTGTGGTATCAAGTTGATGCATTCGCTATATATTTGACGGGTTCTGTCGTAATCCTGGATTCATCAAAGAGTGTTCAATGAGAGTGAAGATGATGAAATGTAGTATCACAACTTCAACTTACCCTAGTTTCGAGCTCTTCATATAACGCATAGTTTATCCAAAGATAGATATACCTTCGCCAGTATCGCTTTTCCTCAGCTGGTGGCACTTGTGCTATAGCTCGCTCGTAAACATCTCTTACTCGATCAACATCGCCATTGTCCTCTTCTAGCCGTGCATAGTCGAACCAAACATCGTAGTTTTTAGAATTCGCTTCAATTTCTTCTTCGTAACGCACTCGTCTTTTGCCAATGACAACTCCTTCTATGCCTTCTCTCGTTCCATATTGCTTTTCAAACAATGTGTATTGGTTATAAAGAGATTCCGACTTGGATTTTGGCAGACGCTCAAGACCATAGTTGAAGATGACACGTGCACGGTCGAACTAGTCGAAGCAGAAACACAACGTGAGCAAAAAAAAATGATAGCCATTCAGATCATACCACTGCGACAGCTGATGACTTACCTCCTTCAACTTAATCTCAAATTTGGCAAACGCAACAAGAACCTTTTGGTCAATGTGCTCCTCTCCCAAGAATTCGATAGCCTGAGAGTAGATTTCTCGCGCTTTTTCTTGATAAAGCAAAAAAAAAAAAAAAAGCACTGTTAGCCATGGAGATCAATATTACAGCCGCACCAAACATTACCATACCTAAATCATTCTGTTCTTCTTCAAAACGGGCCCATTTAAGCCAGTTCTTGGGCTCAGGATGAATGCTCACAAAGCGGCCATAAATAGCACGAGCACGTTCAATCTCCTTGTACCGCTTCTCCATCTTGATATAGGCGTTCCAGGCATTCTCTTCCGGTTCCCACTGCATCCAGCGCTCAAAGACTCCGCGAGCTTTTGGAACGTCGCCCAACATTTCCTCCATATAAGTGTATTTGTACCAGAACTGGTCAACGCGAGGAAGCATGGTGACGGCACGATCGAACAAGTTTCTAGCATAGTTAATATTTCGGTTCTTCATTTCCATCTCGGTGTAGCGCAGCCATATAGCCACATTTCGACTATCGACATCCAACGCACGTTCAAATACGGATCTCGCACGGTCGAATTCCAATTGACTTTCTTCCCAAGTGGCGTATTTCAACCAACTTGACATGTTGAGTCGATTCTTACGGATCTGATCTTCGAATTCTTTACGTTTTCGTTGACGCAATTCCGAAAGTTCTTCGAGGTCACCAATCTTCTGCTTAGGAACCGAGTGGGCTGGTTCCAAGCGACGATCGTGAGCCTCACGTAGGATCTGTTCAGCTGTGATCTGAATGGGGGCGGCATTCTTATTTTTGACCTAAACGGAGGAAAAGGGCGAGGAAAATCAGTTATGTGGAGTGTGAGAAAGAAGCGTGTCTCTGACGGTTTTGAAAGACATACCTTTGGCGGCCTGGGGTTCTTTGATGTTGGCGGTGGAAGGGACGCCATGATTACAGACAAAGACTCAACGGTGCGTGCTGAGCCAACGTGTGGAGGTAATTCTTTGCAGCTTTCAATTGAAGACGTGACGTCACGCATATTTTTTCTTTCCAGCTTTATTGTTCCTTTTCAATTTTTACAAACCTGTCTATTATTACTTTCACTACATTCTAAACCATGAGAAGCCGAATTCTTCGAGACATGAAGGCTCGTACCGCCGTTGCCAACAACGAACTTATCAGACAGGCTTACCGATACATTACGCGTAACGAAACCCTCCCTGCTCGAACTCGACATCAAGCACAATTGGCTTTGAACTCCCTGCCAACCAACACTGCTCCTGTCTTCCTTCGAAATCGCTGCTTGGAGACTGGTCATGGCTCCGGTGTATTCCGGGAATTCCGTTTGTGTCGTTTCCAATTTCGCTTGAAGGCACTTAATGGTGAACTTCCTGGGGTCAAGAAATCTTCGTGGTAAATAAATAGGTCCCTCCACAGTGGATTTGCCGTATTTTATTCTACCAAGCCAGTTCTTTAAAAACAACAAACAGTTAAGAAAAATATTCCAAACACAAACATCAATAGGCATTTTATCATTTTCGTATTATGCCGTACACCCTGTATCATACCGCTTCCCTTTGCTTTACCCCTCTTCGGTGTCATCTTTTAATAGACCATCCCCTTCGCATCCCTCCCCCCATAAAATAGACCAACAGCGAACAATAAAAGTAAAGATCCAATGAGATTTAGTCTGCTGCTGTGATTAGAGGAGGCATGTTCTCTACTTGATTTGGTAAATGTGGAGATTTGGCTTCAAAATAATTAGAGCAGTCCATTTTTGCTCATGAACTCTTTCTCTCTTTCTCACTCTCTCACTCTCTCGCTTGCTCTTCTCATTCTCCTGGGTTCCATTCTTGTTTCAACATATCCTGAGCAAATCCAAATAACCAAATGCTACAGGGCCCAGCGTTTACCTCGGCCTCTCTGCTATCTCGAAGCTTTTATTCTTCTCGCCCTCATACAAGTACCTCCACACCTACTTCTGCTCCCACCGCAGATATCTCCAACATCGTTACAAATGGCCCTTGTACCTCGAACAAAACAAGAGTCCGTATTGTGCCAAGCTTGGACGGGTCCAGTCGGTGTGTGGTGTTCAATATTATCGATCGCGAACTGACTCCCGGTACGATGATTCGGATAGGCCGGTTTACAGATCGAGGCAGTGATGAGAACCGACTTACTTTCAAGAGCAAAGTGGTTTCTCGTAGTCACTGCGAGCTTTGGGTGGATCATAATGGCAAGGTATAGTTTATTGAATTCCCGTCAGTGAAACCAGGCCAACATCATGTGTCACGTCGAATGACTTCATATGGCAATTGCCTTTCCCACCGTGGCTGACAGTATTCTCACAGGTTCATATCAGAGATACCAAATCATCATCTGGCACCTTCTTAAATCACATTCGTCTGTCTGCTGCTGGTCAGTTATCTACATCACATCAGTTGTCGGATGGAGACACTATTCAGCTTGGTGTGGATTATCAAGGCGGAGTCGAAGAGATCTTTCGGGCTGTGCGCATGAAGATTGAAATCGATAGACCAACCCAAAGCTCTGCATATTCACTTGCCACTTTTCACCAACTCAAGGCCTTAAATACAGAACAAGCCGATGTCGATGAATGTTGTATATGCTTGTACTCTATTGCTCCGCGTCAAGCCCTTTTCATTGCCCCTTGTTCACACCATTTTCACTACAAGTGTATTCGACCGCTTTTAGCCTCGCACCCCGCATTCCAATGCCCTTTGTGTCGTGCTTATGCCGATTTGGATGCCTCTGTCGAAGTTGATCTGCCCCAAGACACAACCCCCGTACAGTTACCCCAGCCTATTCCCATTACCGCTGCCAATGAACCTTCTTCGCCAGAGTGTGTGGGAGGAGCCACCTTTGTGTCTGAAGTGGAAGAACCACGACCCAGAGAGACCACACTGAGCCCTGAGAGTGACGAGGAACACGATGCTATGGCCGAACTCTCTCGACCGCCACCACAATCCAATATCACCTCTCCTCTGTCTTTATATCAACGACGACACAGCTCTTCTGGGTTTGTTGACAAGCTGAAGATGGTTATCTTTGACAAGCGTCGCTTATCCTACGTGTCAGGTGGAAAGCGTCGACGCAGCCATAGTGACGATGACGACGAGCAGGATACTCCAGCTACATCCCCTATAGATCAGCAGGCACCTATGTCCACGTCTCCTTCGTCGTTCTCTGCCCATGAACCCTCTTCAAGTCGAATGACTACAAGCGTCTCATTCCTTGGAGCATAAACAAAATCCCCCACAAGCAGTGTACGCTAATCAAACCAAAAACTGTATCCTGCAGCTGGATCCATCTTTGATTAGGACGCTGTTCTGCCAAATTCTTACCTATGTCCACAACCGTATAGTTCAACTATCCTTGTTTTTTCTATCCATTTTCTTTTTCTGCTTGTATCATACCATTGAAAATGCTGTTATATTAAAACATATATATATATATTTTGCCCTACCATGTCTCTTGTTAATGTAAAGAAAGAAAATTGGGTTATGTTAGTGAATGAGTTCTCATTATTCTTCAAAGCCCACGTTCTTACCCCTTCAAAACGGAGGCTCCTTCTTTTGGACGTACCCATGCTGAAGCCAAAAATTGCTAGCATTCATCGATAATGACATGCCGGTGGTTCCACTCTTGATGTTAAACATCACAAATTGAACTAGATCCCTCCAACAACTGGTTGGTTTTCCCGGTTAATACTAAGGAGCCCAAGTATTTGTAAAGAGGTCTGGAGATGTAAGGGCCATAAAGCAGATATAGCCTGATGGCATAACCAAGATAGTATACATCGTAGCATATAGTCGATGAAACATCCTTTCGAGATGACAGGCAGATGGATGAACTTGTTCAAAATGTTTGTCCTGCTGCCTGTATCATTATTTGGTATTCACATTGACAAGGCCCCCTGATGCAACATATAAATCCTCCCTTGAACGCAAACATACAGTCTCTGTGAATGGTACATATCCAGATGTTTATTAAAAACATACTTAATTACAGTTCAGCGTGACAACACTCTATGGAATAGCTTTCACGTTATTCGGATTCTGCCGCGCCAGATTACCTTGTATCAAGCTCGAAAATGGAAAACCGTACCTGACTTATGTGAACGTTTTGATACCTCAGCATTTTTCCCCACCTTCCATTCGGTATTCTTTTTCTCACCTCCCAGCCATTTTCTTATCCCCATGATTGGCCTAATGCTTCACCCATCAATTTTTGATTTCGCTTTGTCTGGCTTCTCATGTTCCTGTTTTGTTTGGTACGCTGCTCAATGCAGTACGTTGCGTCACAACCTTGATGCGATGGTCTGCTCTGCATGCGCACATGGCATTCCTTTTGCGGTTTGGTGCATGTACCATAGTTACACACTGCAGTTGCTTGCAAAGAAACCAGTGAGCACAGTCTTCAGCTACCCCACATTTGTTTTTCACTTTGCTGAAGCTGTTTTTCTTGAATACAGTATTTTTTTTTTTTTGGATAATAAGAGATAATCGTTGAAAGGCATGAGATGGGAGCAGATAATGTGTAAGTAGCCAAGGGTATTCCTTGTCCTGCCTCACAAGACCCGCCGTAACATGTGATCCAACGCTTGTGGGCCGTCGAGAAACACACCGAGCGCTAGAAAGTGATTCATAGCTTAAACGGCTAATGGATGAGAACTTGGTGTCAAACCCTCGCATGTCCTTTTGCGCTGGTGCTTTGTTGACTTTGCGTGCCTGGAACAAGAGCCGGCCCAACCTCAGCGTCGCTTGCAACACAGCGGAGTTAACACTGCTTAAAAAAATACATCGAGACCCTATAAGAAACAAAAAAAATTATACGCTTTTACCACCAACTCGTACCACCTCCATCTCGGCCACATGTTCAAGGCTTCAATCGCTTGGGCCCTACTGGCATTGTTATGGGCATTGCCTGCTCAATCACAAACCAATCCTGGCAATGGTTCGTTACTTGTAAACGTTATCTCTTCATTTGGTACCTTGTGCTAACCCTTGAACCTTCAGACACGGCGAATGGGTGGATTGTAGAAAGTTATGCCGGGTACAATATACTGCACAACCTCATTGCTCAGACTTCCTACGCCCTAGTGCCACAAGGACCAGTATTTACGAATATCACTGGCAATGTGCCGCAAATTCAGGTTCCAATCACTTCGGCCGCTATTGATACATTGGATATCCTTGGCTTTGCAGAGGTAAGAGATCAAAGATATTTACTCACAGACAATTGAATCAGGCATTGAACATCGCTCCTGTTAGCTTTTGTCAAGCAACGTCACCAGTTCTTTTACAACTGGCTCTAGCAATATCTTACTCGCGAACACATCGCCATGTTTCACCATGTCAAATAACGCTACCGCCACGTACACTTTCGCAAATGGAACTAGCACAGCCAATAACACCATCGTCTTTTCAGCCAATGACCCGAGCCTGACTCCAATCCAGGTAAAGAACATGTAGGTTTTGGATTCGGTGCATATTGTGTTTACTAATCAAGAGTCGAACGATGGTAGAAAGCATCTTGGTTGATATACCTGGCCTACTTTTACAATGAGGAGCGAGCAGCACAACTCACAGTTCTTAACATTATGAGTCAATACAATTGCATTAAGACTCGTGTCAACAGTGGAGTCAAGGAAAAGTATGCTATAGCTTGGACACAAGCAGATATGACCACCCCTCAGGTGTATGAAATCAGGGTTGATACCTATGCTAAGACCCTCATCGCTGATGCGGCTGCCAAGATGATTGCTCCCAACTCTGCACAAGACTCCACATACTCCAACGTTGGCAATTTTCATCTTGCTTTGAAAGGAGCTGATATGCTTTTGGATACTAGCCCTTTATCGGAAGGTGAACTGTGGCCTCAATGGCTGAGCATCATGAACATGGTGCCTGGCGCTTCCTTGTTTTACGAAAGTGAAGGCTACTATAAGAACAGAAAAGTATATCGAGCTGACGGTCTGGTGAGCAAAACTGGATATTCTAGTAAGTGTCAGTGCAACGTTTGGTATGCAACGCAAAATGAAATGCTGAACCAAAGTCACTAGATTTTCCTGAACGATACGCTGCACGACCAGATTTGGCCCTGATGGATATGATCGCGATACAGTATCCCACTTTCCAGAACACTTACAATACAACCTGGCTTTATAACTTTGCTCTTGGCTCTTCACCACAAAGCTTCCCCGCCAACTACGTGTGCAACAATGCCTATGTAATGTTAACGAACCAAATTTCCTGTTATCTGGATGAACCTTTCACGCCTCCTGCAACTCAAGCTGCACCTACCAACGAGACGGAGACGGATGATGGCGGCAGTAACAGCAGCAGTGGTGATCAATCCAGCAGTCTTTCGAGTGGTAGCAAGGCTGGTATTGCCATTGGTGTGATCGCTGGTGTTGCTGCTCTGGGAGGCGCGGCATTCTGGTTCTACCGTCGAAGACCTACCGCTGAGCCGTCTCACAACTTTTACAAAATGGATGAAATTTAATTCAGAAAGCCCCACTCGTATTATCCTAATTAACTCTCTCCATTCATTTCTCTTTATGCCATGTCATATCTTTAAATTGCTAATGTACATCTACTTTGTTTGATTGGTTTCTTCGTGCTCTACTATAAAGAAGCAAAGATATTTGAAAAAAAAGAAAAAGACATCATATGAATGAACGGGATGGGGAAAGTGCTTCAATGGGGACTGAAAAACAGTCAGTAAAATGTGATTACAACGAAAGGATCTATCATACGGCGACTTTTGCCCTCCTTCAGTCTTTCTTCTCTTGGACCTTCTTCTTCTTTTTGCTCTCTAATAAAGCCATGGTCTTCTTGCTGGTGGCGAGTGAATCCTGGATCGCCTTGGAGATGGATGCGACCTCACTCATATCTGATTTGGGAAGTTTGACCTCGGGTTCAACAGGCTTAGCCTTCTTCGCGACCTTTTCTTCTGCCTGCTTGTTTGGTCGCTTGAGTGACTTGGGATTCTGTCCTGTCAGTCCTGCGGTCATGTCGATTGGCTTATCTTCGTCTCTCTTCTTCTTCTTTGGTTTACTCTCTTCCTCTTCGGCACCAGCCTCCTTCTTCTTGTCCTGTGCGCCAAAGTGTTCATTCCACGTAGCACCTTTACCCAACTTGAGAAGCTTCTGAATTCTCTCTTGGTCCTATTTAAATACAAACATGAGCGCGCTGGGTCGGTAAACTCCAATTCGATCCATGATACTCTACCTTTTCCTCAATGGCGGGGTATCCTCGGAACTGCTCGATGGGAAGCTTTGTAAGAAGTTCAGGCACTAGGGGAGTAGTCAGTAAGCAAGCTACAGCACATATCATTGTCATAATGCTGAAGGCTTACCGGGAAAGCACTTGAAGTGGTACCATGTTGTCTTTGACAACTGCTTTTTTTCCTTCTTGCTTCTGCGGAAGATCTCTCCACATCGCAAAGATTTATTAGGAATCGTTCGGTTGCAAGTAGCGCATTTGGATGTTTGCGATTGTGCGTATTCGACGCAATAGGTTATTATTGGTTTATCGGCTCCCTTGACGTCGCTCATTTGGTATTTCGTGAAAGTGATCAGTGGATCTTGAAACTTTTTTTTTTTTGGGCAGCCATTTTGCTGGACGTGACTGTTTGATGAGTGCCAGCATGAAACTTCAACCGTCTTTTTACTTATTCAACCGTCTTTTTACTTATCCATTATGTTAAAATTTTATTGGTTTGGTTGGCGAAAATATAAAGGGTAAATTTACAAGTTAGTTCCCACATTTGCGAGAAAAGGGTGTTGCAACAGTACATCGGCCGTAGGTCGTTCTCGGTAGTCACTATGGAAGAAAAAAAAAGAATTAGAGAGACGACACAGGCACAAAGATGTCAGCCAGAACTAGACTTACAGATCAAAGGTGCGGTTCAGGAAATCTTTTGCGTCGTCGCCAATATGGTCTGGTATATTCGGTGCTTTATAACTTCCAATCTGTGCGAAAAGATGATGAGAACACGGACTTGCCTAGCCCATACACAACCCTCAACTGACCTGAAATATAGCTTGCATCTGCGAAAATTCAGGGAAAGGATGGTCACCGGTAAACATTTCTACCACCATGCACCCAAGTGACCAAATATCTGCTTTGCGGGTATACTGTGTTTGCTTAACAACTTCAGGGGCCATCTATAGTATGATGAGAGGTGAGCCATCAGGTCGAGTCGACGCAAATACAAAATGGCAACAGCAGAAAACATACCCAAAATACGGATCCTTGAAGACTAGGTCGATTGGCCGAAGCACCAGAAACCAACATCATGTCTAGAAACAAGAATGAGTGATTTTTGTCCTTTCTATATACGTTACAGACGGACGGACAAACAGTCGCTAATGGACTTACCATCTTCGACCTTTTTAGATATACCGAAATCCGAGATCTTGACACCACCCTTGTTATCGACTATAGTGAAACGGGTCAGTAAACCATGGCTACCATTCATTTTCGCATCCTCCCAATGCACCTCACCTAAAACATTAGCACCCTTGATGTCGCGATGTATAATGTCGCGCCCATGCAAGTAGTTCAACCCCTTCAAAATCTGACGTACAAAACTGCACACCAGAGGCTCCTTGAAGGCACCATAGCTAGCAAGCAAGCCAGCCACTGATCCACCAGGCACATATTCTAAAAAGATACTAAAATGCGCTTCGTCGCATTGAAAACCGAGATACTGCACAATATTTTCGTGGTGAAGATCTCTCAAGAGGGCAATTTCTTGTTCTAAGGCACTAATCATGGTTCGCTTTCGATCTTCTGTCGCACTGTTGACAACGGGCAGTTCAACTTGCTTGACTGCCATGAGCTCACCGCTGATAGGACTGAGTCCAAGGTACACATCTCCAAATGTACCTCGTCCGATTAGAGAGCCCTTCATCCACTCCACAGGCGCAGCATTAACTATAAAGGTAGGAGGTGTTAGGAAATCGCCTGTCTTTTCTTGGAAGTCTAGCTTCGTCTCGCCACGGGCAATCTCTTAAATAAAGTACTTACCGTGAATGATGGGCTCGGGGGCAATGGGCTCTGTTGGGCTAGGTTCCGGTGAAGGTATTTCAACCACTTCTGGGGCCTCCACAGGGGTGCCAACAAGCGTTAAAGTGGCAGACACAGGTGTGTTGAGCGACACTTTGATATGCTGAGCAGCCTTGTCGGCTAAGGTGGTGTCAGTATTAATCAGGCTGGATTTTCGAGCAGGCATATGGGACTCGACATCACCGTCCGATTTGATGGTGAGGAGAGTAGAAAAGCGCTTATTTTGAAGTGACGTTTTTTGTGGGAAGGATGTAGGCAATTTGAGTTCGGCAGGCGGCCTAAATGCCTCTTCCTCCTCAACTTCAAAACTTTCTTCTTCTTCTTCTTCTTCTGCCTGAGCTTGTAGAGCTTCCAATTCCTCCTGCTCAAACACCTTATCTAATTCCAATCCAAGGACAGATGCCAACTCAGGCATCACGCTATCTCGACGTCGCGATGTTGACATTCCACTGCTGTGACTCGCTCGTCGCATCGACATTCGCTTGGCATTAAATCCGGCCGTCTCCAGTATTTCTGGCTTATGATTAGGGAAAAAGGAAGGTAGGTTGGACGAAATCACTTCAGACGGCGGTCTTTCGCCAAAGAATTGTCGAAGTTTAGGGGTATGTGAGCGATAAGCGGCATGCGATGAATTGAAGGAAGCCACTGAGAACCGAGATGATACAGATGTTCCTCCTGATTGTGGCGTTGTAGGTGCCCTTTGGTCCCAGTTGGACGACTGCTGAGTTGCTGCTGTCGAGTCATTGCTTCTTTCAGGTGATGGAAAGTAGGATGTGGTTGATGGATCCGATGAGAGTTTGCCTGATACTGGCGGTGTCGGCTTGGCCATACCGTTTCCGATGCTGGTAATGATATCCACAGTTTGCTGCCGGTCAGGTAATCCATGGTGCAGTGGCTGTAATGATGCGTAAGCGCCAATGGGTGAAGGTGTGCCGGATGGTCCCATAGCTGGGGCCCAAGGAACAACAGTTTCCTCATACATCTTTTGAATCTGATTTCGTTTTTGAGTGATTGTGCCTTTTCTCTTAAATTCTTCATGAGTTGGATACTGATGTCGTTTTCGTAAAATGAGCCTTTCTTTTTCTGGTCGATCTTGGGATCGACATATCTCTTCAAGCTCTTCATCGGAAAGCGCCCGGGCTAATAAAAGGAATTCTATTGGTCTTAAGGTCGTAGCGATATCATTATTTCAGAGAAGTCCATACCTGCGCCAGTATCACTAGAGCCAACAAAGATACAGTATTTGGATATGTTTGCTTCTTCAATTCCAAATTTGTGCAAAACCTTTGCCATGATAGACCGTACATCCGTAGCATTATGAACATTGACTATACGAGTTTGACCGTCTTCTCCAAACACTCGAACGCATGTCTAAAAAACCATGTTTAGCATGCAAGCACCACTTTATGGATCAGCCATCCTATTCTCAGCTTTACCTGTTTAACCTTTTCCATAGACATGATATTTCCTTCTTGCGAGCTCCGCTATAGGCGAATGTAAAGTTTAATGAAAATTGACAGAGTACATCGCAACATTTTGAAATCTTCTCTACTCACTTTTGCATTTGGATGCTTGGGACTAGTCGGTAATTCTTGGCCGTTAATCTTTTGAGAGCGTTTAGAGTCGGATCTTCCAAGAAGTCGCGAGAAAGAGTTGGATCGTTGTACAGAGGGTTTGTAATCCAATAGTTTGTTGGCGGGGCGTTCTATAATGGAAGCACTGGCAGGCGGACCAGGGGCAGTGCTTTCGTAGCGAGAAATCGAATCCAACGTCATTAATGAAATGTTGGGATGATAAGGCGTAGAATATGCGCCTTGCGGTTGTCCTCGACTTTCATTCGCACTCTGCTCCTTAAAGTGTAAATGGTGAGTTCAATTATCAAGGCCGTATATTTTGGTCCACCGATGCGTAAATAAAACGATGCTCACTTTTGCCATCCTTGCAAAATATGCCATTTCATTGTAACACTCTTGTCGTAGATGTCGAACGGCGGTCAGGATTCGCACTCGCTCTCCTACTGTTTTGATATCCATCTCTTTGAGGGTTGGGTTATCGAGTTCCAGCAGTACCTCACCATTAATATTATTTTCTATAAAGTAGATTGTTCAGTCTTTTCTTATGCCATGGCATTTTTTATCCACTCATCGTTTCATATAAGTATACCTGTGAATTTCTGAGTGAATTGACCATAATTTAACGATTCAAGCCAATCAGCTACATCGCGCTCTTTCCAATGCTTGACAGTTTCAAGCGAATAGGACCTCGTTGTTTCGGTGGTCTCTGGGTAGGTTGGAGTTGTGGGGGATGGGGTTGACCGCCCAAAGAACGTCCGAGAAGGAGAGATCATTGCATTGGTGTTTGAGCGGATGGAGCAACAGCAACGCTAGGTCTTGTGAATTGAGTTTGAAATTCAAAAGTTTGGCTGCAGCTCTCCTTTAGGCTCATGATGGCTTAACAAGCCGCCAGCTAGGCTTGTAGATATGAGCGATTAAGAATACCTTCGAGTCTTGACAATAATGACTTGCTAGCGTTCGACAGCACTCTTGGATAATGATGATCTGTCAAAAGCTATTAGATCTAAATAAAAAATTTACCTCACTACAGGCTCTGTGAAACCGTGCCTCATGATTGGACCATCCATCCAAAACCACCACTGCTCCGTACTTTCTTTTTATCATTCATCACTTTCCCCCATTCATTCAACAATGCTCTGGAAATCTCTCTCAGTTATAACACTATCACTTATAACTGTCATAACCGGAGCTCCACAACAGCGGCCATTTATGCTTCCAGAAGAAGCTCATGGCCAAGTATGGTCATTGTGCGGCGATTCGTCATCGCACTTACTCCGGTCATACAAAGGAGGAGTATCAGTCATCCCGGAATATCCAAAAGTTGGAGAGGACATTCAAGTCATTGTCAACGGATACTTGGGTAAGTACCATGTTTCAAGGCGAATGACCTTACAGCATGTATAGAAATAGTTTTGCTAATGCTATACATTATTAGATTCCGACGTCCAGGGTGGTAATATTGGAGTAGATTTGAAGTTGTTGTCATTGATCAAAGTTAACAAGCAGTTAGACCTTTGTGGAGCCTTGAACTCAGATATTATGGGTTATCAAGACTGTCCACTAAAAGCTGGTGAGCTTACACTTAAGGCACACGCTTATATTCCCAAAGATGTCCCAAAGCTTCCGCTGAACGGCGATATCCACATCACTGACCAAAATGGCAACACCGTCACCTGTATTCACCTCGATTTTAAACTACAATGATATATTTAACAGGGATTCTAACATCCTTTTGTAATTATGAAATAAATGTCTGTACATGCTCTAAACCAAGTTTTCAGTAACTCATTCCAACAGGTTGAGTAATGGCAAACTTTTGCTCCACTTTAAGGACGCTAGTGACGACGCGGAACTTGGCCCGCATCTTGTCCAACAGCGCAAATGTGTCTGTTTGATCTTCATTTGCATCAGGAAACTGGTCAATCACTGACTGTAAGCTCTGTATCTGCTTGGTGGCTCTGCAATTACAATATTTAGAATTTCAAATCATCCCGCGGCTGAAATAGACCGATTGCTGGTTAGTTACCTTGATGAGAATGATTCCGGATGTGCTTCGACTAGCTTAGTCCATAGAGTTGCACAGCCAGTATAATAGCCTACTTCGTTAGACATTTCGAATCCTTTTTCACAACCTAATATCCGTCCTTCAACGACTCCTGACTTTCTTCCGTCGCGCAAGCCGTCTTCATGACCCAATTCCTGGAACCTGGGAACATGACGTCTGTTAGTAAGGCAATATAAATAGAATCACTGAATGTTACGTGCATACATATTCTCAAGGTGGATCAAATTCTCTAGATCGAGCTCATTTGGAAGTGGTTGTGACATTGCTGACAAAGGAATGGAAGATGGACAGATTATGAAAAAAATTGTGACTTGTAAGACGGTCCTGCAGATTTGCTTTGCCACGCATTCCCTTTAAAAGCTTTATATCTGTGCCTGGCCGATCGTTTCAAAAAGGCATATTAACAAGTATTCCAGAACATGACAATTGAAAGCTCAAAGTGATACAACAATGAAAGTTCAGGTACCAAAGTTATACATATCAACCTCCATTTCTACCTTTAAACCAAGAAAGATACAGTTGAGGGCATTCCATGAATACCGTTACGCACAACTCTAGCATGGAGTAAGCTGAAAGCCAGTTCGATACTTAATGTCATTTTTTATGTTGCGATCTTTGGAAGCATAAACTTATCTTCACATCGGCTCGCCGTCATTCCTGAAAAGGTACCTGATGTGCATGGTTTATATTACGCATACTGGTGGCAAAAGTATTTGGGCATGACGTCCACTGGACATCAGCGATCAGTATTTGGAGATATGTGAAATGTTAAGGAAAAATGTCTGTTTACGCCTTTGCTTTGATTTGGCCTTAATGTTTGTATTCGTCGCGAGAAATGTTGGCTTACGACTGGGGTCAGCCCATACAAACAAGTAGTATTGAATCCAGCGCAACGGCGATGCACAAGAAAATGCGTTTCGTTTCACATCACGGTTTCTTTTTTGTCCCTCACTGCCCGAACCCCCTTGGCCGATCTCTTTACGAGCACGAACAACTTGTTGCTAGAAGTCTTTCTCCATAAATTCCCAAGAGGCAAGAAAATAAATAAATAAAGATTTTACACCAACAGTTAAAGGAAAACAAGATATTCGACATTGACTGTGGCTGCGCTTTGAAACTGTCCTGCGGGCTAGTTCATTATGGGACTAATAAGCGAATCTATAAGTGAGGCGGCGAAAAACGCTTTTCATGGCATCCGATGGGGAAGCCGAATTGCTTGGTACGGGGAATTTTTTGACCATTCACAATAAGACATTTCCGTTCGCAACATATATGGAATGCTTAGGCAAAAACTTTGACATACTTGACATTAGAATGCTGTTTTTGAACAAGATAAACAGTGATCCCATGGATCAAAAAATGACAGAGACGGCAAGTGTAGACTGACTGGAGTCGGTGATGTGGATCAATACATTTTTTAAAAACAGTAGTAGATCAGTTGCAAATTGCATGCTCACATTAATGGTTATAGGATAAGCTGGGCTGGGCTGACTTGGTCATGGTCGGAAGTATATCAAAGCGACCATCTCGACAGACTTCATTCTGTCTTCTACTTTACGGGAGTTTAATAGGCGTAAATTTTTCGTTTATATAGAACACCGGTAAAACCTGGTATCATTCTGTCTTTTTTCTTTTCGCGGTCGTTTTCCCTTCTGTTTCTATATATACATACATTCGAATCATATATAGATATATATTTATATATACATATCGATAGATTCCATCAGTTGTTCGGCCATTGATGCATCATCGCCTTTAAATATTATTTTTGATTTCAACAGCGCTTTCACTTTTTGCTTCGACTAGACTTTGTTGAACGCCGACCATTCCTACTTTAATATTACCACAGCATATCGATACAATGACAGGCTTTCGCGCCGTACAGCGCCAGCCGCAGGCCATGTATCACTCAAATGAAGACTATCTGCACGCCTATAATGCTACAAGGGATCGCGAGACTTCTCAAAGCGCAGCAGCAGCAGCTATTGCAGCCGCAACTCAGTTCCATCTCCAACAAGGCCAGCAAGGCCATCAGTTCGAAGGCCAATACTCCCAGACTATCCGTAGAAGAATACAGCCAACTCATATAGGTTCTAGGATACCTCAACCGAGTGTTTCTTCTCCTAGTTTGTCCTCAGGTATAGCTGCTCTTTCATCCTCTACATACCCAGCTGAGCATAACACTAGTATGAGAGCTCCTTCACCGAGTGGTACCAGTCCCTCTACTCCACCAATGTACCGTAGTGGCCGCGCATCCATACCAAACGCCCAGTATGTAATGCAACAACAGTCCGCACAACGACCAACGCTACACCAACAACCACCCAGGGATTTTGCAAATGCTTATCCTATGAAGCCAGTGTACCAGCTATCCTGCAAACATTGTTGCAACGTCATTTGTGCTCGAGGTATGAAGGCGATTTTGCTGGCTGACACAAGAATCGAATTGTACAGTACGGATACACCTCCGCGAGGGTAAGTAAGAAAGAATTTACCAAATTGGAACAGGATGCGGGGAAGCGGAAAGCTTCAATGGCCTCAAAGAACACAAAATGATCGAAGATCAACATGTGGTCATGTTACATTCTCCTGACCTGTGAATTTAAATTTCTTCCAGTAGTATTCAACTAATGGATAAAGACTATTTAACGCGGACCTGCCGTTGTCGCATTAGGGACATCGCTTGTCTCGGATGGTACGTATAATGAAAATATTTGCGTAACCACCGTGTATTCCGCATCCTCATTTTCTGTCTATTCAAGTGGGAATATAGCTGGTTATCACGTAGTGAGCCCTTGTTTCCAGTGTCTAGAAGCCTGCAACAATGGGCATTTCTGGATGTTCCATTCCGAATTTTGTCAACCATCCGAAAGAACAGATCATTCAGGTATGTATTGTAAAGATAAGATTGACACTGTGAGCCCCAATACATGTAAGTTAATCGATTCTGTGGATAGGGAACAACACATTGCTTTGGTCAAGTTTACCCCGAGCTGAAATGGATGTGGATTTTTTCTTTGGTAATACTATTCGACACGAAACCATGTGCCGTTAACCCGTATGGAATTGGGTACGCTGTGCAAATCGTTGACGATATCAGCTTGGCCAAACTGAATGGAACAGTGGACACAAACAAAGATGACGATCCGAAAACAAAAAGAAATAGACATTAAAAAAAAACACAATTGTACCAATTGTTTGTATCAACAACCCTTGTCATCATTATTCTTGCTTTTAACAAGCTTCTCCCTAATTTTTGTTATTGCTCTTGAACGCAAAATTGTAACATCTAATCTAACCCCTTCTTATTATCTAGACACTTATGATTTCTTTGTTTTGTATGTTTTATGCTTTATGTTTTGCTTTCTACTTAATCGTTCGTACTTATGTTTATCTTACTTTCGTTGCTATAGTTTCATCCTTCGAACCGGCTGGCCAGAAATACCTTTGCTTTTATCAACCCTGGTAGCTAAAATAGCTGCACGCCACTTCCTATATGAGTTCAATAGAGCCGACACTCAAAAGAATTTTTTAATCCATGTCGAGCAGCTTCAAAATAAACATCCTGTTGCTTCAAATATGTCTTTTATTGGATCTATCTTAAATTGAAGGCTGATCTATCACATGTAACAAATGAGCACATTCTCTATATTACATGCCCTTTTTTGCATGCCGGCATATCTGGTAGTTTCTAAGAATCTACAATGTGTTCAACTGTCTCCAGTCAGCCGTGTTGACGTGTGGCAATTGTCGGTGTTGCCAAGGCTCAAAATCTTCTGTAAAAAGTGTCTGAATAATTTGACAGATATCGCCGTGAGCCACCAAAACCACCGTTTTTCCTTGCATCTTGGACTCGATTTCATTGATGAACGCAGCGGCACGCTCAGCTACAGACCGAGGTGACTCTACATGGTGTGAGCTATTTTCACCATGTGTTTCGCTGGCATCCTCTTCCCAACAAATGTCGTAGTTGCTATCCGATTGAAGTTCGTAATCACCATAACCACGTTCACGGAGTACAATGTTAGGTTCAGGAGCGGGGATGGTTGCACCTGACAAAGACGAGGTACTGACAAGCACAGAGTGAAGAATATCTGCAGTCTGCTTTGTTCTGATGAAGGGGCTGCAGAATATCACAACCTGAGGCTCAACAAGAAGTGGCGTGTTACTGGCAGGAAACAAGTGATCGGAGAGTCGAGTAGCACTTTCGTATACTTGGCGTTTGCCTCGTTCGTGCAAGGCCCATCCTTCACCAGTTGCTCCACCTGTAGATGGAATGCCATTCTCGGGTAAGCTGACAATTAGGCCATTGTCATTAGCAATGGAATAGCCATGACGCATGATGAAATAGCGATTTTGAAGAGGTTGATGCAATAACCGTGACGAACTCATGACACTTGGTGAGGTTCCAGGAAGCATGGATGATCTGAAAAGCAACGTTATTTGTGAAAACGGCCCTGAAATCGAATTTTAGCACGGTACGGCCCTAGCGGACCATCAATTGACTGCTCTACAGTACAAAGTGAAGACAGACATTATGGGTCCACAGGTTAACAAAGATGTTTCTTTCTCATACCTACTGATGTACCTATTGAAATAATGAAAAACACGATTATGACTCTTGATGTCCAGATATTCATTGTGTAACTGAGGCAAGCTCATGCTGTATAGTAGAAGTATTGCCCTACTTCTGCGACTTCGCTTTATTATTATCCGTCAGTCCGAAGGTCTGAACGAATATGATCCTAGAAAACTCCTTCCCCTACACCTCTACTCAGGCTCTAGACATGAATAGTGCAATTCAGTACATATTGAAAAGCATCATATAGCTTTCAAAGTTTTATTATCTGGAAATTCTGCAAAAAATGGAAATGGTTGCCGGACATTAAGCTCATGTTCGGTCACTCCGAACTGAAACTAATAAATGTGTCCATTCATTGTGAAAAGGTGATGAGATACTTGAATCGTTATTATTACACTACCTTTATCTAATTAAACAACTTTGAGTCGGTATCACTTAAGCTTCAACATCCGAACATATTCAAAGAGTGGCCGATCGCGACCGACTTCCATTGCGGATAAGTTCATTGGGAAGCATTGACAATTATCAATTTTATTAAAATCTATGCGTTGTGCGTTGTATTGATAAGATAAGAAAAAATACTCACATTGTAATATTTTCGCATTGATTTAATGAAACGAAGTGTGTCTTAATTATACCATAAGAAGCGCCATATTATATCGAGTCAGTGCAGAAAACCGAGAACTGCAAGACAAGATGGAGAACCATTTGAGCAACATACCTTGCTTAAATCAGCAAATAAGCTATGCGTATGCTCGTTATTGTTATCACAGCCCTTTTTATTGAAATTAATAAAGCTTTTGTCATAATCAGGTTATTATAGCATCTCCGTAGACAAGAATTGTGGTGCTCCCGGATGTTGCTTTCCTGGCGGGACAAAAGATGGTTGACCTTGACAACCAGGGTGAGGATAAACTGCAATCTCGTCGGGCGTAGTATTGATAACGGAATATGCTTCATTTGGGAGATCTTGGCAAATACCCACTTTATTGGGGAGTGACTTAATTACACCATCTTGAGTGGTATAGTGTATTGAGTAAGAGCCAAGGGCATTAGCAGAGAATCGAGGACTGCAAGATAAGATGACTGCTCCTATAGCTAAGATGAGCATGAACGGTTGCATATTAGACAATGAGTTTAGTCGATGTTTTGTAAAGTGATTCCAATAGAAAGGAACGTAAAACCACAGGTTTTTATATTTGCAAGTTTGCGGTCAGGCATTAGGAACAGGGAGATAGGGTAAGGAGGATGATAAGGACGAAGGGTGAGCAGGATATAGTTGCCTGCTTGTGCAATGCAAAGGGGGAGGCACTATAATTGAAGGTAGTCGATTTGTGAAAACGAGCAAGTATGCGCAACTAAGGACGTTTTGCACTTGGAGGTTTAAAGATTATTTTTGCTCAATGGTTACCGACAGATTTACCAATTTTGAGACAGAGAGGGTAAATATAAGATGAGAACCATTTGAGTGACATACTATGCTACGAATCAGCAATAGGCCATGCGTAAATTCGTTATCATTATTACTGCCCTTTTTATTGAGATTAATAAAGTTTTTGTCATGATCAGGTTATTATGGTATCAGCACAGACAAGAATTGTGGTGCTCCCTGATGTAACCTTCCTGACTCGACAGGAAATGGGCGACCTCGACAACCAGGGTCAGAAAAAAATAATATAGTGCCGGGCGTAGTATTGACAACAGAACGTGCTTCATCTGGGAGAATTTTGCAAATACCCTGATCAATGGGGAGTAGCTTATATGCACCATCTTGAGTGGTATAGCGTAGTAAGTAAGGGGCAGCAGCAGTGGCAGATAACTGAGGACCACAAGATAAGATGACTGCTCCTGCAGCTAAGATGAGGGTGAATGGTTGCATATCAGACAATGAGTCAAGCGATGTTTTGATAAGTGATTCCAATAGAAAGGAACGTAAAACCACAGGTTTTTATATTTGCAAATTTGAAAGCAGCCATCGGCGACAGGAGATGAGGGTAAAAGGATGAGAAGGGCGAAGGGTGAGCAGGATTTTGTTGCCTCCTTATGCAATGCAATGGGTAGGCATTATAATTCGAAGGGTTGAAAACACTTGATTGGTAGAAGTGAGCGAGATATGCGCAACTAAGGACGTTTTGCACTGGAAGGTTTAAAACAATTTTTTGCTCGACGGTTGCCGATCAGCTTATTAATCTCAAGTCATCGACGGGAAAGATAATATGGAGCACAATTTGAGACACATACTTTGCTATAAATTAGTAAACAAGTCCATGTCCATCAAAACATTTGCTTTGAACGTAAAAAAGTTTTTATGATGCTTGATCGTTATGATCGTTATTATTACTGTCACTGTTTTTATTTGGTCTGTGCAATGGTGTCGAAATCAAGTGGATAACACATTTATAGACTGAAACATTGGTGGGGATGGATGGTCCTTTCCTGTGGTATAGACAATAACTGACCTTCACAATAAAGAATCGAAAGAGCCTAAAGAATTTCGGGCGTATCATTAGAAATTAATGCTGACACTTGTGGTATCTGTAGTACACCAACATTTGAACGCACGGGAAGTGCTTAGGTGAACTATCTTCATTTGTATAGATTATCGATAGAGGATGGTAGAGACGGGTTGGGTGATAGAAAGTCTAGGACCGCAAGATTGTAAAATTGATCCAATTGCCAACATTATATTAAGATCATTCGTATTTGAGTGTAAATTGAGGTTATTTTATTGAACTTAGAAACACATCAAAAATGTCCAAAGTTATCTTGTTAAGATGAATAAGTACAGTAGTCTTCATATACATCAAATTTGACAGAAGATTAAGTAAATCAGTAAGACAGGGAACAGTCATTGGCTACTTTACCGCTGGGAGTAAGTATTGGCTGCCGAGAACTCACTGGCATAGTAGTGATGTCTGGACGATAGAATAGAAGGTTATTGAAGAGGCCAAATGAACAAAGGCCAAAACGTCATTTCTTTGCTTTTTGTCTTTCATAACCTTGCTCTATAGATTTTAGGCACAAGTGGGTGCATTTCCGCACTTCGAAGAAACAGTGACTACTTTATCGCTTTTACAACCTGTATCTTCCTTTCATTCTTCTACATGAGCTTATTCAATTCAATTTAAATAATTGCCGAGATATCACTGACTGGTACGCCTTCGTGAAAGCAAGTATTCTTGAGACTTTTTGAACGTACATATTGAATATCAGTGGTTATGATATATTTTTGTTAGGAAAGTTCAACCAAGGCTGCTTCTTTCGGAAAACCTTAAAGTTTACAAGCTTTCTTATTCGAAAAATGAAGGCAATACGCTATTCAGAAGAAAATAGAGATAAATGCAATTGATAGCGTGGGATCGGAGGATAAAATGACTGACCCAACTAACAAAATCAAGATAGATCATTGATTATAAATCTAGATAGTATTAAAACAAGTTTGTTCATCCACAAGGAATATAAACCCGTAAGCACTTATTCCTTACAGATTTGAATCCAAGAATTCAGAAAAAGAGAAAGATGGGGAGATACTGGCTTCTTCGAAGGAGCCCAAAGGAGAGGGACCCTGGTATCTTGAGTGAAGATAAACACATCTCCAAAGAGTGGTAATAGCTTATGATAGAAGGGTGCTCTATGAGTCAATGTAACCGATCAAGCAATTTGCAGTAAAGAGCCGTGGCGTTTTTGGGCTCAGCAGTCTATGGAAATAAATAGCCATGATGTCAAATGATCGACATAATGCAGGGACATGGGTGCCTGACGTTTGATTTTGTTTCTATGTTTGCATGCATACAACCGGAAGGGTGCTTTTTCAGTTTTTAATATATCCTTGTATTTGATCTGTTGACTCTTGATAGCATGTCGCATCATCCTACGAAAGGAGAGCATCTAATTGTTTCAACCTAGCAGTAATCTACATATACGAGTTTGGAAAGCACGAAAGAGAACAAAGTGTCACATCCAAATTATCTTCGTCTCGAATGAAGAACAATATTTATAATACATTCTAGTATAGTGTGTATGGGTCCTAATCACAAATGACGCCAAACATTACAATAATTCTTCCCTACTCTTGATAAGTAGCTTGGCAATTGCACTTCCTACTGCTCTGCCATTAGTACCGCACATACAGTATCCACTTCAATAGATATTTCGGTACCAATATTTTGGCTTCTTTCCCAGAATACCGATTGCAAAAGAAACTGGTAAATGATCACTCTATTAATTATTTCGCGTTAATTCTCGGGGAAACATGAGCAGCCCGAATATCAAATCCGACTTCAAGGATTTTTCGCTGACCTTGTTTTCTTTTGAGGTTGTCAACAGTTTCTACAACATGGTTCAAAATTTGCATGGAGACATAGTAAAGGTTCCTATCCTCGGTAACGAGTCCATTATCCTGGGGTTTCATTTGATTCCCTTTATAGCTTCGGATTTGTTACAAAATGTAAAAGCTTCAACATACGTTATTATCACGGACAGCAACATTGCTTCTCTCCATCTCGGTCCGCTGATGAGTGCTATGAAAGCCGCCATGGGAACTCAAGGATGTGCGTCTCGAATTATAAGCCGGGTTATAAAGCCAGGTGAGCTATCCAAGAGCCGAGTGACGAAGGCGGCACTGGAAGATTGGCTATTGTCTGAGGTATGCACTCGTGACACATGCCTCATCGCTCTTGGTGGTGGTGTCATTGGAGATCTTGTCGGCTTTGTTGCCGCAACGTTCATGCGTGGAATTCCATTTGTTCAAGTACCAACAACTCTACTGGCTATGGTAGATTCATCCATAGGAGGAAAGACAGCCATCGATACCCCTCATGGAAAAAACCTCATTGGTGCTTTCTGGCAGCCAAAGCGTATCTATATGAACTTGAGCTTTTTAAGCTCACTCCCAAAGCGGGAGTTTGTGAACGGTATGGCGGAGGTCATCAAGGTATGCCAGTAACTTGCGTCTTGCATCTTGCGTTTTGCTCTTTTTTCTCATTCTAGTTATTAGACTGCTTGCATTTGGAGCATGGATGATTTTATCAAACTTGAACAAGGGGTTGAAAAGATTCAAGATGCGGTGCTCAAAGGCGTTGAGGACAATGTAACAGGTACTGTAGTAGAAAATGAATTCAGCCATAGAAATAACCAATGATTAATTATGAATTAATGTTACCAGGAGCTACGGTGGACACAAGAACAGAGGGTCAATGTCTGTTGTTGGATGTCATTGTGTCATCAGCCCGGGTCAAGGCGCATGTTGTAACGGTCGACGAAAGAGAGACTGGCTTAAGAGGGCTTCTCAATTACGGACATTCCATTGGCCATGCTATTGAGGCTATACTGGCGCCAGAGGTTTTGCATGGAGAGTGTGTTGCCATCGGTATGATCCAAGAAGCTGAGTTATCATATTCACTTGGCCATCTAGGCAGCGCTTCCATTGAGCGCATCTCGCGTTGTCTTTCCTCGTATGGTCTACCTATTTCTCTTGAAGACGAGCGATTGTTATGTCGCTCAAATGGTAAACCATGTCCAGTTAATAATTTGATGGATAATATGCGAATAGACAAGAAGAACTCGGGGTCCACCAAAAAAATTGTCCTGCTTTCTGCCATTGGAAAGACTTGGGAGCAAAAGGCGTCGGCGGTCAACGATGATGCGATAGAAGCTGTTCTGAAAGCACACCAACCCAAGATTTCCAGTCTAAAGAGAGCGAAAATTGATTCAGCAACTGTTCAGGACGATCACAACAAATCCTTCCGATCGTTTGTTTCTCTCAGTTTCCAGGATTATAGCATGGTGACCAGCGAAACGCTGCAAACTATTGCCAAAGATACATCTGCTGTGGAATTCCGTGTAGACCTTCTCCGCGACCCCAACAACGCTGTTCCCTCAACCGAATTTGTCAAAGAACAACTTACAATCTTAAGAAACAAGATTGGCCTCACCCCTATTGTGTACACTGTACGCACACAGTCTCAAGCCGGTACATTTCCAGACGAGCGTCAGGACAAGATGTTTGAACTCCTACAACTGGGAATCGAAAGCGGCTGTGAATTCGTTGATGTGGACATGACGGCTTCAGTAAAGGATATTGAAGCGCTTGTTGCAGCAAAAGGATCCAGTACAATCATAGCTTCCTTCCATGATCCAGTGGGCCAACATTCGTGGAGCTCAGGCATGATGCCGTTTTATCAAAAAGCCTCCCAATACGGCGACGTGGTCAAGCTCATTGGTACCGCCAAGTGTATGCAAGATAACATTGAGCTGGAAGCATTTAGAGAACAAGTCAAGGGTAGCCGTAAGCCACTGATCGCCGTTAACATGGGAGACAAGGGAAAGCTGAGTCGAGTGCTGAACCCATTCCTTACTCCTACCACGCACATTTTGCTGCCTTTTGCAGCTGCTCCCGGACAAATGACGGATCAACAAATTGAGCAGTGGCGAAAAGAGCTATGCCTGTAGGAAGGCGATTGTAGAAAAGTGATATAGAAAGAGAAAAATCTATTAAAGGTATTTTTAGAAAGAAAAGAGAAAATGGAAAATAAAAAAGGGGGAAAATCAAGACAAAGGAAGCATATACAATCCTAGAATGATACAATAAAGAAACCTTCTCAAGACTTGTCTGCGTACTCAAACGATTAGAGAATTCAGCTAGGGAGAGGCTATCGAAATGTGTAGGTTGTGTATCATTGTAGAAGAATCTGTTTAATGGTCGACAGAGCCATCGACGTTGTGAAGACGTCTGCCAATAAGATAGGCATCATCACGGATAGACTGCATGACATGACGTCCCAACCGAACTCCAAGCCTACAGCAGTAGAAGAAGGCAACCATAATAAGGGCGGCAGGATAGATAGCTTGGAAGATGAGTAACTGTGCCGCAGGATCATCAAGCGCTACAAGCAAAAGGGTTAAAATCCAAAACCCTGACATTGTGAAGGTATACTACTGTCTGAGTCTTACCAAATACTTGTATGCTAGAATACACAAGAAGACTAGGAATGGTTATGGCGAGGACACTTCCTAATAAAAGAGGGCCGATGATTGATTTGGTGACTAACTGAGTGTTGGCTCGAAGAATACCAGCGCTGAACACCTAGAAAATAATAATAAAAAAAATTAGCCAAACTGCACACATTTTTCCAAAGGTGCACTAACAATTTTTTGAACATTTACCCTGGCCAGCATCTGCTGCAAGTGGTTTTCAGGTAGAATGTTGATTGTTCCATGCAGAATGTTCAGTAAAACGATTCCGAAAGCCCAATCTTGCAAAGGATCGATATTTGGAGGCTTATTGTCGAGGTCTCGGAAAGGAATGAGAACGTAAAGTTCCATAATGAGACCAAATAAGAGAGGTATGACCAGACCCAGTGTTGCAACAAGATATGCTACTTTGGACGTCTGTGATAGCATGATGAGTGGGGTGATAACGACAGAGAACATGCTTCTTTGCCTTGAGACTTACCACAGAGATATATTCAACGACTTTCTCCTTTACAGAAGGCCAGTCAATCGCCCAATCATTATCTGCCCAAGCCTTTTGCTTCTTAGTGAACCAGTCAATGATCACGGCTGATATCCACATCAAATAAAGACCTAATACGAAGGAGTAAATGTCATGGACTTTGCGGTTCGGTGTCAAATAAGAGTCGAAAATATGTCGTCCCAATAACACTATAGTACGCGATGGTTAGTGAAATGGGCATTTCAAAGCTTGAAAACTGCAGTTTGGCTAAAAACTTACATGGCATAATAGTAAGGCAGCAAAAGAAAGTGGAACCACTAATCCACATGAGGAATAAGAATAACATGACCCGGCGTCTGAAATTCGGTGGAAGGTATACGATGACGGTATTGGTCTCGTTGCCACCAGGTGCTGTCGCAGCGGGATGACCAAGTCTGTGTTCTTCAGGATCCAAAGCTTCCAATGTATGTGGGTCGACTGGAACAAGCATTCTTCGTCCAGGTATGACTGGTACACCATCCAAGCAAGGAGCTCTAACGAGCTGCCCGTCACGAATGAACTCAACTTCACCATCCTCAGTGATACCTTGAATGGAAACGTCTGCTTCATCAATGCTGACCACAGGAGCCTTTCGCATTTTCAACCAAGCTGCCCAACTTTTGCGAAGGTGCGTGCCCTCTTCTTCAGCCCGTCGCTCGTCAAACATAAACGAGGTCAGCCGCAACAGCCTTGCTGTTGCATGCCACCAATTGGAGAATGTATGTTCAAGGAGTACTTTTGGCTTGACTAAACCAATGGTTGAAGGAACAGCCAGGTGGATGACAAGAAGGTCGATGGGGAAATAGGATAATGGTTCCCTGAAAATCAAGTCACATTGATTAATATGCAAGTTGAAATATAATACACGCCTGTAGTGAATTGCTCCCATGGCAAAACACAATGGTAAATACTTACGAGTAAGACCATCGTAGCGGCAAAACCGAGCCACCAAAGAGCGAAACGACCAAGACAACAGTCCCAATGCCAAAGAAGATCATAGCAGAGTACATGATCCCACTTGCACCAATCTTTCGAAGTTGTGTGAGAACGGGACGTTCGAGAATTTCTTTGATGGGATGGAACTGAGGGTCATTTGGATCACGAATAAACCACATCACGCCAGGGCGAACGATGTCACGGCAAAGAGTGACGAAGACGGCAAAGTGGAACATAAAGCCAGTTCCAAGGAACCAGTGGATAAAAATAGTGGTGATCGGGTGAGATTGGTAATACCCCCATCGGCTCGATAACGTGGCCGTTGCAAACAAGGGTAGAGTGGAGAAGTCCAATAGCACACCACATACAATAGGGAACATGATAAGTTCAATGGAAATGAAAAATGCAACTTTGAGGATGATGCCTTGTTGTCGAATGGCTTGCTGTACAGTTCGACCCACCGTTCTTCCATATGCATTGCCAGTCTTCCGCAAATACCAGGCACCTAACAGGACTAAAATCATGTAACCAATAGCGACGCAAACAAGGCGATCCATCACTGTTCGGCCAATAGCGAAATAGTGCCATCGAACCAACGCTTTCGCAAAGAAAGGTTCAATGTCCTGTCGAATGAATGTGAGGATGGAGTCCAAAATGTAATGTCCGGTGCTTGGTACTTTGTCAGCCAGTTCATCGAATGAGGATGTAGTGGTCACTGTGCTGCTTTCTGCCATGAGTGAGTCCATAAAGGTTTGAATATGCTGCTTGATTGTTTGAAATCCGTCCACAACTTCGACCAGTATAGGATGGTTCATGAGCGTGGGTAGGTATTGAGAAGCCAGAGAGTGGATAAATTCAAGTGCCTTTGGTATACAGTAATCAAGGAGTCCATCAACCAAAGGGTCAATGACAATTCGAAGTGCAGAGATAGGAAGTTGAAGCAAATACAGCGGTCTCGCCTGCAAAGAAAAAAAAAAAAAAGGAAATTAGGCAAATTCGTACAGATGAAGGGTAGTGTGATATGAAAGAGATGACTGTACCAAAATAAATAATTCGCCTACAAGATAAGGAACCCAAACAGCCGCACCCAAGCAGAGACTGATCAACAGACACATGAGTATGGAATTTTGGGCCAACAACCAAAGGCTGCCTCGCATGCCAACCGCCTCAAGCACGCCATCCAGGTCATCACCCACGTCGCCTTCATCCTCTTCATCGTCATCAATGGCATTCACGTTATCCAAGAACTGAGCAGCAGCGGCCATATTGTTTTCATTTCGCTCGTTAAATAAGTTTTGTCTTCCAGCGGCGAACTCGACATTGGGTCGTTCTGGTACTTCTCTATGGAGTTGAGCAGGTCGAGGAGGTTGTTGTGGTGCTGGTGGTGCCTGAAGATAAGGCATACGGGGAGCATGTGGTGCTTGCGCTGGGATATTGGTTTGCGCTATTTCATGATGCTGGAGAGAGCTTGTTGCGCTGTTGCTGAAGCGGTCATCTGTTGCTACTGATCCATTCGCACCATGCATATAACTAGGTGCTGGTGAGCCAATTGAAGGCGAATGTGTTGTGTCCACTGTTACCGTAGAGTTATCACGCCATTAGTCTTTCCCGTTCCTATCACATTTCAAATGCATTTCAACAATGGTTTGCACTTACTCTGGCCAGGCCAAACTGTTTCTTTCGATTTCCATATATTTTTTGAACTTTCCCCACCATCGTCGACAATCATATCATGAGACTTGTTCATGCTACTGTAGTCTTCTTCGTCGTCGTCGGATTTCGTACTTGTTGACGTGCTGTGTTCAGCCATGTCTTGTTCATCCATTGCAGAGCCAAAAATAGAGCTCTTCCCAGTCGAGTCACCATTGGGTGAATGTCCCCAAGTCTGTCGATCCATATGGTTTAGAACATTAGCACTGTAGCTTGTGCTTTCGCTGTGTAGTGATCGCCGATCACTAGCAAAGTCGTCTGCATTGGCAGTGGGGGCATCAAAGGATGGCAATATCGGCATTCCATTTCGTGGTGGTTGACCGACTGCTCCATCCAACATAGCAGCCAACGCTTCAGCTTGGAGCAATTGCTGTCTCAATTCCACCTGCTGGTCTTGTTCCAAATTTTGTCCCTCTATAGGATTCAGTAGGGTGTCAAACCGGTTGGTGTCCATGACATGTCTGTTATGGTTGTCATTTGGTGGCTGCCTCTCATTTTGTTGTAAGAAGTTGTTTTGCGGCGGAAAGGCAATATGTTCAAAGATGGCATTGTTCTCCGGTGGTACAAAGTGCCGCTCGCCAGGTTGAGGTTCTTCTTGTTCCAGTCCAGGCACCGCCTCTGCTGGAGTATTTTGCACAATCCATTCTCGTAGCAAAAAAGCAGCGACAAATACCACTACCACCACGCATGTTATGATTTGGCCTTCGAAGCAGTCCAGAAAAAACATTCTACAACCACAGAAATGTCAATAAGTGCAAATAAAATACAAGAGTACAAAAAAATAAAGTAGTGCCATGTGATTTACCCTACCTTGCTGTGTATCGATGTTCGCTATCGGAGATGGTGGTGTTATCGTTGGCATATTGGTCAGTAACTAATGGGTGTGAAGAGTTGAAAGAGTCTGTGGCCGTTGAGTTATCGTTATGCATGCTGAGAGCAAGGTGATCGCCAATCCAGAAGTAAAAACGCCAGACCCATAGTGTGATATACGGTAGCATAATTAGCCATACAAAGACAACCACAATGGCTCGCAGGGTTATCCGTATGATGCCTGATGTTTTTCTGAACAATTGGCGGATGAACAAATCCGCTGGCAGCGTTTCTGGCATATTGTCGGCATACACTAGCATAGCAAAAGCAGCGTGAGCTTACATTTGGAGATACTAACAGATAGTTCAGGAAGACAATTACCTGGAGTGAATGCAAATGGATATTTACATAGTTCACAGTACCTGTAATATGAAAAGAATAGCGGGGTTATTGATAAAGATCTAGACTGGACGATGACGATGACTGAAGGATCGATCGCTATACTTTTTCTTGCTGTGAGAGAGCCATTCGATAAGGCTGAAAGGAAAAAGAAGGTATTGTATAGTCAGTAAAAGGCGAGCTAAATGATCGCATACAATACAAGTCATTGGCTTACCAATCCTGGTGGACGTAACGAATGCTGCCCGAGCATTTGCACGGATGGAAAAGCGGCTGCTCGGGAGTTGCTTCACATCGGCAAACTCTACAGATTTCTACAGTATACAATGGAGAGCATTGTGAGCGTGGGATATATGGATGCCATCGTTCAGAGTTACCATAGTTTTTACCTTCTTCCTCCTCCATGCTGTGAGCAAAAAGCAGGTTTGAGAAGATTTCGATTCCACGAACTGTACCCGCTTTTTGGCCCAAAAAATGAAAATGTGACAGCGGGCTCAGCTCAGGTAAAACGACCTCCTGCTCCTACCTGCTATTGGCTGCCGTTCTAACGCGTCTTGTCAACTATACTTTTTGTTCGACATTGGCGGCTACCCATCAGCATGGAGATCACTTTAGAGCCAGCGCAGAAACAGCCTCAGAACGTCCATCTGCTTCCTTGTCAGATTGATCACAATGGCCCTGCACAAGTTTCAACTTACTTTGTACAGACCGATGGTGTCGATCCATTGAATGGAGGGCCTTGTAAGGTTGCAGCCTTTCGTGGTAGACAACTCTTTGGCATTACGAGTCGCCTACCGTCAGAATTGAAGGGTATGGATTTTTTGCTTCTGAAGTTATGTCAATTACTATGATATTTACAAAGTTGTAGGTCATGTATATTCGGAACGTCGACACTCGGATGACATGGAAGACGAAACCACCGTAACTCACGATTGCATAGAGAATTTTGACGAGTTTACGGTGTGGAAGCATGACAATGCGCCGGATACCAAGAGTGATCCTTTTTTCGTAGCAATGGAATGGAACAATATTGCAACTCATGTAAGACAGCGTCTGAACGGCATAATGCTTATAGAGAATTGCTTCGCTAAACTGACAAATGTTGTTGACGATTTCAGCTTCACTCCACCATTCCGGTATCGAATTGAAATGAAACGTTGAGGCACCATTAAATCACGCTGTTCTGGAACAGCCATTTTGTATATGTAGCGCACGGACTATGTCGAAATGTACTATAAAAAAAATTTCCACACATTTATACTTGAATTTGTTAGTTTCTCATTCATGGTGAAAAAATGGTATCGAGCTAGAAAGCTACAGAGAGTTGAGAGCTACAATTATGAGGTGCGGTGGAAAAAGAAAAAAGCAGAAAGTGCAAATGATGTGTGACGCTAGCTAGTTACATGCTTCGGGAAATACATCTTTTGATAGGATCGACGACGTCGGACGAGTTCCATTGGCCAATGACCATGGCTGTACCATATATCATGCTAAACGAGTAGTTTGTTAGTACTGTGCATACTATTGCCTTTTTTTTTTTTTAAAAAAAAAACCATATCGACATACCAAAATGATCCAAACAGCATGACCATCACATCGGCGACTTTACGAACATAGGTTTTGGCAGCTGCTTTGAGATGGAAAAGAGTGGGGAATACGAAACATAGTGGTGCGCAAAACAGAGTTCCAACCAAGGCAACGAACTTGTCGAGTTTGTCTTTGGATCCAACAATGGAAACCCAAGCGCACACAAAGACGACAGCAACTCGGAAAACATTCTTCTCCCATTTCACTACGGCGTTGTTCTTTCCGGATCTTGTAGTAAATAGTCCGTTCTCCATAATACGAATAGCTGGGAAAAGCTGTAATGGAATAGATAGGCATATAGCAAGCGAATAAAGAGCAATGATAGTGGATACGCCTGGATCCTTGGCAGGCAGATTAAGTAGGACAATGGTTTGGACATTGTCACCAAAGGACATATATGAGAAAGCACCCATGGTTGTAAAGAGAAGGGTGATGAAGGCCATGGTACGCCATAGTACCTGAGGGAGTCTCTTTGGTTCTTTCATAGATTCAGTGATGGGAATAACTGTAAAGTAGACTTTTAGAATCCATTGACTTTATCCGTTCTAGACAGATGCACATGTGGACTTACCAAGGCCAATTCCTTCATAAGTAAAAACAGTTGTTCCGATAAACAGAGGGAATCTGTCAGCACTCCACATAGTGACATCAGCGACACCATGTGTGGATAAATTGAAGAAGTCGTAGTAATACAAATAGATCAGGCCAATGACAATAAAGACATCAGCAATTAACGCAAATACGGATAATCGTTGGATTTTGCGAATCATAGCCAAAGGTATAAAGACAAAGCATTGAGCCAAAATCAACACATGCAGTGGTATAACAACTCGGCACTTTGAGAAAGTGAGGATGAGAGATTGGAGGTTTTCAGCAACAAAGCCCATGTAGGCGCATACGAAACCAATCTATGAATTGAAAAAAAGAGAGTTAGAGTGGGTATGCTTGGAAATCATAGCAAATGTTGAAATTGCGTTTACCTGGGATAATGTGATGCAAACAAGCACGGCCACTCGCATTTTGGAACCAAAAAGAACTCCACCCATATCGCCGAATCCAGCAGGGACAGCATTACGAGTCTCAACAAGCGAAAGGAACGAGTATAAAGAAATGGCGGCAATAAATATGGTGCCAAGGATGGAAAAGACTAAACCGCCATTGTAGAACCTAAGGAGATTTCAATTTTGCGCGATATGTTAAAACCCTTTCTCTTTCCAGAAAACAAACAAAGAAGCCTTAAGTAAACATACGCCTTGGGTAGAAACATGATACCTAATAAGCATACAAGAGTGAGCCCACCAACCAAATGAACACGTTTTACAAAGCACATTGAATGGAGACAAAATATACCGGTAGTCACAAATGATTTCAACAAAAGAAAGACAGCTTTAGCAGGAGTTGCTGTACCTTGTACAGCTGTAGTATTTTTGTTTGGCTTTGACAACAGAGGGGTTGATTCTGAAGGCCGCCGACGGGATGTAGAAGCAATGGCTGGCCGATCATGGTCTGTATTACGCGCATTGGATTTGGAACCCACTGGTTTGCTAGTCGTGGCTTCATTGAGGATACTTGAGCCATAACCAATGACAGCTTCTTCATCTTCATCACTATCGCTATCTGGATCATCGTCATCACTAAGGTCTTCGCCTCCAAAGTGTCCGTACAAGCATAAGAATTCTGCAAAGCTGTTGGTCCACAAATTGGGAGGACTTCTGCCTTGTTTTGCAGCTTTTGAAAGTACATAATGCCGTCGAAATCCACCGGGTTGTTTAAGTCGTTGTGAAAGAACATCGCCGCTTTTTGGTGGGGGCAATGGGAAAGAAATAGACTGAGATCGTTGTAGACGTTGTTTCCGCTCACTTTCTACATTAGCTGTCCATTTATAGATCCCGTCCACGATAGATCCGCCTGGTAACTTGTAAGCGTTTCTTATAGTTGAATGAATGGATCCATTATCGGTATCCTTTCTTTGGTCTGGAGCATAATCAGAGCTGTGGGGTTGGTCAAGTTGACCTTCTTCAACCATTTCCGGTGCATCGGAGTCGCGCTGAGTCACCAAATGCCGCTTAACGACTTTTGCAACTTGTTCAACTGGAAGATGAATAGCTTGGCTCATGTAGAGGTGTACAGAAAGTTACGGCTGGTATTCAGCTGGCTGTACTATTGAGCAACCCTGACTATTAGAAGAAAGTTGCTGAGGGATAGGGAAAAAGACTGAAACTAGGTGGAGTTTTTGGGTTTGGGTGGGTTTTTTTTTTTCTTATTCCCTTTTTCTCAATTTATTGCCTTCTTTTCAAAAAAAAACGTCGCGCAATTATTTTTAATACCAGTTACCTCCTCCACCAACACCGTTGTTCGCTGGAGCTACGTGATCCATGCGGACATCTAATGCTCGACCTCCATACATGTATCCATGGAACTTGGCTACATATACATCATGTTAGAAGGCTAGCAAGGAAAGACACACCAAATTGCTGCTTCATTTACCTATAGCTCTTTCACACGCTTGATAATCCTCGAATCGAACAAGACCGGCCCCTTTAGGTCGACCAGCACTCATCAATGTCTCAGCTCGAACAACAGGTCCTATTGGAAAATAATGTAAGACTTTTGCTAAGGTACAGAGTGTTGTTTATATTATTTCTTACCGCTGTGGCGGAACAGATCAATAAGGTCTTGCCAAGTTGTTGAAAATGGAAGCTAAATAAAAAAACATTAGCTCATGATGTGCGAGTGCTATATTCCACATGGATACTCACGTTTCCAACATGTATCTGGTTTTCTCCGCTTCTGGGCAATTCTGCTCGAGGACCACCTACATTAGGGTTAGGTATGGGTGGCATAGGAGGAGGAACCATAGCATGATGATAGGGTGGTCGTTCTGGTGGTACATATGGTGGAGCAGCCGGAGCTTGATGTACATTGCTATAGGGAGTTGGGAGAGGATGGGCTGGGAGAGGGTAAATCGAGAAAAAAAAAATGTCAATAGGCCGTAGCTATTGAAACTCACTCGTTCGCGTCAAAGTAACAAACCTTCGTATCCTCCGCCGCTTCCTGCACCTCCGCCGGCGCCAGCGCCGCTGCCGGCACCACTGCCTCCATAGTGAGATCCTCCACTAGAACGATAGCCATCACCTCCAGAGGGTGGGTGTGGAGGAGGTGGGCGACTTGAAGTAACATATCGATCCTATACGTACGTAAATGACCCATTAATATATTTGAAATTTTCCTCAATTAAAGCCTTGAGTGGAGACATGGATGTACCTCTCTGACTTCCAATCTTCTACCTTGCCATTCGTATCCATCAAATTTTTCTATAAGCCCATTCAATATAAAATGTCATTAGTGTTTGCGACGTCATAATTTCCATGAGGGAAAAACCCCGCAATTACCGATTGCTTTCTGTGCATCACGAGCATCGCCATATATAACAACTCCTTGTCCTCTGGATCGTCTTGTACTTGGATCCTGAAAGACGTCTGTGTGCGTAACTCGACCTGCTTTTCTAAACAAGTCTTTCATATCTTGCCAACTTGCAGAGTAGGGAAGCTGATGTGAAAGAGGGGAGGGTCAGGATTTCGGTCATATTACGTGACTTTTGTGTGGTGCGCTTACATTTCCTACAAATAGTTGACATCCGTCCCCAGCTTGTCTAGGGTCCTTTCCAGGTTCTTCTCGATCCTTATAATATGCGAACAAGGTCAATTAGCTATATAGTTTGTAAATGAATGAGTGATATGGAAGACCTATATCTCACCTCGCGGACTAGGACTGGTCTACCCATAAATACGGCGTTGTGGAGCGTGCGAATGGCTCTTTGGGCGTCCTCAGGGAATCGATATTCTACAACACTGATCAAAAATAAAGCAAAAATATCCATTAGACCATTCGATCCGTGTAAAATGCTAGTATGTGGCAGCCAATTGAATCTTCCATACCCGCAGCCCTTGGATTTTCCAGACCCAGTCAACATGATATTAGCTTCGACCACTTCTCCAGCTGCAGTAGTATGTCAGTAATGGTCTCACCAAAAAACGAGCCAGGTGAGGAAACGCATACTATACCTTCGCTCATCAAGTCCCAAAGATCGCGACGTCTGGCTTCGTAGGGTAAATTTCCAACATAGACCCGACATTCTCTTTGAGGAATGCGTGGGCTGCGCGATGTCGATCTGGAGCCACGACGCCTGCGCGGTGGACTTCGAGATCGATAGTGGTATGGCGACCTACTTCTTGAACGCGACGAAAATCGGCTACGGCGAGGAGAGTGAGAGCGAGGACTACGAGATCGTCGGTAAGGGTAGCGTGCAGGAGGAGAACGATCCTTGGCTCGAGGCGAAAATGATCGTCGACCAATTGAAGGTGATCTTGATCGACTGCGTGAAAATGATCTCGCCGGCAGCTTGGATTCTCCCTCCATGTCAATAATAAAAAATGGGCTCAAATGTGCAACTCGTCTTCTTTTTTTTGGGAAAGGTGGGTATTTGAACTCAGTCACGTGCGCCATTTGGGAACCGATCGGTTCGATTTTTTATTGAAGATGGCCTGGGCCAAAGATATAGGGGAATATACAGAAGGTGATAACATCTTCTTGGATATACAATAGGGCAGTCATTGGTAGACTGGCTATTATAATTAAGCTAGTTTCTAGATGAATAAAGACTTTGTAAATCATATCAAATTTAAGCGGTCTTCTCATTTTCAGCGGTTGGCTCAGAAGCGGGAGCAGCAGCGGGAGCAGCAGAGGTAGCAGGAGTACCGACCTTCTCAGTCTACGAATTGCCAAGATTAGACGACTGTCTTATTCTACCCTCTTTATTCGCGTCACATGCTTACCTGGATTCTCTTGGCTTCGTGATGGACGGCAGTAACCTGAGCGATGGTCTGGTTGGCCAAAGTTTGAACCTTTTGGCCAGTAGGGGTGTTGAGAGCCTCTTGGGCTTTAGCATGAGCAGCATTGAATGTAGCTTGAGCCTTCTCTTGAATCTTATACTTTTGATCTAACTCGAGAGCTTTTCCCCAAATACGATACTTGTCATCAAGTTGCTTGGCGCGAGTTTGAAGTCCGTTGAGATATGAGGTAACTCTGGATTGAACAGCATACTTCTTGTCATATTCCAAACCCTTGGCGACAACTTGATCCTGAATGATATAACCGTGAGCAAGGAGTTCAGCAAAGATCTTGGTCTTTGGCTTTCCTTCTTGGGTAGTCTCTTCCTCATCCTTATCGGCGGTAGGTGCAGTAGTCTCAAAGTAAGGGGCAACAGCGATGTGAGAGTCATCGATCAGAGCGTTGGACAGTAGAACAGCAGTCTTGGCGGCAGACTCGCGTTCGAAGTAGATCAAAGCGATTTGGTGTTTTTCGTCATCATCCCTGTTAAAACAAACACAACCCCAATAAGTGGGCAGTCCCCGTAATAGACCGCTCAAAGTTAAAAACAGACACTTACTTGGTGAGTTCGAACTCCTTAATCTTTCCACAGAACTGGAAGAAGTCCAAGATGGTCTTCTCAGACGATGCAGCCGAGATATGGCTAACCACGACAAGGTTGGGAGTGGGTTCGTTTGGAACCTGGAGGTAGACAGGATAGGACAGTCATGATTAGACCTACATCCTCCAAGATACATATACAAGGTGTTTCTCTAGACTTACGGTAACAGTTTTCCAAGTTGGCATGTTTGATAATTTGACAAAGAAAAGATAAACACGAAGAAACAGGTCAAAGTGAAGTTTATATTTTTAAGCTGTCTCGCATGTGAAAACAAGAAATCGCTTTGGATGTAGTTGGGTTACACGTGACTTAATCGGTTTGATGTAACTTCCCTTTCCTTTCCTTTCTACTCATAACTACACGTGGAATTACAATGCCCGCCTTGCTAGCATCTGAAGATGTGTCTGGTTGCAGTGTTTATTCTACTGAAAAAAGGGTTTTCATAGTCAAAGCATGGATTGAAAGTCTTCTTGGCGTGAATGGGACTACGTAACGAACCGGATGGAAGAACGTATATGGGTAATGAGGAGCGTACGACAAATTGACTGTTTTGGGACAGGAAACTGTGAAATCATAGTTAACGCGATGGGCTTTTCAAACCATTTACACTGGGGCTTCTGCTTTACTAACAAATCAACCAGGGAGCACATTCATTAATGTGAAACAATTTTCATGTTGTTCTGTTTACACCCCTTTGCTTCAGCTGAATTTGTGATATACTTGGGGAAATGGTTGGCGTCGCCAAGACCAACAGCAACTGAAAAGTACAATCATAATTTCCTAACTTAATGTCCACAACGAAATTTCCAGATGAAAAAACCACAGGTGCTTGCCAAGGCCATCATTTTCATGCTTATTCTTTGCTAGACTTGGCAGTCCCCTTAGTTTCAAATCATGGCCTGTCAATAATGAATGCATATTTTGCATATGTATATCGCATAACAATGTGTTGCTTACAAAACCAGAATTGACATATAACATCTTTTGCCTGCTCGATAAGGATATAAATTCAATACTTTATGTAGTACTACACTAAGCAAAAAGATCACTATGCTTTGAAAGCACCGTGAAAGCCAAAAGGCACTACACTGTTCGTTTCTGCTCTAGCGATTTCTTTCATGGTCTTGGCATCAAGAACAAGTAAGAAACTTGCTCCCTTAGCTTCGTCTAGTACCACAGACAAGAGCACACCATCATCTTCCTCGGTACCTTCAGGATTGGCAATAAAGATTGGCTCTCCAGGTAGGCAGTGGTCTTCCTTCCAAACCCAGTAATCTTCGGTTTTCACATTCACTTTGCACAAACTGTCGCCAAGGGTGGCTTGGATAGCATTGGGATCGTAAAGATTAATAGCATAAAAGAAAGTGTAAGACTTTGCAAAGTAGCTATCGTTGATACGAGGAAGTTCTGGGTAAGCACCCTTTGCCAAGGTAGAGAAAGTAGCTTGTTGAATGTCCTTGGGTGATTCGACAGAAGCAATATCACTAAGGACATATCTTCGAGTGTGCTGTGGTGTCGCTTTTTCTATACTTGGGATTTTCTTGCGCAAATTGGCGAAGTAGAGGGCCTGCACGATTGACCCATCGTCATAGCCCAAAACATCCAGAATTAAAGCACCGTCTTTTTCATAGCTGTTAATGGAATGGAAGAAAAAAAATGATGGGGCGTGATAGGTTGCAACATGCTTTCTGGCAGCACGATCAAAAACATAGAATGCACATGGTGCGCTTTCGTCAAAACGAAGAGACTGAGCCACGTTACGTTTTTGCATCATTTCCATACCGTTTACATAGAGCTGTTGAAAACATCATTAGATAGGCATACCAGTAAATAGTAATCAATGAGACAACATCATACCGGAGGTACAGCAAGCACAAAATAATTTTCGGTGATGAAGGATGAATGGATGTATGCTGGAGGACCTTCCAAAAATTCCACCAGTTCTCCTTCAGGGTTCTCATCAGAGAAGGTGATAATGTTATATCCGGACCGAGGACCCAACACTGTTGTGAATTGCCAAGTTTCCCTCTTGGCGGCGTCAACACAAGGATGGGCGGCACTCGTCATTCCTGCAAACTTGGGGTTGAATTTTTCGTATGTATAGAGACTCTGTGGCTCAAGCGTCTTCCAGTCAAGGTTTTGAATCTTCACGTGGTCAGTAAAGATTGTAACGACATCAGGGTTTTGAACACCTGGGAAGTCCACAGCGACCACGACACCGACGTTGGACATCTCGAGTGGGTTGAGATCTTCTTTTCGAATCTCTTTCATCACGGTTGACGACTTTGAAAATACAACCTGACACACATCTTGGGCAAAAGAATTGCCGCGGTTCTCGCCCTGACGGATTGTCTCCTCTAAGGCAGTTGCTGTATTACGAGATCTGTAGGTGACTTTTTCGTTGTCGATCTCGAAACGGTGGATCTGAGCCAGACCGTCAAACCTATTAAGAATATAGGTAAGGCATACATTCTTCTTATAAAATATTCGCTCATTTCAACCTACCAGTGCTGAATCTCATATCTCTTGCCGTCAACCTGGTCGACATGCATGGTACCTGGACCAGCTCGATAAAGAGCGCCTTGAACGTAACTGGGGATCTTGCCAATGACTTTGCATTCTACAGGATTGAGAACCTGTGGTTGCGTCTGGAATCCTCGAGAGATGGAAAGGAGATCGTCTTGCGTATTTGTGATGGTCATTCTTGCTAATTAATTTGATTGTTCTGAGTCTGAGCTTAAGCACTTTTATAACCCAGGTGCGGAAATCTTTTTCCTAATTCCACATTTGGACGAAACTTGCCGTCGCCGTACCAAAGTCTCAAGCGTAAGCGCCTTTGCCCAAACATGTGCAATAAAATGAGTAACCGTGTTGACGTGTTCATTTCACAAGCCTTGTCATCCCTTGTATTAACCATCTTATTATTTTTCGACTATCGGCTTTGAAGCTCTGCTGTACCGAGGTTTGATGCTGAGCGGTTTCAGTGCTCTCTGAATTAAAATCTTTAGGCGCCTCCAACTATTATCTCATGCAATTTCCTCACGACAGCGCTGGTTTGATTTTTCGTGTCCAACATTGAAAATATTAGACTACACTTCTGGTTGTCAAGACGTATACGTGTGTAACTTACAACATGACTTCACAGACGTATACAGTTTTGTGTCTTAACTTCAGTCGATAATAAGCTCATCGGTAGCGTGTCGTCATTTCATGTAAAGACAATAAAACGTCGATTATTCGAGAATGCTCCCAAGTTCGGTAGGATATGCCGTCTGTACCCTTTGACGCTTCCCCTTGAAGGAATCAAGCGAAGGTGCTGCTTATCCAAGCCAACTGGGCGATTTTAACGTTTGGCGAGAACGAACCTAGGCGGTGGTAGTCAAAGAGTCGAGATTGCCAGTTCAGTCTGAACAACGTGAACATCCAAGTGAAAAGCTGCTGACTTGGGTATAGAAGTAGTCAATCTTGCATCGTCATGCTGTTACATCGCGATGAGATTAGTCGCTTGCAACATATGGCACATAACTTCAATTTTTATATTTCATTTTCGCAAATTGACCAGTTGTTAGAATTGGCCAGTCGTTATGATATGACATTATCGTATGCGTATATGCTGGCTCCAGTTAAGCTTGCCTGAAAAAATATTGTTAAAAAAATGACTCGACCTCAGCTCATGCAGAACTATACGCGCCTTAAGGCGATATCATCCAGCAAATGGTACGGATGATGATATGCTTTCTTACCAAGATCTGTTTTACATTAGCTTCATTAAGCGGCATTCTTGATTTCAAAAAACTTTGACAGGCGTTCGAAAGAAATGAAAATTGAATAGTTTTCACGGACACGTAGCGCTTTTCCCTTGAATTCCATGCTTACACGAAACCATTAAAGGCATAGATATCGTAGGTATGCGTTTATTTGAAGCTATTATCACGTTATTCTACTACTTCTAGCTAAGAACCTGTCATATCATCAAAAAAGTCTGTCCTTGCTCGTTCCTATAACTTTTATGGCTCATGTATAACCCCTATGCTTTGAAAATCCATATTGGCATACCCCACATTCTTGCTATATTTAGTTCACCCGTGGACTACTTTTTGCACCGGCTTTCCTTATAGCTGTGGAAGTCTAAATGTCCCTACACACTATTCGTTGAAAGGAGAGATGCGTAATGGAGAGGGTTATAGCTTGCGAGAGATAGAACGATTTTTCGCTCATCAGGTGTGGAGAAAAAAACGCGATTTCATGTTATCCAATATTTGGAATTTATGTGGACTGTTGATATTTGCGAACCCAAATTTCGCAGCAAATCATTTCCAAGTGGGACTGGCCAGCGAGATGGTTAAGAACCACCCTTAAAGCACTCGACAGGCCGTGCGATCAAAATCGACCAAATGCACGAAATGACGCCGGAAATGATAACGGCCTCACTTCTTTGCATAGTTATTTCAGTTTGGGCACGTGATGTATTTCTTTGGATTCAAATTTTCCCCGTTATATTTGGAGCAACGGGGCCTTAGCGACATTCTATGAGGTTATCGTTTGGTACTAAAGTGTTCTGCGACCAGAAACGTCATTTATGAATTAGAAGCTTGTGGACCCGTCGAGCCCTTACGTCATGCATAATCCGCAACATGGACTATAGAATGTGGCCAAGAGTATTCGAGGGTGCCAAAAGTCAAGACCAGGAGAGCTACACCATTGAGCAAGTGGTTTCGAGACCTAGAAGTCGGACGATTCTAGAAGGAAAAAACGTCAAGTGATATATTTCATATCACATATTTTAGTTCTCACTCGATGTTAAGGATTCCAGCAAAGGTGTCTGCTCAATATAGGCTTTCACACTCTGTAGCTTCTGGTGTAGCATGCCGCAGTGCGGGTTTCGATTGCCGCCATCAGCCCGCTTCCCCAAAGTGTAGGTGGCAATCTCTTAGCTACTTGCGGTTCCCTTTCCCTTCGGTATTTCAAAAATATCATTCGAGATTTCGTCAGACCACTACATAATCTATTTTGAACAGCTGATTTCTTTATTTTCGTGGTTACCATTAGGCATAGCTTAGTGTTCAAATGTTAGCAGCCATAGGTTAGGCTTAAGCATGCAATACAGCAGTGTTTGATCCGTACAAGGTGATTGGATGAGGGCAACTCCGCATTCACCACTCACTAACGCCTGAGGTCACCTGCCATGTTGGTCTCGCTTTCAGCAAGGGGCTGACTTTCATTTTCTCAGGCCTTATTTAAAGGACGCCCAAGTGCATCACACTTTACTATTCATCTTGTCTACTTACTACAACTCAATATGCCCAACCCACTTGAAAACCACGCTCCCGCACGTAAGTACTTGTATCTGTTAAGCATAAATCATTTCATGCAGCTTGACTCATCATCTTGCTTATTGTAGAAATTGTCGGCGGAAAACGCGTAAAGGCTCCAACACATAATGTCCCACTCAAGACTGCGTAAGTACTATGCAAATACTGCCTCAACGTCCATCGATCAATGTGCTAAACTTCAATTTTCATCAATAGCGATCCTACTGAAGAAGTGGAGATGGATGCTGAGGACGAAGGACAAATGATTGACCCTAAGTTCGAGGAATTTGAACGCATGCGCCGTGCTGAGGCTGCAAAGAAGATGCATCAAGACCAAGAACATACTGTCCCAAAACACGATTTTAAGAACACTAATACTGGTGGCCAGCGTAATTACAATCAACCTAGACAACATAACCATATGACATACCGGGGAACAGGAAACGAGTAATTCATGAACCTACCCCCCTCCCTTAGTCAAATGTAAATATGCTTTGCTCTCTTCTGCTTGACATATTGTCTTTTATTTTATTCTTGTTTTACGTTTGATTGCTGTTGAAGTAAATCGTTGTTTATACAAATATGCCTGCTCATGGGAAGTTGGCCCAATGTCCGTCATTGCCATTCAGGGAACTGATGTAAGCTCGTCATAGTGGCGCAGTCCTAGTGACTTGAAGCAGCCTGTCAGATCCAATGTGTTCATGGTCCATATTGTTAGAATTTTTCACCTTTAAGGCGGACGGTATTACGTGTCAAGAAACATCATGCTACTGCTCGGTTTCATATTTGACACCCTGTCCCGGCTGCATTACACTAATTTGAGGTCAGATTTATGACTACTGGCTACAAAATATCATGTTTTTCCCTCTCAGATGTTCATAAGAAATCAAGCAAACGTCTTATTTGATCGACGATATACTGCGCGACGATAAAAAAAAGCCGCGACAGCGTACAGTGGCTAAAAATATGTAGTTCAAGGGTACGATATGCCAGTTTCACAATGTCGGCATTGTTCACGCTACTGGATCCGTTTAGGTAATATGGGCCTTATGGCCAAGATATGCGTTTTCACCTCTGGAGTATTGTAATCATTCAGTGTGTCGAATACAGCAAAGTGCCGAGGGAATTTCGCTTGGCTAGTTTTCGAAGGCAGTCCGGGAGAATATCTTCAGCCTCACTGGAGCGTTGAATGTAACAGTATGGCGAGCCCATAACTCTATGTTTTTTTAAGTGCTCATAATACTGGTCCGTTTTCTTGCTTATTATCAAGATCATCATAAAATACAAGCGGCCCATAGCCTAGCGCATAGCTAGCTCAGCGGTGCAGCCATCGTGCTCGAAGCATTTAGCCGTCACACCAGCGCAAATTTCATCCAGCGCGACAACTCGAACAATTTCCAACGCGTACAACTCACCATTAAATGAATCAAAGTTCAAAGCCATCAGCGAACCCATCTAGCAAAAAGCAGCAACAAGCGGCACAAAAACAACCGCCTCCATCACAGGAACAACAGAATTCCGGTCTAGATCAATCGTCTGCTATCCTTGCCGCATCCAATGTTTCATCAAGCTTAAATTCAGAAAAAATGCAACAAATCCAGGACAAGGTTCGGGAACTCGAGCATTTACTTAAAATCAAAGACATGAGTGCTCAGATGGCTAGCTACTTTGACGAGTTAGCCAAGAGTATGGAAGGTCTGGCTGGAGGAGCACAAGGTAATGTGTGGTCAACGGTGCAGCTTCTTCCAAACATATATTAACACTGGTACCCATATAGCTGTTTCAGACGTCTTGAGTAATTGGAACCATGTGTTTAGAACAATGAGTATGGTGGCGCCAAGGCAGCCTAAAGGTGAAGAGGAGGAGGAAGGTGCCGATGATAAAAAGGTGGATGCGGCCACAGAAGAAACAGCCACGCCAGTCCTGGTTCGCGTGCCTTTACCCTTGACCAAGCAAATGTCAGACCTGTCATTCTAAAACGCACACTCTTCTCACAACCCCACTTGTATATATCTGTGATGTATTCTCCCTTTTCGTTTTGTCGCTGGCCCTTCTTCAAACGTCTTCCTCCACCACCTTTGTGATATACCCTGTTCCTGAATGAGACAAGGTTATGGACCTCGTGGGCTCAATGCTCCCCCCGATGGATTGTAGCACCAGCAGCATAAATTCCGGATACAAAAGCCTAGGTGTTTGGAACTACCTAACTGTGGAACCTCCCATCGGCAAGCGAAAAGGAAATGACCACGCGGGGTGCGTGTATTTCTTGATCTTGCTTTCATATTAATTCAGTGCAAGTGAATATGAAATGTATGTGGCCTCGTGGCTCTCCTCATCTTTAGACTCGACCTCTTGAATACAAGTGGGGAAATTGTACTACTTTGCCGCTGTATAATCTCATATGGCTTTGCTTTGCATCTATTAATTTATATACATAATGATGGTCATAAACAATCTTGTTTTAATGGTTTAATGATCGGGGACCTGCCAATACATTTTAGTTGATGTTGTTTCTTGACTTTCACTGCTACGTGCTTCCTTTGCTGCGTACTCTTTGATGCGTGCTTGCTTTGTTGTGTGCTTGCTTTTTTACCCGTCGGTGCAACCGGTGTAAGAATGATTCCCCCGGTAAATAAAAATTTGCGTTGGGTAGACTCTGTTCCACAGTGTTCCCATACTACCATGGGACAAGTTATGTGAATGATGGACCACGCGGTGTACTCTTGTGTGGGTCATAGGCTACCCTGCTGTACGTAAGGAAAATATATCTCACTTAGAAAGTCAATCGGTAATATGGACCTATATAATAACTATCCAAGTGAGGCAGAGACTATTAACCAGAGACCACATCGTCACAATCCATGCGCTTGACTCTTTTTCTCACTGCGTCGGTTGCTATCTCGCATGTAGCAGCTGCTGCGACTCAAAACTATGCGCTTGCATTCCAAACTTCCATTCGCTGGTTTGAAGCTCAAACTAGTGGTGTTAAACCATCCTGGTCTACCATCTCCTGGAGAGGTGATTCCGCTTTGTTAGACGGAAAAGACCATGGACTTGACTTGACTGGAGGTAAAACTTGATTGCCCTTTAGGAAGTTATGTACAAGATTATAAGATTCTTACTAAGCATCCTTTCATTGACTTTATGAAATTTAGGATGGTACGATGCCGGTATGTAAAGTTGCTTTGTAAACTGTGAAGTTATTTTTGTAATTCATCTTTTATTGACTTGATTTTATTCTTGAAGGTGACCATGTTAAGTTTGGCTTGCCTATGGCTTATACTACCACTATGTTGGCTTGGGGTATGATTGAATATGGATCCACATACGACAAGCTAGGTCAAACAACATATTTCCTCAATAACCTGAGGGTTGCCTTGGACTACTTCATCAAGGCCCATCCTTCTGACAATGTCTTTTACGGCCAAGTCGGAGATGGCTCTGCTGATCATGCTTTCTGGGGAGCTCCAGAAAATTTGGATCAAGTCTTTGGAAACCGCCCTACCTATGCTATCAACACCACCTGCCCTGGTTCTGAACTGGCTGGTGAGACTGCTGCTGCCATGGCTGCTGCTTCCATTCTCTTCAAGTCGAGCGATCCTACCTATTCTGCCACTCTTCTCGCTCATGCCAAGACTCTTTACAACTTTGCTGACCAGTACAGAGGAAAATATGACTCCTGTATTCCTGCTAGTGGATTCTATACCAGTTTCTCTGGATACAATGATGAACTTGCTTGGGGTGCCATGTGGTTGTACAAGGCCACAAATGACACTACCTATTCGTGAGTATCCAAAGAATATATGCTGTATAACAATTTACCTAACTAATTCCTCTGCCTCACTTACAGTACAAAGGCACTGGCAGCTTATGCTACTTTGAGCACAGTACAAGGTTCATCCAATCATTCATTCGCTTGGACTACCTCTTGGGACGACAAGTCATACGCATGCTACGTCTTGGGTGCAAAGTTGTTTGGAGACTCTGTTGGTAACGCTACCTTTGCTTTGGATGCTCAGCGAAATCTTGACTGGTGGACTGTTGGTGTCGGCTCCAGCAAAGTCACTTATAGCCCTGGAGGTCAAGCTTGGTTGGATACCTGGGGAAGCACCCGCTATGCTTCTGTAAGCTTCCTCTCTTACGACACACACAGCAGTACTTTTTTTGGCTTTTGACTCACTCTTGCCATTGTCATCTTTTTTAGACTGCTTCATTCTTGGCCTTGGTGTATGCTGATCACCTTGGTACCTCACATCCACTCTACTCCAGATACCACGATTTTGCAAAGGGTCAAATTGATTATATTTTGGTAAGAATTTGAAACATGTTGCTATCAAATACATGAAGTTGTACTTATACTCACATTGCTTTCTTCTAACTTTAGGGAAATAATCCTCGCAGCTGCAGTTATCTCGTAGGCTATGGAAGTTGCTATCCACAAACTCCTCATCATCGCGGTTCCCATGGTTCATGGACTAACTCTTTGACCAGCCCAACCTATCAAAGACACATTGTGTATGGCGCTCTAGTTGGAGGTCCAGGCAGTGCTAACGATCAATTCACTGACGATCGTTCAGCCTATGGCACCAACGAGCCTGGATGTGATTATGTATCGGCTTTTGTTGCATCTGCTGCTCGTCTTGCTCAAGAATATGGCGGTACAACTGCAACTTCGTTCCCTGATAAGCCGCTAGATGACTATGAGCTTTCGGTCAATGCGTCCATCAACGCAGCCGGTACTGGGTTCACCGAAATTGCAGCATGGTTCATTAACAAGAGTGGATGGCCTGCCAGAGTCACCAAAGATCTCGTATTGCGATATTACTTTACCTTGGACGGTGCAACTACTCCTAGCCAGATCTCATACACCGTCAACTATAACCAATGCGGTGCTGGTGCTGTTACTGGCCCCTTCCTTGCCTATGGAAATGTGTATTACATGAATGTTTCTTGCGCAGGCGATGCTATCTATCCTGGCGGCCAACAATACTTCCAGCAGGTAAACAGGTTTATCAATTGATGCCCAACATACTGTTATTTTTTTACTGACAAATTACACAGCAAATACAATTCCGAATCGTTAGTGCAGGCACATGGGACCCCACCAATGACTGGTCCTATCAAGGATTAACCACAAGCAACCAGCGTGTTAGCTACATCCCACTTTATGAAGGTTCCAATGTTGTCTACGGCAGTGCTCCCAACTCGACCATCACCACCACGACAACAACCAGCTCTGGCCCTACGTAAGCTATTTTAGTTGAAGTACGTCCCTGAGAATTTTCATATCGATCTATATACTGATCATCATCTTTTTCATAGTAGCACTACCGCTACTTCTACCACTACTACAAGCACGTCAGCTACACCTACTACCACTACTACCACCACTACAACAACTACTACAAAGACTACAACATCCAAGACATCTACTTCCGCCACAACTACTACTTCAAGCTCTGCTGGTTGTGCTACTCATTGGGGACAGTGTGGTGGCTCTGGTAAGTACCGGCTGAACGTGAAGATTAGTCCTGCTGAAAGCTTGTCCCACTCACTAATTTGCTCCATATAGGCTGGAACGGACCCACCTGTTGCGAATCTGGAACTACATGCCAAGTATCCAACCCTTGTAAGTACACAGTACGCTGACAAATGGATTGCCCAAGGCCAAATACTAATCATCATATACCACACAGACTACTCGCAATGTCTTTAAGTGACAAGCACAAGGATACATGCTTTTACCTTACGAGGATTGATGCATCATGTAATCTAGGATAAGCTTGCATGGAAACCGTGTGTATGCCAATAAACACTGAGACTTTATAAAAAAAAAAAACAATGAGACACAGCATATGAGATTAAAGAAATATACTACAAAAAGTGGGGTTTATTGTTATTATGAAAACGACCCAAGCGTTGAAAGGAGTTGGTTTTTAAAAAGGTTCGGCTGGCATGTTCTTGCGGCAGCATATTTTTTTGGTCTTTATATATATATATTTCAAACAGGTATAATAGCGAACATAAGTTTACTCGCTTTCCCAGATGGCAGCCATGCCCATACCAGTACCAATGCACATGGTAGTGCAACCAATCTTCTTGCCCTGTCGCTTCAACTCAGGAAGCAAGGTGGCGACCTGACGGGCACCAGTGCATCCGAGAGGATGACCAAAGGCAATAGCACCACCCTTGGGGTTGATCTTCTCGAAGGGGATGTTGAGCTTCTCAGCGCAGTAGACGGCTTGGGAGGCGAAGGCTTCGTTGAGTTCGACAATGTCAAGGTCGGAGATCTTAATGCCAGCGCGTTCAACAGCGATGGGGACAGCATAAGCCGGTCCAATACCCATGACGCGGGGAGGGACACCAGCAACAGCGGAGGTAATGTACTTTCCAATGATGGGCAAGTTAAGCTTCTCAGCAGTCTTGCGCTTCATGAGCAAAACAGCGGCAGCACCATCAGAAACCTGGGAGGCGTTACCAGCGGTGGTGAAACCGGCTTCGTCGAAAGCAGGCTTGAGCTTAGCGAGGGATTCGGCAGTGGTACCGGGACGAACACCGTCATCACTCTTAACAACGACTTCCTTTTCGTTACCCTCCTTGTCGGTGACGACAACCTTAACGGGAACAATTTCGGCATCGAACAAACCAGCCTTTTGAGCGGCAACAGCCTTTTGGTGAGAAGCAGCGGCGAAAGCATCTTGCTTAGCACGGGTAATTTGGAACTCCTTGGCAACATTCTCGGAGGTAATACTGAAAAAATAAGACGATGAGTATCACGTACGCATGACGGAAATTTTGTTTGAAATTTACTTACCCCATGGGGACAAGGCAGTCAGCGGCAGCCTCGCATTCAGAAGCAACCTTCTCAGAGGTAGAACCCATAGCGCCAGCACCATAGTTGTGGGTCATAGACTCAACACCGGCACCAATACCGACCTCAATCAAACCAGATTGAATGGCGGTGGCGATCTGAACGCAAGCCTGGAGACCAGAGGAGCATTGACGGTTGGTGGTGTTGATAGAGGTGGTCTCAGGGAAACCAGCGTGAAGAGCGGCCATACGAGCAGCAGTGGCACCGCCACCAGCAGGCAAGACGTTGCCAACACAGATATCGTCGATCAAAGCAGGGTTGATCTTGGTCTTCTCAATAGTGGCCTTGAAGACAGCAGAGAGCATTTCTGAACGCAACAAAGAATTAGTTTCCCTGGAACAACCTACATGAATGCTAATGACCATTTACCTTCAGGAAGAGTATCCTTGAAACCACCCTTGCGAGCGCGGGTGATGGGAGTTCTGAGAGCAGAAACAACGACGACATCTTCAGGAGACTTGACGCCGATCTTGCTAGCAGAGACCAAAGAAGGTGCGAGGTGAGCAGTGACTTGTTGGAGTCTTTGAGTAGCCATGTTGGATTTTAGAGGAGAAGAAAAGAGATTCACAGCGCTTCTAATTCTAAACCCACTGGGCTCACCTTTATACAATACTTACCAGTTTTCACATGTCGGCCTGAAATTGCTTGCCCCGCAATCACATGACGCCAGTAATGACAATGACTAAGCTCAGAATGGTCAAAAGTCATGACAATAACATAATGAAGTGCAAAAGAGCAGAGCAGGGCTATTAAAAATCACAACATAACAATTGCTATATTGTTGCTGCCAATTGAATTCATTTTTGGTTTTATTACTATGGCAAAGTGGGGGTTTCTGTACAATGACTGTCCCATGCTTTATGTCTACAAATTTTCCAAATAAAAAATTTCTCCCATTATTCATGATTTTTTGTCACATAATGGTGCACTCCTTTGAATTACGCTTGTCGTCCCCGCCAGCCACGTTGCTAGATCTATTCATGACATGGTGTACAACCTTGCTGCCCCCATTGTCCTGACCCTGTTGATTAAGAGCTGCTGCAGCTGCTTCGTTGCCCTTCGTCGCTGCCTTGCCATAATATTCAAGTGCACGAGGGTAGTCTGCAGGAACACCGATACCCATTTCATAATAGTAGCTGTTGGAAAAAATAATATACATATTAGACGATATCGTTCTTATGTACATGCACGGTGACAAATACATACCCTAATGCAAATTCAGCATGATCATAGCCGGACGCTGCGCTGCGTTCACACCATTTAAATGCCAATGCTTCATTTAACTCGACGGCTTGTCCTTCCAGATACATTTTGCTGAGATTGAGCATGGATTCACATTGACCCCGATCAGCTGCTTTTTCATAATACCGAAAGCTAGCTGTCAAATCCAATGGTTGTTCGAATTCTCCATATTGGCAAACTTTAGCCATTCGGTCCAAAGCATCAGCGTTTCCCAGTTGAGCGGCTTTAAGATAATATTTTACACCGAGCGCGGTATCTGGATGGATTAAATCCCTGTGGTGCAGTGTTAGAAACAATGTGCGTTTATTCAAACTTCCGTAAGCTCAAAGGTTGCTCAGCTCCAACTTACTTGGGTATATTGACTTTCTTAAATTCTCCAGTGAGTATCTGTGCCATGATGAAGGCGGGTTCATGCGTTCCTGCATCAGCCATATCAGCCGCCCGTCGCAGGTACTCCAAGCCCAGCTTTAGATTTCGCTTTTGGTCAAGCTCTCCATACAGCAAAATTCGGGCCATTTTCTGACCAGACGTGTAAAATAGTGTCAGTGTAAACAATCTAGCCCTAGTCCTAATCACCCTACACTTACGAAATTAGGCTCCACTCCTCCCTTGGCGGTGGCAGATTTGTAGTATGCAACGGCTTTTCCTTTGTTACCCTTGCTCTCGTGGTACTGTGCGAGCTTGAACTTCGCTTTGACATGGTCACTTTTCGCTGCTCTCTGCCACATTCGGTATGCTTTGTCTTCGCTCTGTTTATAGCCATGAAGTCCTTTTTGATGCCAGAGACCCTTGATGTACGTAGCCTCCCCGTGCCGTTCTTTTGAAAGTCGCTCAATCCAGTATACAGCTTCCTGCAACAACCTTTGTCGCGTTGCCGAGATAGGGCGATCACTTCCACCCACCTTTTCATGCATTTGGCATACTTCAAGAAGATACAAAGCATAAACAGTTTGCGTTTTATGATCCTTGGTAAGGTTAGCCATCCGCCTCATGGTCTTTATCGTATCAGGATCATTGGTAAGAGAGTGTGAGGCAATGCTGTAGCGTGACTTGGTACTTTCTTTAACAGACTCGTCTATTGCCGTTGCAGCCGGCGGAGGAGGCACTGAGGAGCGCTGTTTGGCTGCGTTCATAGATTGAATCCCTTCAGGACCAGCCCAACTGTTTCGATAATCCTGTGCATTCATCTCGTTAACAGTATTGACAAAGGGATGGTGTAGATTCAAACCAGGAGAGTTTGGTCTGGTGTCATAGCTAAAATCTGAACCAGAGTACTGGTGATAACTCCCTGTGAATGATGCGGTTCCTATCGATGATACAGGCGAAGCAGCTCCGACGCGCGTTGGATCCAAGAATACGGTGGGCTGTAAAAAGTAATCTAATTGACTTGGTGACCGTGTCATCGGAGAAATTTGCTGCCAAAATGGTGACACTGAACGGAGAGGTGCTTCCGTTAGAGGGTCCACGAATAGAGTGTCATTCTGCTCCTTATATCCACTCTCCTGTAGCGGAGGATTATAGTCCTGTGGTGAAACTGGCGGTTCACTAGGAGGAGTTTGGCTTGCCGTTGACTGATAGTCGCTCTCCGGATTGTTGATATGCAGATTCCAACCACCACCCATTATACCTAGTTCAGGCAGCTTGTGTTCTTCTGAACCATCTTCCTTTCCATCGTACATGCATGAGGTTGCATCGGCTTTTGGCGGCTGGTCCGTATTTGGCATTTCCGTCACCAACTCCATGCTCCGTTTCGATGCTATGGAACGTTGATGACTGACCACTGAGTGATAGGAATACAGAGATGCAGCTTCATCGTCAGAACAGTCCAAGTAGTCGTTATTATTAGGCGATAGCAAGTATTGAGGGTTTGGCACTGGATCCGTATTTACACTTCTGCGACGAGATTTGACACTCGGCTGTTCAAGCTGAGCAGGCGCTTCATAGTTTGAATTGATCACGTTGGTATATGTCTCTGTATTGTCAGCTTGATTATAGCCAAAAATCGAATTATATACAGGTTTAGATTGGCGCATAATGGGCGATACTTGTTGCGGAAGTGTCAATGGCGACATAGCATTGGATGGTGGCTGAACCTGACGCTCCATAGGAGGTTTGGGAAGTGGTTTGGATGGACGTTTGCTGGGGGTGCCTTGACTACGACCGCTACTGACCGTTGAAAACTGGTCTTCCTCGTTGACGTCCAGTTCGTGCACAGACACCATACGCTTCATGGCTGGAAATTCATCTGGATGGGATATGTGAAGTCGCTGTAAGGGCAGTCTATTTGGTTCGGCTGGGGCTTCATAGTATTCCGTCAATTTTTTTGCTTGAAACTGTGAATAATAACTCATGTATATCGGAAGGTCATACAGACAAGATCTCGGTATCAGGGACACTCACGATTTTTATTTTATTGACCAGCTCTCACTTACCGTTTTGGAGCCATGTTTTGGAAACAGCATCTAAAAAAGGCAATTTTAGTGTCAGGGTATTCCATTACAGCTCTTCTTTGGTGTAAAGACATGGCTGAGAATTTTCAGGAAAGAATTTTCAGGTAGAAGTGCATACATATCAAAAATGTGCCAGATGTTGTCTATGAAAGAGCTAGGATTTGAGGGCAGCGTTCTGTTAACAGAATATTACGTACTCGCTAGGTTCGCTTAGTTGGAATTGTAACGCTTGTGGAACCCACCGTTGGCGTAAATGATATGTTTAGCCATGCTCACAAACCAGTTGGCAATACCATGGTTGCAGTACTACCAAGAATGCCCTTCCAGGATCTTTAGACAGGTGGTTTTCAATCACAGCAGATGAGTAGGCGTTTCTTGATATTAGGGTTCATGCTACTGGTGCTGTCATTCGGGTTAGCTTAATGTCACAGAAATGGTTACAACCTATCAGGAGAGGCAGTCTTGATGAACAGTTTAGCAAACATTTCTGTGTGTAGCCAACGCGATTTTTGAGACATTGGCGAGTGACAAGCGAGTATTAAGGATGAGCAAAATAATGCAGGATGTCGATCACTACACCTGATACTCTTGGAATGATAAATCAATCAAATACCATCATGTTTATGTAGCATACTATATTACTGTTCTGTAACACAGCGAAAAGCTCACTGCTGAATCATGATCTGTTGACAGTTTTGTTCTTCCCTTCTGTCACAAGGTAGATGGATTTGTAAATGGAACCCACCGGTGTTTGTTATCACAACCAGCAGGCTTACCAATGTTTCTTCAGTTCTTGTCTGCAGCAACGCGATTTTCTATTGTACACTATATTGAAACTTTAGACCCCAATAGCCCTTTTGTCATGGCGTAAGTGCTGCATCCCTTGAACTCGTTTTGTCTCTTTACTTGCCTCTGTTCCTGTGTTACGAAAGCCGAAGAAATCACTAGTGTTCTGATTCTGAAGTTTTCGTTTGCATACATTAACCAACCAAGGAAGGGTAAATGGTTCATCAAAAGAAACAAAACCTGGCATAATACATCAATACGCATTCATTAGAGTCACGGCTGATGGGAGGAGAGATACGAAGGCACAAAATTTTGGTGTGTCATTTTTTTTAATAACAAACAAATGAGAGTGAACCACCTGCATGATTTCGATGATCAAAGAAAGTGGTCCTTCCAGGTTGACGGATCAGTCCATCAAACCCTTTGCTATCTCTACAGGTAACTCTTTGGACCGTGATAGCCTGCCTAAACCAAGGGGTCAGACCTCGATCGCTTTCCTTTTTCATTCCCTCCAATGTTGACGCTTGTCTTGACAGTTTCCTTATCCGCCCACTGCATTTATTACCTCCTTTGGCAAGTTGGGCATGACTATGGTCTTAGATGCCTTCGCCGGAAGGAAGGCATTTGAACTTATTCATGAGACTACGGGTGTTGGATAAAACCAGGTTTCATACTCCGACGGACTTTGGCAACCATGGCCCAAGCGATGGGAATGAGGGCCAATGACGACAATGAGGGTGAATGAACATTCGTAGGCGTTTTCATGCGAAATAATGATGATGTTTCCTCTATTCATTCAAGGTATGTCATGTCACACTATCAAGTTTCTGCATGAAAATTTCAGCCCATAGCGGTCTACCAACTCAAAAAAGTATTTACTGGCACCCCCAAGGTGACGCCGATGGGCACCCCCCTATTCAGAACCATCGGAACCAAATGAGGTATGGATGGGCCAAGCAACAACCTATAACTTGTTTGTAATCGTAACAGAGCTGTTTTCGGAGGGACCCATTCCGGATCCCTGCATCTCTATGGAGCGAAGGGTTCACCAATCAGATAGAGCTGGCCGGTTGTTGGAGCCAACATAGCAAAAACATTCAAGCTACTAGTCGGAGATTGGCCAGGTTTGTTTTCCTGAGAGCTTGGCAGGTGTGCGAACTGCCATACTGGGAATAGGAATTGACCTTATCTGTGCACGTAATAGTGCTTTTTTTCAACCAAAAGCCGGCAGCAACACCAAAGATCCGTCGTGTGGGGTAATGAGAGACTCAACATCTCGTTTGCATAACCGCCCCCAGGTAAAAGATAGAGGGAAAGACAGTCAATGGCGATACTATCGGTTGGCTCTCATTTGGGGGATTTCTACTTTACAGCAATAGGCTTTCGAATCATGTGGCGTGTTGGTTTCAAGCGCAAAATGAAGTCATACGCCTATAGAAGAATGAAGAAAAAACGCTCAAGCAGCTCCTTGCACCCAACCACATCATCATAGCAATATAACCGGATTGGTAGGTCAGAGATAACAAAAACACGATGGCGAGTGGACGATCATTGCTTACTGCAAGTGTGTCCCTAAAACCAAAGGAGGTTTCAAAGCGACTATTGGATGTGAAACCAGCAAGAACAAGAGAAATTTTCTAGGCAAGGGTTTAAGCGTATATAAAGAGATGGATGCGATAGAGAAAACTTTTCTTCTTTACCTTTTTTTTTTTCCCTTCTCACCTTTTCCCCCTTCTCGCTCACTTTCATTTCTCTGTCCAGCCGTAAAACATGCCCGCTTCACCCGCTACCATGAACAACAAGCTGAACAAGTCCGAAACTGGGTCCAAGAAGTCAGCCGCTTTGGCTGCAAATTCCTCCAAATCCGTATCTGGGGAAGAGATCAACAAGGCCAAGGAGCTCCGTGACGAGCTCTTTGCTGCCACCACCGACGATGAGCGTAGCTCTGCCGCCGAGGGGCTTGCTCGCTATATCGACCGTCACGGCGTCCTCTCTCTTCAAGACTTTGGTATTTTAAACACCATTTCTACTGAACTGAACAATAAGAAGAACGCCAATGCTCGCCAGGCCGCAGTCGCTCTGATCGCTGCTATCATCAACCATGCTTGTGAACGTCAAGCTGAACCCTATATGATGGGTTTTCTAGCTGACCTCTTGGAATTGCAGGCTGATAAGGTGCCCGCTGTCAAGACGGATGCCGCAGCCACTGCCAAGTTGATGATTCACAATATGGCTCCTAATGCCGTGGCTCATATCACGCCCATGTTGATGGAAGCCTTGACCAACTCCAAGAAGTGGCCTACTAAGATGCTCTCCTTGTCTCTCATTGATGAGTTGGTCAAGATCAGCCCAAAGGCCCTCCACTCTGTTATCCCCAAGATTGTTCCATCTATCTCCGACTGTATGTGGGATACCAAGCCTGATGTCAAGAAGGCTGCTACTGCCACTATGGGAAATGTGTGCTCTCTTGCCGATAACAAGGATATCGAACGTTTCATTCCCGCTGTCATCCAGTGTATCAACAAGCCTGAAAACGTCCCAGAGACCATTCACTTGTTGGGTGCCACCACCTTTGTTCAAGAAGTTGACTCTGCTACTTTGGCCATCATGGTTCCCTTGCTTGCTCGTGGTCTCAACGAGCGGCAAACTCCCATCAAGCGCAAGTCAGCTTTGATCATTGATAACATGTCCAAATTGGTCGATGATCCTAACGTGGCTGCACCATTTTTGCCTCTCCTTTTGCCTGGTTTGGAAAAGACGTATGAAGTCGTTGCTGATCCCGAATGCCGTGGAGTGGTCGAAAAGGCTCTTGCTACTCTCAAACGGGTTGGAACTCCTACCAAGGCCACCAAGACGCCTGAGCAGAAAGCCGAAGCTATCAAATCCGCTCTCAAGGACTTACTTCCTAAAGACATCAATCCTTTCTTTAACTGCATTGTTGAGTACATCGGCGATCTTGCTATCTCCTTGTCTACCATTATGGATTTCAACAAGAACGAGTGGTCCGTCAATGTGACTGATTTTGCTGTTGCCTTTATGGATCAAGAACTTGCTGAAGAGCTGGCTAGCAATTTCATCGAGCGCTGCGAAGACGCTGTCGCCGAGAAGGAAGTCGAAGAAGATGACGATGAAGGCGAAGATCTCTGCAACTGCGAATTCTCCTTGGCTTATGGTGCCAAGATCTTGCTTAACCGTACCTCTCTGCGCCTCAAGCGCGGAAAGCGTTATGGACTTTGCGGTGCCAATGGTTCTGGTAAATCCACTCTCATGCGTGCCATCGCTAATGAGCAAGTCGAAGGCTTCCCACCCAAGTCCGAGCTTAAGACAGTCTATGTCGAACACGACATTGATGGTTCCGAAGCCGATACTCCTATCGTTGACTTCGTTCTCGCTGACGAAGGGGTTGAAACCAAGGATAGAGACGCTGTTACCAAGATTTTGCTGGAGTATGGTTTCACTGATGAAATGCTTGCTAATCAAGCCATTGGTGCTCTTTCCGGTGGCTGGAAGATGAAGCTTGCACTGGCTCGTGCTATGCTCAAGAACGCTGACATTCTTTTACTCGACGAACCCACCAATCATTTGGATGTCGTCAACGTTGCCTGGTTAGAGAACTACCTGTTGGGTCTCAAGACTGTTACCTCCATGATCGTTTCTCACGACTCTGGCTTTTTGGATAAAGTCTGTACCGATATCATTCACTACGAAAAGAACTTCAAGCTGAAGCGTTACAAGGGTAACTTGTCAGAATTTGTCAAGAAGGTTCCCGAGGCTGCCTCATACTACTCCCTTGGTGCATCTCAAATCACTTTTGCTTTCCCTGAACCTGGTTTCCTTGAAGGTATCAAGACCAAGGAACGCGCTATTTTGAAGATGAAGGATTGTGATTTCCAATACCCTGGTTCTAGTAAGAAGCAGCTTATGGGCATCACCATGCAATGCTCCTTGTCCTCTCGTGTGGCTGTCATCGGTCCTAATGGTGCTGGAAAGTCTACCTTGATTAAGATATTGACTGGCGAACATGAACCTCAAACTGGTACTGTTTGGAAGCACCCCAATCTCCGAATTGCCTATGTTGCTCAGCATGCTTTCCATCACATTGAACAACATTTGGATTCCACCCCTAACCAGTATATCCAATGGCGTTACGCTACCGGTGAAGATCGTGAAGAACTTGACAAGGTAGATCGTCAGTATACTGCCGAAGAAGAGAAGGCCATGACTGCTGTTCATATTATCGATGGAGAGAAGAGAGTTGTTGAAGAAATCGTGGGTCGCCGTAAGCTCAAGCAGTCCTACGAATACGAAGTGAAGTGGGTTGGCAAGTCCTCTGTTGAGAACACCTGGATTCCTCGCCACAAGCTCGAGGACATGGGTTTCTCCAAGAAGATCGCTGAATGCGACTCTGCCGAAGCTGCCAAGTTGGGTCTCAACCGTCCCTTGACCGCCAAGGAAATCGAGAAGCATCTCACTGAAGTCGGACTTGAAGCCGAATTTGCCACCCACTCCCGTATCCGTGGTCTTTCTGGAGGTCAAAAGGTCAAGTTGGTCATTGGTGCTGCTATGTGGAACAGACCCCATATGTTGGTTCTTGACGAACCTACCAATTACCTCGACCGTGAATCTCTAGGAGGTCTTGCTACTGCTATTCGAGAATATGGCGGTGGTGTTGTCATTGTTACTCACAACCGTGAATTCTCTGAGGAGCTCTGTTCTGAAGTCTGGAAGGTCGATGCTGGTAGACTTGTTGCTTCTGGTCACAACTGGGTTTCCGGAAATGGTTCCACCGTCATTGCTGATAAGGAGGAAGAAGACCAAATCGACGCCCAAGGCAATACAGTGAAAACTGTACGAAAGGCTAAGCTCACCTCAAAGGAACTTCGCAAGAAGAAGAAGGATCGTATGGAACGTCGCAAGCGCGGTGAAGAAGTGTGGTCAGATGAAGACGACGAGTAAAGAAAAATCCTTAGCAAAAAGAAAAAAAATGGCTGAAAAAAAAAATTCGAAGAACTCAATTGCTTGGATCGACCATTGCTTTTTTTTTTATTATTATTTTCCTTCATACGTGTCTGTACATACATTCATTTCACATACGTCCTCTTTATTTTCTTGCATATCACGGTTGTAATTGTAGCCTATTGGCATGTTTAACTTCTTATTTGTTTTGATTGTTTTAAGTTTTGTATTAAAGCGCTATCATTTAGACCAAAGTACACAAGCGCACAAAATAAATATCAAAGTTGTTCAAACTACACAGACTTAAAGTTTATGGTATAAAGTGAAGTTTGAGATGAAGCATACGGAGGAGTTCCCTTGTTTTCCAAACAGTGTGTGCACATCAAAAAACATGAAGCATAACATGGAGTTTTTTATTATGTGCATTGAAGAGGTTGGCAATCTTTGCTATATTTCTCATATTTATATATTATTTTTTGCAAAAAGAAATCCAAGTGTCGATACATCTCTTTATGTGAAAATGGGTGTGCTGATATCAGCACCATGGTATATGTGTTTTCTATTTTTTTTTTTTTGAAAAGGACATTCTCTTCTGGGCAGCTCTTCATTGCTGCCCCAGGTCGGCATAGCATTTATCGCACACTCGGTGGTGCTGTGATGCCAACGTATGTAGAGACTCAGCACCATGTGGGTCTTTGAGGATTTGGTTGGCTGGTAAGAAGGTTCTAGCCGTTGAGCATTTATCGCATACAACAAGACCACATCGTCTACAATGGTGGCGTCGATTGAGGAGGCCAAATCGTTTGTTACAACGACGACAGTCATTGGCTTCAGCGTCAGGCTCCCATTTGAAAGTACGAGTAGGCGTTGCTTCTTGTTGTAATGGTTCAAAGGCTTGAGATATACCACTACCGCCGCTGCGGGCTGATCCTAGCATACTTGCAGCACTCTGTGAGGTATTTGAGCGTGACAGACGTCCAACAGGGAACATGGCTTGTTCCCGAGATTGCAACCAAGGGTTGGCACCCAAATCACGACTCATAGGTGAACCATCCGCCGATGATACAGTCACGTTCGCTGGCTCTGTAGGGCTTGGCTGATCAAAAAAGCCAAGTTCACGTTCCAATTCAGCGTTCCGTGTGACAGGAGCAGATGTTATAGGGGTAGTAAGCTGAGGGGCCAGCTCTGTAATCTCCTTGTTAAGTTTGTCTGCGTTGTTGAGATATATGTTGACCAAATTGGAGGCATGTTTCTTTCGACGTTGGTTTTGATCCGCTAGTAAGGACAATTTAAATCAAATTAAAAACCCAATCGATTAATTTGGGAAGGATACCAGAAACAATAACAATCCACCTACATTTGATGCCTGCCAATAAGATCTGGATGGCTTCTTCGTAAGATCGAAGCTTCTGAGTAAGGCTACGTAGCTCTTGGGCAATCATATCTTTATGATTAGCGCTAGGGTGGTGAGCCTTGGAAACTTGTGATTTTTGGACCATCTTGCGAACTATCGCTTCAGCACGATACAGATAGTCTTGCTTATCACCTTGCTCATCTTCTTCCTCTTGTCTGCGCGCATTTTCACTGAGAACCAGAGCGTCTTGGTTTCCTTGATGGCCGCCGTTAACCAAATCCATTCTTCTCTTCATCACACGTACCCATCGTCTTCTTCGTACCCATCCTGAACCACTACCAGGTGCTACAGGTGTCCATCTGTCGTCGGCATCATCGAACGTTTTGGCATACTGCCATCCCGACGTTGGATCGACCCGTGGATCACTATAGTCGATCTGCCAGTCGGTTAGCCAGAACCAATGAGATTGATCGGAAGAAGCATTTGATGATGACGGTAAGCGCACTTCTTCCTTTTGCTTTGGTTTTCCCGTCGCATGGTCAGACCATGCACCACGTGAATCAGCTTTGGAAAGAGCAGCAGCAGAAAACGACGGTCTAGCCAAACCGAAATTAGAGAGTACTGAACTGGAACGCTGATTCTCATGCAAAGTATTGGTAACAGTGACGTGAAATTCCAGCGGATCGTATTGTTTTCCTTTGGTGTAGATGCTGATGTCGAAACCTAAGGGGGTACCAGCTGTTTCAATTACACGAGCTAAGAACTGCAGGATCCCAGAATGTTTGCTTACCTTGTTCAGGGCTGCGATTCCACCATTGTTTTTCCGCTTTTTCAAGCATCTCACATATATAGGATTCACCAGCAGCAGCACTGACATCATATGCGGCCTCTCCAAAGGAATTCTTGATAAGAGGATTTGCGTGTGCTTCGTCCACCAAATATTCTACGATTGACATATAACCCTTGGATGCGGCATTGACTATTACAATCCACGTTAGGTATGAGAAGATAGCGACTGATGACTTATGCACACATACGATACTTACTCAGAGGAGTGTGACCCATCTTGCTTCGGACATCAATACGAGCACCGCGTTCAACTAGAAAGCGCACAATTTTGGAATGTCCGCGCGAGCATGCATTATGCAGAGCCGTCCAGCCGTCTTTATCCTTGTGATGAATATTAACATGATGGTCTTGAACCAGGTATTGGACCACTGTAAAATGACCATTATATGCAGCTTTCAGCAAGGCCGTCTATGCAAAAAAGAAAAGAAAAATGAGAAATGACTGATCCTGTATGAAATATATGTAACGCGATAGATTTCGCCTATTATTCACAAAATCAAAGCCCTTATTTACCTCTCCTTCTCTATCCTCAATATCAGTCAAAGCCCCATACTCTTCGCATAGGGATCGCGTTACTTCCAAGTGACCGCGTGATGCAGCAAAGTGCAGCAAAGTCAAACCTGTAATGGGTTGATCCTGGTTGACATTGTTGTTCTCGTTTAACAGCTCCTTCAACTTTTGTAAATTGCCATTGGAAGCAGCAGTATATAGGGATGTTGATTCGCGCTTTGGCTTAGGTTTTGGCTTCGGCGAAACCTTAGGGCTGGTATGGTCCGTAATGGCCGGAAGAAGTAACTGTGTGTTGTGGATAGAACCATAGTACTGATGTACTTGGCCGGGAATTGGAGGATGAATGAAGTCCATGGTGAATGGAGCCACTGAAGCCGTCATGGAAAGACAGCTGGTTTGAATTTAACGAATGGTAGAAAGGAAACCTGAAGTGTATAGGAACAAGAAGCCCTGTGTTACATGGGCCAATAAATGAAGGCAATGAAATTGGGCATGCCAAGACTAGGGAACAGGACCCCTTCAAGCGATAGAACGACAGAGCTGTTCATAAGAAGGAGGAGGACTCATATAGTTGACTCTGCTTTCATGGTGATGGGCCAAAAATTCATTTAGGTACCCCATAAATTGTAATTTCTCCGTGCGACATCTCAGTCATCTCCCCTTCTCTCTCTCTCTCTCTCTCTCTCTCTCTCAATCCAACTCCTCTACCCACCTCCACTAAATTCTCGAATTGGGTTGCATCATGGCCGTTAGTCCTTCAGCCACCGATGGAGAGAGCAAGGATGTTCATAAGCAATATGAGAATATGTCTTATGATGAGGTCTCGCAAAAGATGGCCGAAAGTTATCAGCAAATATCAGCCATGCTCGGCACCAATCTAACATCAGGCTCACTCTCTGATGCGCCCACCACCCCAGCATCCAGTGCGCACTCTACACCTGCATTAGAAGCTGATGAATTCATAAACGAAACCCTCATCCTCAATAAGCAAGACCTGACCGACGAGGAAAAGCACACAAAGATCACTCGTATCTTCACGCGAGCAGCCTCCAATGGTGATGTCGAGAAAATCAAGGAGATGCTTGCAGCCAAGGAAGTCAGGCCCTTCATTGATATTGACGCTAGGGATGAAGATGGTACCACTCCCTTGATCTATTCAGCATGCTTTGGCAAAGTAGACGTTGCGTTGGCCTTGCTCGATGCTGGGGCCAAGGTAGATACCCAGGATAAATGTAAGTTTAATTGCTTGTACGACAAAACCCCCCAATACATAACAGTTTATTAATACCCTCATTCTTATGTAGTTGGCTGGTCAGCTCTGATGTGGGCAACCAACAACAATCATAACACTCTCGTCAAGGCTTTGCTGGAACACGGTGCTTCCGCATCGACAAAGTCTGCCAAGGGTCGAACCGTCTTTGACTTTGTCCATACTGACAATCAGAAGATCGCGGAAATTCTCGCTACCAACCCGCGTGATTCTATCTCAAGTACTTCTAGCTTTGGTTTCGCCAGAACTGGCGGTAGCTCATCATCCTCATCGTCCCATGCTGATAACGACTTTTACTACCAATCCACTGTTGAGGGGTTCGATAGCTTTATGGCCGAGGAGGCCGACCGACACTTGAAGCTTATGGAATCTGCATTGAACATGGGCGATTTCGATATTGGCGACTTGTCGTATGATGTCAACGATCTATCATTGGACAACATTAATGAAGATGATGACGATGACGATCCAAACGGTCCAATCAACATGTGCACCGAATTTGAATGGGACAAGTGTTTACCAGATCAGATGTTTGTTTTCTCCTCTGACGACCTTGAATATATCCTGGATACCATAATCACCAACATCCAACTCCCGCTGAAATCCCGCCAAGAACTCTGTGTCCCAGCCAATGTCCTGTTCCTCAGCGCACGCTTTGCTCATTATTTCTCAAGTGATGAACTTCTGCGCGAAGTCATGGATGGAGCTTTAAGTCGCATGAGCAAAGTTGTGAAGGTAACATACCATTCAATTTATGTACATCTTAATTAGGGCAGATGCTAATCTGTTTCGACAACAATTTTGATTTAGGCCAACGTCAGGAACACTCACATTTTAGCTTTCTGGATCACTAATTTTACTCAATTACTGTATTATTTGAAGAAAGACACTGGCCTGGTTGTGGTGACAGCTGAAGATCAACTCAAACTATCCGAATTGATCTCAGAGACCTACCAAAGCATCATCACCGATACCGAGAGGCGAATTGAAAAAATCTTAGAACCAGCCCTACTAGAACATGATCAAATCCCTGGTATGGAAGAGGTCAACTTTGCAGATGACTGGCAACGCTTCTTCAAGCGATCGTCCCGCAAACCATCCGGGGGTGCTGATGGGCTCAAAAGAACGTCTTCCATACTTCAAGCTGCCTCCAGTGGAAAACATGCCAGCGATACTGGCAGAAACTTATCCCCCAAGGCTATCACGACGTTACTCACCTCCACTCTGCGGGGCTTGCAATCGTACGAAGTGCATCTTACCATTATCATACAAGCTATTGCTCAATTTTTCCATTACACATCATGTGAAATGTTCAATCGCATTCTCAAGAACAAAAAGCTTTTGTGCCGGTCGAAAGCTCTGCAAATTCGCATGAATATTTCCCTCATTGAAGACTGGGTACGACATAATCAACTTCCTTCCAGCCTTAATACATATTTCAATCCTTTGGTCCAGCTACTTCAACTCCTCCAATGTCTATCTCAATTGACCGACTTGATGTCGTTCATTAACACCATCAAGAAGTTTGACGTTCTTAATGCACTTCAAGTCAAGCGCTGTGTTGTAAACTATCGTTACGAAGTGAACGAACCTCGCGTTCCAGAGGAAATTGAAAAGTACGCTATGCAAATTGCTGATGACACCGAGCGGTACAAAAAAGCGCGCCAAGCTCGAAAGTCAGTTGAAAGTGTACGCAACAAACCCGTTGCACCCGGATTATCCAGGACCAGCAGCGTTTCCCTCCAGAGGTCTAACTCCAAACGAGAAAGCTCATCCAGCTTTGTTGGCTCTATCATGTCAAGTGTAGGCTTCCATACTTCATCTCCACCCACGCCTACTGGTGTTGGGTCTCCCACGACAGAGTATCCTAACAACACATTTTTTGCCAACCATCAACAGGCGACTGAAGGGCCAGATGGACGTCATTCAATGAGCCTTGCCAATGAAAGTGACAATGATGATGATGAAAAGGAAACAGTCGAAACAAGAGACTCCAAGTTCATGCTCCCATTCTCGGTCCCCACTACCGCAAATATGATTTATATGAACGGTTGGGGAAAATTCGGCAAGCACAATGGAACGGACGTCAAAGATTCAGACAGTGCAAAGAAGGCGGAGGAAAACGTTGAAGACACCGCCAGTGAGGATAAGGTACATCTTGACAGAGAGCGAATGGTCATACCTTTCATACCCGATAACTGGATGGACAAGCTGGACAAGCAACATGCCGTTGCTACCAACTAAAAAAAAATTATATATCGGAGCCACGCTTTGACATCCACTCTTCAGCTATACCCGAATCAAATTTCTTTTTGCAAACATCCTAATGGCAGAAGCAACAGAAAAGCAAACACACAGGAAAAATGAGAGGAAACGCAGAAAAAAAAGTAAAACAAATACACACAAGCGTTATCTTCAGTATGCAACTACAACCGCACTTTATACACCCCTCCTTATGGTCATTGACTGAGTAATTGGCATTCAATTTTTTTTCCTTTCTTTCTAATAACTTCATCGGTCTTGTTATATTTGATTCTCACTGTGCTTACTCTGCTATTCGTTTTATGTCTTCATTGCTGCTATGTAAAGTATGATTTGCCGACTTCCCATGGTACCCTTTTTTGTGGGCTCATATTGGATTCTTAGACAATACAATAAACCAGCTTGATATATAAGTTGGCTTGTGTGCAGAGGGCGTGGTGGGTATTTAAAAGATATCTCATCGCATAAGGGGAAAAGAAGTCATCGTTTGGGATTTGAAGATTGTTTGTGTATTAGCATGTCAGGGCATGTTGTCTAACATCGACATCCTTTATTACTGTGCCTCATACCATTTAATAAAAAAAAAAAAAAGAGACAGGATATATGACTCAAAGCCGTATTAAAGAACGAGCCTTTTGCATCTAAATCTACAAGAATGAGGGGTGATGAGCTCTAGGTGGTTGATGACAGAGAGTACTTGGTCCACATATGACAGAGAAAGAAATCAGCTTGGCTGACACTGCCGCTTTTCGTTTCTATTCATCCTTGGTCTCCTGCTTCTCTTCTGTCTTGTGCTCAGCTTCAGTCTTGGCTTTCTTCTCGGGCTTGACGTCCTTGTTCTTTCTCCTTCGCTTTGCGCGGTTCTTTGCTATGCGTTCCTCATCCTCTGCTTTCATTCGTGCCAATTTCTCGGCATATTCTTGCTTCTCTTTTTCCTAAAGTACTTGCGTTAACACATCATGCTCGCAACGGCTGTAAAGATTTTATTGTTACTAACCTTGGCTTCCTGTTCGTCCATATCCTTTAATCGCGTATATTCCTTTCGTCGCAACGCTCGGTAAACATGAAATTCTCCACTTCCAGCACCAGCACTAGAACCTGAATATTTTGACGTCAGTATATATCCATTTTGAAGAAGTGGATGCGGTGCGGTCCTTACCTTGAACATTGCGGACTACATCCGGTGGTGGTTTTAAACTCTTCTCTTTCTTTGGTTCGGGAAGTACAATGGGTTTATCTACACGTTCAAATAGTTTTTGAAGCTGTCTTTGCTGCTGCTCTTGGAATGAAAGAGTGTGCCAGCTCTTCTTTTCTTCCTTGGGCTTGCTTGTGTCTGCCATGATCTACTGTCGGTTCAGCTTGGGAAGCAGCAAAAGCAGCGACTGGGCCTCCCCGATTCAAAAGACAGTCCTTGTCACGTGAACACACTTTTTTTGCTGCAACCTTTTTTTTTTTTCGTTTTCCAAACGAAGAACCATCGGCTGCGATCATAGAACTTTGTCGTCGTACTCCAAACAGAATCTATACGATGCCTCAAGATTACTCGTTAGAAGCCGTTCAAGTATGCTCAACCACATTTGTCGTAAAACTTTCAAAATGCATTATTAACCTTGCATTTTCTGATTGTCCTGGAAAAATAGAAACGTCTTGAATCACATGCGCAGACGTTCGATACTCTTCTCAAACTCATACCTGCAAAGTATTATATCACAGACCACACCGATGATGACAAGGTATGCTTTACCGAACAGTTTAATGGTGTCTAATAGCTTTATGTGTCGGAACCCTGATCGTCTTGACATCGTTGCTAGCCATCAAAGTTTATGAAGAACAAGCGAAAACAAGCCCCAAAGCAGGCTGTGAAAGAAGCATCAAAGAAGGCAAAGAAGGCCAAGGTAATGATCCAAGGCCACTTTGAAAAATTTCATGGGATATTTGTCTTGCCATATTAAACCTCGTTCCCCTCAGCTTGATCCAGAGAGCCATAAAACCGTTGCTGAATTACAACAGGAAGCTGCTGAACGCAAGGAGGCAGAAAAGAAACCGCAAGCTGCCGTAGTAGACGATGAAGATAGCGAAAGCAACGATGATGCTGAAGATGATGAAATGATTGAAGCCAATTTTGCCGGTTTGAGTAACGGCATTGCCTCCGACGATGAAGAAGATGATGAGGAGGAGGACGAAGATGAACAAGATAAAATGGACACATCTGATTCTGCAAATATTACTCCAATGGTCAAGACCGACATCTCTGAACTTAAGGAACGTCTCCACAAGCGCATCGCCGATTTGCGCAAGAACCGAAATGCACCAAATAGCGACGCTGCTAACCCCAAGAGCAGAGATTCCATATTGCAAAGCCGAATGAAGCGCAAGCAAGATAGAAAGAAGAGCTTGCAAGCTCAGAAGGAGAAGAGAAGCAAGGGTGCTGTTAACGAAGAAATTATCCAGGAATCAGCGCCCGTCAACAAGGGCAAGGTCGAGAAATACTCTGCCAGCTCCATTAAGGATGATGGGGATCTCTTCTTTGGTAGAATCGAAACCGGTGCTGAGCACAAGAAGAAGAAGGGCCCAAGTGATGCCAAAACACAGCTCAAGGCTGTTGAAGCTAAGCAGCAAAAGCTTGAAAAACTTCGAAAAGAAGATAAGGAGAAGGCTGGACAGTTGGAAGAGAAGGAGACTTGGAGAAAGGCATTGTCTCTTGCTTCTGGTGAAAAGGTTAAGGATGACGTCAAGTTGTTGAAGAAGACGATAAGACGTGAAGAACACGTCAAGCTTAAGAGTTCCAAGGCATGGAACGAACGTAAGGAGAAGGTTAAGAAGGATGAATCCGACAAGATCAAGAAGAGAAACGCCAATATCCAAAAGAAGGTGGATGCCAAGAAAGACAAGAGAATGGGCAAGAAGGTAAAATTTCATACAGAGAGATCATGATGACTGTAAGAAATATATTTACTGATGGATACAACTTGTTTAATAGCCTAAAGCACCTAAAGCACGACCAGGATTTGAAGGCAAAGGCAAGAAGCCCATGCACGCCAGCAAAAAGGCCAAAGCTAGCAAAAGGAGCGCAGAAGGCATGAACAACAAGAAGAAATAATTCCCCTCCCAAACGTTGTTTGAATACACTCACTTTTTGCTTTATTACTTTGCACTTTAAACCGCATTTCCCCTCTACACATTTGCCATTTTTCAAGCACTGTATTTTTTAAATAAAAATTCTTTTTTTTGATGACGCTGCTCTCCGACTGAACTGGAGAACCTCTTGCCAGGCGCGTTTTTGTCACCAAGTGATCGTTGATCGGGAAGGCTTGTCAAGTACCCTCCTCTCCTTTCTATTAAAAGCACATCGGTTCTGCTGCTCTGAGAGATCTATTTATTTTAATTATATTCAATTTCAACACGCTGATTCATCATGTCGCAACCACCACAGCAAGCACCATCGATCCAACAATACCAACGAGCGTTGGAAATCTATACCAACTATCTCGGTAATTTGCGCACTGAACTTCAAAAAACAACTCTGACTGCAGAAGAGAGAGAACGATTGCAAGCACAGGAGAAGGACTATCAAGAAAAGATCACCATGTTCCAAACCTTGCTGAACAACATTTCGGCTTCATTTGCAGCTCAAATGCGACCAGGAGGCGGGCAAGCCATTAACTTGCAGCAACAACAGCAGTATGCGCAACAGTTACACCAAGCTCAAGCGGCTGCTATGGCTTGTATGTTCCCGTGTTTGATTATGTCGTAACTTGCTTGGCTCAGTCAATGATTAACACTAAACTTACAGCTGCAAGTCAACAACGTGCTAAAGTTGCAATCCCGAATGGTAAGCATCCCTGGTCTGTGCCCTCTGTCCAATTGTTACTTTCCATATCTCATTTCTGTTTAAACAGCTACAGCAGCCAATGTTGCTACAGAACAAAACAAGTCTGTCCCTACAACCCCAGTCAGTGCGAAAGCTCAACTATACCCCTTTACTCTTGGCCATACAGTCTCGCAAAGCGGTGAATCCACTTCTACGCCTACTGGGGTAGTCACTTCTGCACCAGCCGCCATTCCAAAGACTACCTTTGAGGTTGATAGCAATCAATTGTTGGGAAAGAGGAAAATACAAGAACTTGTGGGTCAGATCGATCCTAGTGAACGATTAGAGCCGGAAGTAGAGGATGTAAGTAATTGTTCAGGGATATGGAGAATCTAGTATCTCATCTAATGCGAATCTTGGTTCATAGGTTTTGCTGGAAATTGCGGATGAATTCATTGAATCCGTGACCACATTTGCTTGCCGACTTGCTAAGCACAGAAAGTCAGATACGCTGGAGGTGAAGGATCTGCAATTGCATTTGGGTAAGTTCAAGGAAATCGGTGAAACAAGATGGGATAGAAAGTTAGTAATGCTTGTTTTGTCATTAGAACGCAACTGGAATATTCGTATTCCTGGATTTGCTTCAGATGAAGTTCGGTCGTTGAGAAAACCTGTTGTCCCGCCTAACCATCAATCAAGACTACAAGCTGTCAATCTAGCTAAAAGCCAGACTGGCCCATCCATTGCTGGCATGAGTATTAAGAAAGACAATTAGGCCACCCTGTGTTCGAGTCGACCCAATATTCTCTCAGGCTATTTTTCTTTTGGGGCTACATACAGCACTTTGTATATACAACTTCTTTTAATTGTACCTTTTGTGGCAGGAAAAAATAATGAAAACTTTACAATAAAAAATTGCTTCTGTGATATTATACTTTTTTACTTTATACGATCCAAGTGTTTGTCATTATCAAACTTTTATACGTGATGTTTGTCTTTTTACCATGGTGGAAGCATTAGATGTGGCGGAATCATTGTTGGAGGTGGTATTGGGACCGGCATAGGAAAAGGGTACAACATAGGTGGTGGAGGACGCTCCATAGGCGGCATGATGGGATACATGGTATTTTGGACAACTGGCTTTCTTTGTGCATCTCGGGGAGGAGGAGATTTTGGCCGCAATTCTTCAATTCCTGTGACAAAACGTGTTAGTTTTGTTTATATCTTATATGAAAAGCCGCCGTTATGACCAAACGCTGCGGTTTACTCACTTGGAGTAGTCTGTAAGAGTCGACCGTTCATCGCTAGTTGCTGCAAATATGCCTTGGGTGTGAAGTTGCTATAAGAGAGGTCGCACCCCAACGTTACCCAGCCAGGTCGTAGATTATGATCCTGTAACATTTATCTTGTCAGACAGATTATAGAATAATAATGAAACAAAAAAAAAACTAGTTGTATACCTCTCCAAAAAGTTCTAGTCGTCTAGTGCCAAGGCAAAAATGCTCCACAATGTGATAAAGCTCTTCTGGCTTTCTTGTACCTAAGTTATACCCGTTATTCAAACAATGAACTTTGGCATTTATTTTCTTTACAAAAAAAAAATCGTAAATTCTTTGCCGACACAAAGCTGGTACTTACTGTTATATGGCGCCTCTTCAGATACAATGACGTCCGTATCAATATTGCAATGAATGAAATGTCCATCTGTACTGCGTCGAACAGTACCTTTTATTCCCATTAGACAGTGCTCTTTGGTATGTTGAAGAACTTCACCGTCATTCACATTACGGCTCCCCTAACGTTATAAAGCTTTCAGTAAAAATAAAAATGAAGACCTAATCACTCACAGTAAGCACCCTACCTTCATATGCTTATTTGTTTTAACCCATATCAGGTCTTCACAGCGGCGGTATCCCCACTTCATCAGCAGTTGTCTGCCGCGACTGACATTTTGCGAATTTCCACACCATATCCATATAAATGAAGGATTAGCAGCGACAGCCTCAATATCAAGGTTAGCAACATCGTTGTAAGACCACACATCGCGTGCAGAAAACGCAGTGACAGAAGAACGGCGACAGTATCTAGATTCCGTCTCCATGTTAGAAATTATAGATGACAGTCGATAGAAAATGTAATAAACATACTCTTCCCAAGGCGGGTCTATCACAATCACATCAAATTTACACATTAAATTCTGAAGTTTGTACTTTCTTAAATTCACTTGAAGTGCCCATGGAAGACTTGTTGTTGCTTTCACTATCTCTTCCTTTGCGCAAATTAGCTCTTGTAGTTTGGGATACCTAACAGGAAAATGCAAAATAAAAGGTTAACATTCAATAGTGAAGATAATCATGAAAAAAAAATAAAATACGAAGGTGAAATAAAATGGTGTAATTAAAAAAAAAAGAGAAGACAAAAGGGAAAAAAGACATCAGGAAGAAGGAAAATGGATTAAAACAAATAATTGGAGACACTTCACTCGCTGAAGCGGTCAACAAGGCTTGTATTTCGAATGAAATTCTGTGGTCGTTCATTCGTATCCACAAAGTGTTGTGAATAGTCATTATGGAAATCTTGCCCTAAGGTATACGTATGTTCTGTTGTATTTGCTTCTTGTTGTGGCGAATGGTCAGTTTCTTCGTCTTGGTGCAATCGATGTGCATAGTCATAGGGTTTACTGTCATCGTCGTATGAGTTTGATTGGCACTTGGATGTATATCTATCCACGGCTTGATTGCTTGAGTCTACCGACATTTTTGCAGTGTTATTCCTCATCCAGATGTTATTTCTAGTTCGCTGAAGTGTGGCTCTATCCTTTTGTAGTCGTCGCCAGTGGTCCAAGATGCCAGCTTCACGGCATTTTCGTAGCCTTTCTTTCTTATTATGTTCAAGCTGACGTTTAATTTGTTCGTGCGATTCTTGAAGCGCTTCAATCTCGCTTTCAATATGTTCTCTAATCTCTTCCATGGCTCGAAGTCGAGAGTCTACCACTACAATTAATGGACAAAGTAGCGGAGAGTGGCAACCAAAACTAGCATAATAGTTCATGCAAAGATTTATATCTCTGGATAACCGGATCACACCTGTTTATCGAACTGTGATGTCAGAATATCAGTGCAGAACAGAAGTAGGTAAGTGACAGAGTCTAGTGTGACATGCACAGCGCTTTATTTTACTATGTTCAAGGTTTTTGTAGGGTTTGAATGAAAAAGGTAATAGTTTTTTTAAAAGGATTTGATATCAACGACATCGATTTAAGCCTTGACGAAGCTCTTTCCCTTCTCGATGTTCTTCTTCAAGTCAGCAATGCACTTGGTGATGAGGTCCTTCTCATACTCGGAGGTCTCACCGACGGGAAGGATCTTCTCAACACCTTCGGGACCAAGCTCAACGTTGGTGGCGAAGAACTCAATACCTTGGTCAGCGTAGATAGGAGACTCAACGAAGGTGGGCTCAACAATACCCTTCTTGCCTTGCTTAGCCTGGAGAAGGCTGTCGGCGAAGCGAGCACCAGCGAAAGCCATGGAAAGGGTGGCAGAACCAGTACCGTTCTACAAATTACGTCAGGGTTAATATGGGCGGTAGGGGTTCCAGCTTTCATCCCACATTCATTACCTTGGCCTTGACGACTTCGTCACCACCGAATTGGATACGGTTGGTAAGAGCATCAAGCTCCTCCTGGGAGAACTTCTCACCAGTCTGGGAAAGAAGGGGAACAATGGTGACACCGGAGTGACCACCGATGACAGTGACATTGACATCCTTGGGGTCCTTACCCTTAACTTCAGAGACGAAGCGGGAAGCACGGACAACATCAAGGGTGGTGACACCGAAAAGACGCTTGGGGTCATAGACACCGTGCTTCTTGAGGACCTCAGCGAAGATAGGGACAGTGGAGTTGACGGGGTTGGAGATGATGAGGAAGTTGGCCTTGGGGCAGTGCCTGTGGAGTAAAGAAAAGTTGTGGGTTAGGGTCAAAATCTATAGAAAGCCCAAAAAAAACTCATCTAATCAAATCATGATAAAGGCGTGTCCGCAAAGGAAACCTTATGTATTTGTCCCCACTACTCGATTACTTACTTGGCGCAGGCCTCAGCAAGGTCGCGGACAATACCAGCGTTGGTGTTGAAAAGATCGTCACGGGTCATACCCTTAAGAAAACGAATATGAATGAGAAAGCCTGTCTCTCTCCATCTAAACACGGTGCAAAAAGATCACTTACGGGCTTTCTGGGGACACCAGCGGGGATGACAACGATCTCAGAGCCCTCAAGAGCCTTCTTGAGACCATCGTTCTCAGGTCCGAAACCAGCAACCTAAAGGAAAGAAGTCTATAAGCAAAAGTGCTGACATACGACGCTAAACACGGTCCGCATACTCTACCTTGGAGTTGGTGTTGATGTGGCTTTTGAAAGCAAGCATCCATTTGCACGTCAATAACAGTAACTACGTAATACTCATCTTCAGTTCCGTAAACTCACCTCAAATCAGCAGCGACACCGGGGGAGTTGACAATATCGTACAAGGAGAGGTCAGTAACTCTGGTGTTGTTCTTAAGAAGAAGGGAGAGAGGCTGGCCAATACCACCGGCAGCACCGAGAACGGCAACCTTGGAGAGGTTGGCGGCAGAGGTGGCGAAGGTACGCTTAGCAGCGACGGAAGAGAGGACACGAGTGGCAGCGAACATAGTGAGTTTGGTTAAAGGAAGAGAGAAAGCCCTTGGTGCTGGGTCACCCAATCGTACAAATAGACGGACTTTTTATTTTTTTTTTATTTTTCGTAGCCCAACAAAACCACCCCGGCAGTTAGCACGTGACTTAGTCCTAGATTAAGGGCAGAGACCAGGCAATTTACATAGAAGCTACATCCTGCTTAACATCCTTCATATCATCTTTAAGAGCATTATTGACTTCCCGAACCATGTACGAGTCTGCCTTCTGCATAAACGCTGCTTTTCGATCACCTTCTACGATGCCAGTTTCTGAGTTTAAAGTCGGAATGTCAGTAAGGAAGCTGTGTCAGCGTTAAAATCATTTAGCCATTCCGATGTCTTTACCTTTCAAGCCGTTAATTGTTTCCTTCAGGACTTTCATAGCTGACGTACGAATGGCCGAATATTTCATATTAAATAAACTAATCCAACACGATTCTATGATTGTGTCAGCCATATCGCCTGTCCAACACTGCTTGGGTATTCTTTGGACAAGTGTGTGCAGGCTGTCTAGAACGGCTAGTTGCACGTTCCATACGAGATTGTCAATACCAGACGTCAACATAGTAATTAGCGGCAGAATCTCGTTCTCTGATAATAGTGTCAAGCAATATAGTTAATAAGCTGATGATCGAAGTCTATTTGTCACATGTCGCTGCACACCACCTGTCTACTTACGTTGATCTTTAAAGATATCAGGACGGAAGGCAGCAAGAAGAGCTTTAAACGCATTGGCTTTGATCAAAAGAAGTAATGGTCGATCATTCTCCTCATCAAGTTCTTCTTCTTCTATGTCGAGATTGCATAGAGGTTCCAAATAGCCAAAGGCATCGTCGTAGACATCCAGGCGGTCATTGAATTTGTCCAAGAAGAGCGTTAAGGAACTGAGTGCATTTCGTTTGTACGATCGATTGTTACGTTTACTCTCTCGTTTCATGATCTTGAACAAACCAGGTTAATAAAAACATATCATTTTTTAAAAAGGTCAGTATAGGATGGATTTTCTTACCTGGTATGCCTCATCCAAGGATGGGCTGGTATTGCCGTCAAACCAAGCAGGAGATGAAAGGCAGAGTTGCACAAATGCATCTAGCACGGTTTCCTTGCCAGCCCAGTAGCGAGTATTGAGAGTCGACACCATAATTGGCATGACTTTGTTGACGTGGGCTCCAAGCGCTTTGCCCGATGTTTTGCAGAGATCGGCAATTGTCAGTGCAGCTGTCTGCTTCATTCTCCAGTATGGTGAGTTGAGATGAGGATGCAGGAACTCGATAATTTCATCCATGTATAGCGTAACCATGCTTCTCGTGCCTATAATATAATATTTAGTACAAACAGTCTTTACCGTTGTGCACTCTTCTTCATGAATAGCACACAATACCTGATGTAAGACTTTCCCAGGCTGTCTTCCAGCATTCAGCTGTAGCCTTGTCGGTGTCGTGTTCACCGAAGAAGATAACAGGGACAACTTCGGAGGCAATAGATTTCATTCTATCTGGAGCGAACTTGCACATTTCTCCAAGGGTGATGGCACTAACAATTCGAGCATCGTCATCTGCGTTAGACATAGAAGAGTGTGAGTATTTTGAAGCCGGCTACTTGATGGTACGAGATGAAATCCTTACCGTCTTCTTCAACATAAATCTTTTGAATATGCTTCAAGAATGCAATGGTCTTCTGCTGGCTGGAAAGTTGGCACACATAACCGACAGCAGTAGCCCAAGACTTTCGAATAGTGGCATTTTTATCCTGGACAGCACCTGATAGTGCCTTTAGGAAGTTGTCTGCAACGGGCTCGAAAGCGGATTTCCTGGTCATACACATGGACACAATGAAACGTGCGCATCCAGCCTACAAAAACAGGTTACTATCATTCGTTCCATATGCTAAGTATAATTTGAACATGTTACGCACCTTTGTGGGAAGGCCTGTGCCTGTACGGATGATATGTAAAACTCGCGGAGATAGCTCACGCATGACTTCTTCATCAATTTGCTTGATGCACTGCTCGATACCTTCCATCATAGGCGAGTTCTTAGTTCCCATCAAGCGGGCGCTATCGAGCTATAACACAAATTGATTGATGAGCTTTGCAAATTTCAAATAAAAAAAACAAGAATAAAAGATAATGCTCTACCTGGTCTTGAGAGATGTTATAGCTTTCAGTGTGGAAGCTGAGGTAGTTGAGCTCTTGGGGTTCGAGAGCTGAAGGGAATCGAAAGATTAGCATCAAGCAATATCAATCAAACGATCGAGATAATCCAGTAATAAATGGTTACATACATGATAATGATTGTAGCAAAGTGTCAACAATAGCAGGAACATGGGGCCGCAAGAGAATAGCACCAGTCTTGCAGACTTGCAGAAGTGTGTTCAGTGTGAACTTTTGGATGTCGGCAGCATTGGAAACAATACCCTGCTCAAGCAAGTATGGGATGACAATGTTCATAACCTTTGCACCGTCTTGTTGGGAGACTACTGCCGGATCACAATATCTCACTGTGAGTCGACTGAGGTTCTTGCATGTTGCTAACGCTGCTTGACGAACGGACTCTTTCACATCATCAAGAGCTCTGAAACACATCTTCCACAGTACCTCTAAATAAGGCTCTAGTTGATATAGATGTCGGCCTTGCAAGATATCCGTTACAGCTCTACAGCTGCCTTCACGAACTCGCCACAAGCGATTGCCCAAACCATCAATTAAATCATCCATAATCTGATCGTAATATTGGTCGACACTTTTCTTTGGATCTTTCACCAAGGTTTTCCAAATTTGCTTCATCGTTTCATTTACTTTCGGGTTTGGATCGAATTGGTAGCGGTAAAGTCGAGGAATGAGTTTGGACAGATAGGGTTCAAGCTCTTTCTCTGCATGCGCCATGAGAGACTGGAATCCGAAAGCAGCTCCTCTTCGCGATGCCCACATGACATTGTGGTTGGCGAGGTTCATGAACTTGTAAACCAAGTCTGGCTGATTTAAATCAGATGCCAAAGAGCACAATTCCTTATAGGTGGAAATACTTGAGCCGTCTGGGGCATTGCCAACAGCACCATTTTCAAAAAGCACTGTATCCCCTGTCAATGACTGAGCCTGGATTGTACGTCCTTCAGTAAACGTTCCAACTAGAGATCTAAGCAAGTCTTCCTTCATTTCCTTGTCACCACTCTCGTAAATAAGACCCAGACAGTTTGACGCAAGTTCCTGTGTAAAGTCTATAGAATACATACATTAGCCTGAACGTACGTGTATGATGAATTTAACTTTGCTTTGTTGTCTTACCATCGCGATCAGCCAGTAGACCTGACAGAGCTGTGTGAATACGTGGGAAGTAACTCTGAAAATGATAGAATTAGTCAAACTCTGCGCACAGTCTATGATGAAGATGATCAACACTGGCGCAACTTACCCTGACAAGCTCATTGGCCTTGCAAAACTTGACCACACATAATATCCAGGTACATGCAGCTTTACGATACCAAGCTTTTGGACTAGTGATGTATTTTGTGAAAATAGTGTCAAAGAGTTGCTCCAGGATGATTTTGCGACGCTGGATCTCCTCATTGTCCCATATTACCGGGTCCGAAACGTCGCTGATATCCTTGAACTTGATCATAGCTTCTGAATTCCAGCCACTCACAATGTAAGAAAAGGCTTCACCAGCAGCAAATGCAAGCTCTACTTGTTTTGAATCGGCCGAGTCGTATACAACTTTCATCACAAAATCTAAGAGGTCTCCTCCGTCAACCAAAGACATGCCAATATTTCCAAGTGCCAGAAGTGCTCTCTCTTGTAGTTTGTTCTCTTGGGATGATTTGACAATGCTTGCAAACTTGTGAATAACTTTACGTTGTGAGATATCTGGTTGATCGACCTCCATGGCGTGATCTTCTTTAGGAGTAGATACGGTCTTTCCATCTTCATCATCCTGGGCTGTGCCTCTAGGGAACGGAAGTTCAGTGAAACGCGCAATTTCTTGTAGAGCCTGTTCTGCAGCAATAATAAAGACAACATTGGAGACATTTTGCTGGAGATGAAGTTGACTAACAATTGCAGCCACGGACTTCTTCATAATGTCATGATCGACTTTGCGCCCTCTGTATAGGCATCGAGAAAGGAGGTATCCCACACATAGGATTGAGCCGTGCTTTCTGTTGAGCCCTTCTTGAGATGTAGTACTCGTTATTGGCTTTTCCGCAATCTCAGTCAGCTCTTGCAAATTGCTTTGAATAGTGGAGTCGGAGACATCTTCTTCACTGCCAATGATTCCAAAGATATGAGCAAAAGCTGCTCTTGTTTCAACCTTGGGAGAGGCAAGGAATTCCTTGAAGAAATCCATGTTTTCTGAAAACGATTTGGATACACTTGAAGGTCCAAGGGAGATCATTTCAAGCAGACAGGTTGACGCTTTGGCATGTAATAATGCATCTATTGGTAGACAACATCGGTCATTAGTAGGGGTCCATTGGACATACTGCAATAAAATACTACGCCTACCTTGAACCTTTTGATCGAGTCCGTTTTTTATCAAAAGTAAATATTTCTCCAGGGCTTGTTTCTTGGGGCTATCGTTGCCTTGATTCCACCAATCGTGAACTAAAGCCGCGAAATTGCTGCGAACGACAGGACTTTCCGTCATTCCATCATCAGCCTTCTCTTCAATGGTATCGTCGATGACAAGGTTGTCCCCATTTGCTTCAACAACTAGTATAGTCCTTAAGAATTTTAGAATTTCAGTGTAAACTTCGACTGGATAACCATGTACGACTGGGGTCTTGGAGTAATAGCCATAGTTCTCGTTAGGGCGATGACTGTGAATATACTCGATCATCTGCACAAAGTCCGGGAAAACGGATGCTGGATAGGAAGTTGGGGTTTGAGTAAATTCATTATCGTGATGTATGAATGGTCGGAGGCCCTTTGACGCTTCATCTCGGACTTCAAGTTTTCCAACCGTAGCCGATACTCCCAACAAGCAAATGTATCTGGCAAACACAGATGAAAATGGATAGATGGCATTTGCAAACTTGAGTGCAATATAAATGCTGCTAACGTTATGCTGGAAGGTACCGTGAGTACAATTGATGCTAACAACCATGTTAAACTCGCTGTTTACCTTTTCAACGCTGGATAGTACTAGCTCGTCAATCTTCGATCTGACATCGGCGGGGGTTTCATCGCTCTTGTAGACATCAATCATGGATGACATAGCGTCTTGAATATAGACACAAACGTTTTTGGGTTCCTCTTCGAGGTTTTTGAAAAATGTCTCCAAAACGGATGCATCATTTCGGGCAACACTAGGCACTGCAAAGGTCATGAGTACCAGGTTATGTGCTTGATAAAGATGCCTACATGAAATGCTTACCTTTCTTTGCCACTAATCCGCATGCAACATAAGCATAGCCTCTCACTGCCTCCGCTTCTGTTAAACCGAAAGAAAGTAAGTCATCTGCATATCCAGCAGTTTATAAATTGTAGTCATCCACCATACCATGTCCACGAGCGCCTTTGGTAGTTTCAATACATTTCAGCAGCCCAGATATGATGACGGGTGCAGTAGGTGCCAGTTTTGTAGAATCAGCCTAAATGGGTATTAGTGAGTTATAATCTAGTTCAGGGTTGGCAACGTCACCAAAGATGTACATACCATGCGTGCCACCCATTGGATGAATGTCATGGCCGATTGTTGAAGTTTACTGGATGTATTTTCACCTAGCAGTATAACATGAGAACCAATGTGACATGGTAGAATTAAAGAATATCAGCACACACCGTATAATCCATCGAAAAGGACCATGACAACTTGTGCAGCCATGTTGGTGGCCAAAACAGATCGAGTCAAATATTGTACCACTCTAAGTTTGATGGCTTTCGTTCCAGGCTTCCTTGCAAACTTGACAGCTGTGACTAAGGGTTAGTTATTGATATCCCCCATAATGCAATATACAGCCGCTTACCGTTTGCATTTGGGGCCTTGGAGCCCAGGTACAGTGTGTAAAGGCCAGCGACGGTTTGAGTGTTTTCATAGTCGACATTAGCCACCCAGCGACGCAATCCATCTTCGCTTGACATAACGACTCCATCATTTGGATCACAAGCTCCAACAATGAAATGATTCAAGCGTTCTCTATCGACAAATGTATCAGTCATGAGGAACTTTAATATTCCAAGCTAAATTATGCGACAAACCAGTGTTCGTTAGCTTCCACCGATAACTAGAACACATGCTGAAGATATCTTACCTTTGCATCTGATAATCTGGACGAAGTCCAAGTGACCTTTCCATCCCTAGTAACTTCGGATACGGCATGCGGACTTAAGCCATCTGGAATGACGGAAACTGGTGTGTTTTCAGTTGGTGCAGTTCCGCTATGCAGAGAAGCAAGTTCTTGAGCTCTTCGCTGCCGAAGTTCAGCTGGTGATTCAGATTGTAATTGGTCACCTCTCGCAGCATCCCTCGCAGCTCGCGCTTCCATAGCTGCTCGTCTTTGATCATTAACAGTCGGTGGATTGTAAAGCATGACATCCAAGAAAAACGCTAAAATAATCTTGAGATCTGCTTGGTTCTGTTCGAATTTGAACAACTCTGTTCGAGCAACTCGGTAATCTGCAGGTGCCATCTTGAACTTGTTCAAAACCTAATTTACATTTGTTAAAAAAACCCACAAAGTGATGCGACATTGTATATGTTTATCTTTGTCACTTACAGGCAGCACCATATGTAAAACTGTCATCCGTTGCGGTACAGGACGAGCTGCTATTCCCGGTAAAAGTTTGGGGATGAATGTTGCCGCTTCGTCTGCTGGCAAACGGCTATAAGCCATTTCCAAATAAATGATGGTGAAGTTTTTGACGAATACGCCAACATTGGGGTCGTTGAATTGATTGAGCAATGCCTCAAAGGGAAGTTTGATTTGGGTATTCGGTTTGACTCGCTTGTTGATGTGAGCCAGTACAACGGTGACCTTTCAAGGGGGTTCGGTCAACGCTTGCACAATAACCTCACAAGGATTCTTTAGCTGAACATACCTTCTTTCGCACAACGTCACTTGTGCTGCTCATCTTGAGCAACACAGGAACAAGAAAGTTTCCAACATTCTTCTCCAGTTGTGCATCTGTCTCTGCCACTGCTAACCGCAGCTCAACAGCCTCTGTCATGCAACGAATTAGAACCAGCTTTAATGTACAAAGAGACAGTGCGTCATTTACCTAAAAGCTGCAGCTCATTATTGTTCATGATTGAAATTTCGAAAATAAAAGGGAAGTGAGCTGCTCGATAGGCAGGCACTGAAGCATGACAATTAAAAATTTGAACACGCAGTGTACGCGTGTACAGTGAGGTAGCACCTGTATACGTACACACTGAACATTCTGAAGCAATGACACCAAATGCTACATTTTTCTGCCTTTTCTAGAATACAGAGGACAGCTTTTGATGAAAGTACTTGACTCCTTGCTAACATCGTCTATAGAGCCATGTCCATATGTACTTTTGTGGGGTAATGATACAAAATTTAGGCACAACTATTTCGTAAATTGAAACAGTACTCTGACAATGACGCTCACAAATTCGTACTATTTGTATTCATTATTGTTCTTAGAGGAGCAGCTACTCAATTTTAAACGTCTATGTACATCAACGTCTGTCCATTTATAACCAAGAAGAATATCAACTAAAAGAAAAGTATTAATTTGTTGGATGTCAGTTTTTGTTGTAATATTACGACTGGGACCATCTTTTCGCTTTTGTCAAATACTTTTTTCGCTTTCCAAATTTAAAAGGGCACATGGGAAATGCTAAACTCCAACAGCATCATGAGACTGAAGAGTACGAATAGCTGCATTTTGCGCATGGTGTATGACTTCTTGCCAGTATGGATGTTCCAAGTCCTTCAAGCAATATAAGTTTCTGTTCAAGTGAGACAACATGACTCCTACAAAGCTGTTTCCGAAAAAAACCATTTAAATATACTGTAGCATAAATGGTTTTCTAAATATCCACCGGGAATTCATACCTGTCTCCAGCTCCAGTGACGCTCTTGATTTGGTCGGAACGAATTGCATGCGGTTTAAAATACCGAAGAACTGGCTTTCCATTTGCTTGCCCTGTGATTAGACATCCATGTTCTCCAAGTTTGGTAACAATGACTCGGAAGAAGTTTGAAAGATGGAGGGCGTATGGGAGGCATTCTATTGCAGTGTCAGGGAGGCCTGTGCAACTGTTAGCCATTCAACTCTCTGAGTCAATCTTTATGCCTTCAATAGGGTGTCGCTTGATGACTTACCGTCCAGCTGATGCTTGGTTAATTCACTCATTTTGTATCTTTCTTCTACTTCAGGTAGGACTTCTCTTGCAGTGTTTGACATGGCGGCCAGTTCGTGCTGATTGGGTGATATGGACTTGAAGCATCCAGCCGTTAGAGTAGCAGTGTCTTCGAAAATCTTTAGAGACTTTGGTATGGATGTTGGTTCAAAATGGACTAATATTACCGTCAGCATAAGGACCAAAACAAAAAGATAAAGTAAGTAGCAGGTGCGTACCTGGTATGTTCAAATTGCTTGCAATGCGGGCTGTATCACATAGCACATTTGGTTCTAAATTGCCATCACAGCATACTAAACTTGGCGAATGCGACTCCAGGGCAGCCAGGACCTTGATGCGCATAAGCTAATCAGATGACAGCATTTATGTGCATAATTATCTTCTTGTATGCTTACCTGACTAGATGTGATCATCTTGAAAACATTCATATCTGCCACTGCGCTAATTAATTGTCCATCAGGTGAATGGAGAGCGTTGTAAATCTGGTACAACATAATTAAACAAAAGACCAATAACCATTCTTGAAAAATGACACCTACTGCTGTGGTCTCTCCACCATATTGACGTATACCTTCCACTCTCTGAAAGTTGCAAATGGAGAGAATTATTTCACGGTGCCAAAGGCGAGACGGCAGAGTTACTCCAGTGGAGCAATAAACCATACCATGCCACTTTTCTTGATGCCATCTATGAGTATTTTCGACGCAAGATCACTTCCCACCGCCGAAACGAGCAATGTATCTGTTCCAGACCTATATGCTGCCTCAGCAACGTTACGGCCGACACCACCTAGATTCTGGCGCACAGTGCCTGGGCAAGATGTATGGAGGAAGGAGGAGGGGGATTTAATATCCACAGCTGTCTCCATCGCAAATGTGCTGGTAATATCCATGACAGCCCCACCAACAACCATAAGCTATTCACGTAAATAATTATAAATTTGTATATCTGGGTGTATAAATTGGCTAGTAGACATACCAACGGTTCGGACTTAGTCCCGACTATGCAATTGAAATAGAGAAAGGTTATACACAAGTTTGACTGAATGTTTGACAATCCAACAATAATTACAGTGCCGTATAATGGGAAATCTGTTCAATACTCTTATAGAATGGTAGCTCGACATGATTAGGCTAGGCATTAGCAGATCGGGATCAGGTAGAGGGATGGTCCAAATTGGATCCACCACGTGCACTGGCTATCAAATTGCTCTTTACCAAGAAATCCGATTTCTTGGCCGTTGTTCCACTTGACTCACCATGCCTTATACTGGACGTGACATTGCATTGTTCGTAATTGCATTTTTCTTTCCACCCATCGCCGTATGGATTAGAAGAGGAATTTGCTCCACTGATTTTCTTATCAACGTCTGCTTGACCTGCTTGGGTGCCAGTATGTATCTCAACAACTTCCGTTCGTTTATCGACCATTTTCATACTAATCATGCTATCTACACCGCTACCTAGTTCCTGGAATCATCCACGCCTTCTATATTGTACACAAGGTATTTCTATGAAATATTCATGTCGTTTTGGCATTCAATTGATTTGCTAATGTATTTTATCTGCTAGTACAATGACTACTTTGAAGATATTGAATCAGGCGGTTTGGAGTACCAACCTGTACCAACTCATGCACAGGACTCAGTATCGTACGGAGCTACTAATAATGCAGGTATGTTCTTTTTATCTTTTACACCGCCATACGTTCCCAAATGTCATGCTCATTGTTATGTGTCTCAATAGAATAAATCGTAGAATTTTAGCTTCAACTACTTTGATGCGGTAATTTGCTCATCTTGTGTATCAGTATCCACGGAAAGATTATATTCTCGTAAATTCAAAAAATAATAAAATCTATTGTGTGCCCTTTGGCTTGAGTATATTATCCGGATGGTCGTAAGCTAATGTAACAAACTTGGTGTGTCGTCCTTGGCAGACTAATGCAATAGTAGAGGATAACCATCAGAACAAACTTCATGGCTGCCGTAACAGTACAAAATTCTTACCTATCTTGCCGTCTGCGCTGACATTGATTTCAGTGAACGCCAAGGTTCTTCCAAGCTTGACGCATTTAGCATCCTAAAAAAATGTGAACTTCATTAGTCCCATGTGACAAAACCCCACTTACATGCCTCTCTCAGTGATAAATACAGACCACATTCATTGTTTGCCCCAACTTTGCACTAGAGACGAAAGTGACATTAAGATCGGTGCTGACACCAGTGGCGAATAAACCCTTGGAAGCTAGGGCCAATGAACCTCCAATGTCGACCTAATGATAGTGTCAGCTAAATGCAACTGGATTGTGCGACAGCCCTCCATACTCACCACTGTTGACAGGAGTCCACCGTGAACAGATTTGAGCCTATTCTGTAACATCAAATGCAATCGTTGGTGAGCGCTTTGAATTGAAGTGTGGGAATAATGATGACAGTCTCTGCAAAAAAGGTATACCAGATGATGCTTCTCCACTTGGAATTGGGCTTGAACGCTTCCGCTATCTGCACTGACAATTTTCAGCTATAATAGAAATGTTTAGCATACCGGTACTTCTGCTACCTGAATAATTTTGGCACGAGAATGACTTACCCCAGACAAGCAGTGTGCGTCGAAACCACCTGCATCGTGAAAATTCTAAACAATTGACATGTGTGATTCTTCTCGGTCTTACAGTCTCTCTACCCATTCGCCATTCCACATACCTTGAGTACTCTCTGCACAAATGGGGCAACCTTACTACCAGTTAGCGGTGACATGTCAAAGGATCGTGCTCGAAGCAGAAATGCACCAAAGTCGGAGCTATCAAAGTGAGGTCAGGGCGGAGAAGAAAGTGGAAGGCTCCAACCAATGTTGGTCCACAGTTTATATACAAAAAATTCATAGAAAGAGGTAGGTCTATACTAACTTGCTTCACTAAAAGCTACGCATCATCCTCTTCCGTATCGCGATCGTGGGATCCTATGCGCCCACTCTTACGATTCATGTCCCGCTCTCCTAGCCTATGTTTCCGCTTCTCATTTCGATGTGAAGAGTACGAGTTATCTTGCCGTGAAGTATAATCTTGATCGTCTTTCAATGACAACGCCTATGTGCAGAGAATGAATAAAACATGGATGTTATTAGCATCAGTCTCATTTGATAAGCGAATGGTGTTGCAAGTGTTATTTAACGGTCAAAAGAAACATGAACGAAGCAGAAAGGAAGTACAAGAGCTATGATTTTGCATTGATGGGTATCAAAAGAATGACAAAAGTAAAGGTGAAATAATCCCCTTCAAGAGAAAAAAGTATAGACAGAGAACGAGAGAGGGAGGGAAGCTTGCTGCACGAGACTGGCTACTTGCTGTCCCAGTCCATATGCCTCACCTTTTGATAAGTAGAAGATGATAATGAGAACAATCGGTCAAACTCTGTGAACTTTTGCTTCTTCTTATCTGGTCGATTGGTTAAGTAGCCATCAAACCCTCTTATGATATTTCCGTTTTGCTGTGTATCCTCCAAGTAGGAGCCTTCAAACAAATAAATAGAATGTTCCAAATTTGCCTTTGAGAGGTCGGAAGAATTAGCCCATGCGAACACATTCGGCTCCATAAAACAAAGAATCAATGCTTACAAGGTTGTTATCGACTTGTTTCTTGCGGCTTAGAAGAGCTTGTAGCTCTTGTTTGGCTTCTTCGTACTTTTGACGAGTTGCCGGTGAGTTTTGAGGCTGCGGTTGCTGGATTAGCACGGTTCATTGGACAGTGTTAATTACCATTGATGAGAGCATAGCATACCTGTGTTGCATTGGCTTCATCTTTTGCTTCTGTCATTATGGTTCGCTTGTTAATGCGTGTCAATGGCGGGATCGGTTGTGGCTTACAAGGCTGAAATTTTGGATTCGGGGCTGTGTTGCAAAATTATAGCGAATTGAGCTTGGCACCGTTACTTAGAGTCGCGCGTCGTTATTCTTCCCAATCTGACAATGTCAGCATCTCCCGACCCTTCGACCACACCAACTATCAGAGTGGAAGAGCCAGAAGCTACCATCGAGAATGAGCCGTTGTCAAGCCCACAAGTCCCCTTGTCACCGAGTCAGAACGAACTTGGAACTGAAGACCAACAAGATACAGAAGTAGACCTAGTCAAGGAAGATAGCTATGAGGCACCAGCTGTAGAAGATATCCCAGAAAATACGTCAGCCGGATCAGAAGATACCGCTATACCTTTATCAACAGTGGACGAGATAGATAATAGTCAACGTGCCTCGATGAACGAAAGTCCTTTGTCGACATCCATGGCCGATTTTTATCGAGGAAAGTCTATTCTTTTGACTGGTTCAACTGGATTTCTGGGGAAATCGATATTATGGAAGTTGGTGGATTCTTTTGGGGCGGAAATAGACAAGATATATCTTTTGATTCGCTATGGCAATAACAAGCGCAAGATTGGCGGGCCCCATGAAAGACTTCAAAGTGAGATATTAAATAACCCAGCTTTTACGTCTCTGAGAAGAAAAATTGGCGCCAACAAATTCGATACCATCATTAAGACTAAAGTCATACCTGTTGCCTGCGACCTGATATCCCCAGAGCTGTCTATCTCACCTGAAGATAGAAGCAGCATCATTTCTAATGTCAATGTCGTTATACATTGTGCGGCTTCTATGGATCATGACGAAAGGCTGGATCTTTCTTTGGAGACAAATACGTTGGGCACCTTACGGCTGATGGATTTGGCTGACGACTGCGAGAAAATGCAGGCTTTCGTTCACGTTTCGTCTGCCTATGTCAACTCAAATTTACCCGATGGCGAAGTGCAAGAACTCGTTTACCCTGCCGGTCTTGAAGACCCGGAAACCCTACTCAAGGAGATCGTGTCGTTGGAACTTATGGATATCCCGAAGATGACACAAAGGATATTAGCAAATTATCCGAACACACATCTTTTCACCAAGGCTCTTACTGAACAATTAATTCTGAAACGAGCAGATATCAACCGAGCAGATGAGGCTCAAGGTGGTAAAAGCCAATGGCCTATTGCTATTGTACGACCAACACAACTGGCAGCTGGTATTACGGAGCCACTGGCCGGTTGGGCCGATGGATTGACAGGAGCAAATGGCACGATCCTACTCTCCGGAAGAGGGTTCCAAATACTTCAACCCAATCAAGGGGATTCAATTGCAGATATTGTACCGGTTGACTATGTTACTCGCATCATTTTGGGAGTCGCCTCCAAAATACAGGTTCCTGGTACTGAATTCTTGCTACCATATGCTTATGGCAACCGTAACAGCGGTGAGCAACAAGACATTTTTCCGCATATATACCAAGTTACTGCCGCCCCATTGAACCCCATCAACTGGAGAGAAGTATACGATGGCATTCAAGAGTACTGGATGAGGACAACAAGCGTAGTACTTCCCAAGTCTCAAGATTACTTTGTCAGTAATAAGGCCATGTTCAAGGCCCGCTTCTTTATGAAATATCAGCTCTCCAACTCCTTTGCAACAGTAGCGAACGCTGTTGTGACCGGTGATAACAAGAGCCTGAACACCATTGCCAAAATGACCAGCTATGCGACTAAAATATTGGAAGCGAACCAACCCTTCATTAAGCGTACCTGGGCTTTCAGCAATGGAAATTTATGGGAGATACAGAGACATTTAGCAACTGAAACTGCATTCAACGTTGATGCGTTTGGAGAGATGGATTGGCATAGCTACATCGAGCACTATAACCATGGCATGCATCTGTATGTAGCTCAAGAAAGTCAAGGACTCAGATCAATAAGCGCTCCTCCTGGTTGGGACTGTGCAACTCACACAAAGATGATTGGATTTCAGAGCTTGGCCATCGATAAACAAGTTGAATCCATTTTATTTAGCAGCACTGATATAGAGAAACGATCTCAACGAATGCTGGCTCAAGTCATACTTTCTTTGGAAAGCACTGATCGTCCAAGAGATAGGCGAATGGATGATGAGTGGGTAGCTGATTTTGATACCAGTCTTGACGATTGGTGCCATGACGATTCCGAGGTGCTCAAGGATGGTACAACTATCAGCGAACGTGGTAAGGAGTTGGGCAGATGGAGAGCTCACATTGGTGACAACGATGATATTGTCAAAGTCATTGTTTTGAACGATAGCAGAGTTGGCAACAGTATCAAGCAAGTAAGTACAATGTTTTGGTATCGGCTTATGGCTCACGCTGTTATCATGTAAAACTCATGTTATCACATCTCAGATCACCGAAAGTTCAGGGGTGCCTCAACAAACGGTAGTTGGCGAAGCAACCAAATTGTTTCAGAGGATGAAGGAGAGAACTCAGCTGGCTTATGTTTGGTTTGCTGGACATTTCCTACACCTGCTTCTTCAAAAACTCTTTGAGAATGTTCACATACGAGAAGCAGATGTCGCAATAGTAAGTATTGTTCAAGTAAGTCTTAACGCATACGTTTATCGTTACTGACCGTTGCTACCTAACCTTACCAGCTCAAGAGAGCAATTGCTGGCAAAAAAGTTGTTTATGTACCGACGTCTAAATCGCTGGTGGATAATTTGGTTGTGTGGTATCTCACTTTGCGATACAAACTACCAGTTCCGGCTATAGCCTGTGATGAAGGTAGATAGTATGATTCATGTATGCTTTACTGTGGGAGCCCAATCAATTGACATTCGTGTTTGAATCTAGCACTTGGACTCTTAGGACCAATATCGGATGTTCTCCGCATCATGGGAACGTTTTTCATCAAGCGTAACCCTGAAAGTCGATCACCACTTAACAATGCGGTTACAGCCGCATACGCCCAAGTCATGCTTCGAGAGCACGGCGCACTATCCTTCATGCTTGAAAAGGCGAGATCCCGAAGCGGAAAGTTTCAAAAGGCATACGATGATGGTCTTGTAGGCATGGTGCTTGAAGCAGCTCTTGAAAAAAATCAAGAAAACAGTAACGCTGAGCTAAGTCCCACTTCACCCTTGACACCCATACCGTCTGAGAAAATTTTGGACCAAGATGTAGCATTTGTTCCTATCAACATTGTCTACGAAAGTGTGCCGGAACTGTCAGTTTTGATCGATCAAGTTCTCGATCAACACCCTACAACGAATACCAACACCTTATCTGTTCCTCTGCTGGTTACCAAGCCAAGTGCAGCTTTGGCAGGTCGACACAAGGAATCTGAGCACCATCATAATGGAAAATATGGCCGCGTTTTTGTCAATATTGGCGAATGCGTCAGTGTGCAAGAAATCGCTGAGAATGCAAAGGTGCAAAAGTCAGCTGCTTTTGATACCAGTAAGGGTCTATCGTCGCTTTCCGAACGAGTCGTCAAGGCAATCCAACGAGGTCAGCGTGAGAGCGTGGCCATCAGCCCAGTCTCTTTGGTGGCAGCCATTTTGCTCTATGGAAGAGCTAACAATGGTATCTCACTTGGCTGTGTAAAGGACCATATGGAGTGGATTCGCACGGAACTTAAGGAGAGAGACGTCTATGTTGATTGGCAAGATGGAGAAGATATTGAATCTGTGATTTTTTATTCCCTCCGGATATTGGATGGCCACAAGAACATTATCATCGAAGACAAGCGGGTTTCAGATAAATCGATCATTCGTGTTGTCGATCATGCTGACAATGTGTTGGCGGTGTCATATTCCGCAAATCAACTGTTGGACTATCTGCTGCCGGACTCTCTCTTCTCCATTGTCTATCTTTCTTTCCCATCCAAGACTGTCCCTCAACAAAAGCTACTTGAACGATTCCAGTTCTTAACTAAGCTTTTCCGTCTCGAGTTTGATTTTACATGGGATGAAGAGCAGGTAAGAATGCGGTGATCAAATTTCACCCACATCACAAGTTTCTCACTCTCTGCATTATAGATGTTTGATGAGCTGCTCAAACGCTTCCAAGATAAAGAGATCATAACTAAAGTTGAGGGTCAAAACGATGTTTACAACAGGGCGGTAAATTCAGAAAGTGATGAAGCAGAGCATGAAAAGATCTGCTTACTTGCATCTCTACTATACCCAACACTTGACTGTAAGTGTGTACCAGAATATGTTATACAATATGTTCCATAACTCAACAAGGTTTCTCTTTTATAGCCTACTGGATCACCATTTGCTCATTGTCTGCCCTCGAAGACCTCCCATATATTCCTCGCAAGCTTGCACCTATCCTCACACAGTGGATTGCAACTCATCTTATCAGTGGACGCCGTACCTCCTATAGAGAGGTTCTCTCGACCGAACTTAGCGGCTATGCAGTGGACGCATTCTTGGCTTTAGGATATATAAACCAAGTTCATTGTAAAGAAAAGCTAACACCAGATGCTCAAATACTTCTTTTGGAACTGGGTATAGTAACCAATGAAGATCTCTTGACGGCTGCAACTATAGAGCAAGAAGTGAAGGACGACGGTGCATCTGAAATTGAAAACCTGCCAATTTCAGAATCACAGCAGGTAAGGCTACAACCAATTTACATTAATGTTAGTTTCCGAAAACCATTGATCTTACAGGCTAAACGATTAAATGTCTTTAGGAAACATTGAAAGCAGAGAGAAAGGAGTTGGCAGATATTGCAGCCAAGGTGGAAAGATTGTCAAAGATCTCACAGCTTTGCAACGACATCGAGCTTTTACGTTTCGATGCTGCGTCTCACTCTGAAAATTATCATCAGAACGCCCAAGTTTTCCTAAAGTGCCAGCGGCAAATCAAGAGTATTCTTCGTGCGGATCAAAGTTATGCTGCCCAACATGGTGTACCTCTGTCGAAAGAAGAAGACGATATGATCCAGTTGGTCTATGCACTTAAAATGTCTTCTCCCAGTGGTGGCCAATCCAAACAAACACGAAGGATATCGGAAGCATACAACTTACACCCATAAAATATCATTTTCATTCAAATAAACCCCAAAGATATCATGTTCATACATTAATTTCAATATTGGCAGGTTTGGCGACTTCTTTGCCTGAATGATTGAACGCTCGTACTTCAAATTCCCATGTACTCCTTTTTTCTTGTACCAAAATACCAGACACTCTAAATGCACAAGTGAAAGCTGTGCCGAGGAATGACCATCGGAATGGCTTGAATTTTGGATGCGCTACCATATCGATGTCGCGAACAGGCCGAGCATAAATGGCAAAGAAATAGACGTGATCCCAAATCTTTGACGAAAACTTGTTTGGAGTCGAGGGAGCATCCACAAACTTGATATTCCATTCCAACGTGCAAAATAGCAGCTTATGTTTGCTAGTTCCGGATGCAGATATAGCGTGTTGTGATGGCAAGTCCATCTCATGGACTGATCGATCCCATATGTGAATGTGCGGAAATTCGAAGGTAGGAGGAGACATTGGCTGGTTGTTGATGCTAAGTGACCCTAAAAATGCCACCAAATCAGTGGTAATCCGCTGTGCCCGTGGCTTGTGGAGCACAACACCAACTTCAATTACTTTCCAATCAGCATTACCATCACCAGAGAATTTAAAGGTTCGTGTCTTCGATAGCCACTTATTCTGAGTTTCCGTTGCACACATAGAAGGATTGATGATAACTTGACTCTCGGCATTGCTCTGGATAACGTCACTTTCGATGATCATGTAAGTATCGGAGGTTGCTTCCTGCGATGAATTCAAAATGTGTCGCTGAGTAGCATTTTCAGGTCGAGCTACGCGAATGTAGATTCCAAAAGATATGTTCTGTTCGACGTCCTTCACCGTATATTGAACTCGACAAAATTCACCAAGCGGCATATCCAACGAGTAAAGGGGTATCATTTCTGTGGACCATGCCATGGCATTCTGACCAAAAGCCTCATTGATGTAGAATCCAAGGCTGGAACCTCCAAGGTATGCATGAGCCATGGATACTACGTATCGAATCATTCCATTGGGTTGTTTTACATTGGGTTGAATACTTTGGTGCGAGATATGCGACCATTTTTTCAGCATTTGTCTCTTCAAAACACATATTAGACGTGGGGATATTGTGATCAACCCAACGGAGAATCTCTTACCTCGCCAGCAATGTTGAAAACGTCCCCATAGCCTCGATCAAAGCATGTAAAGAAAGTTGCCGTCGTTGACGCAGGGCGCGAGGGTACAATGTCACTAATGCCATACCTTCGGTTATCTTGTATTTCTACTGTGGTTGGTCCGGCTGTAGATCGTTTCCGATCAGTAAAGGTTCATAATTTCATATGTTGTTGCAAAGCTCTTACCCTCGAGACTAATGATCTCGTTTTGCCCCAGCAGAGGATATTGCGAGGGCATGCCACCATACCAAAGTAAGGAATCATTGATAGAAAAATTTTCGGCTCCCAAGAACTCGTATGTCCAAGCAGGCCCAAAAATAGCAGATGACAGATTGAACTTTGACGCCTCTTGTACACCCTGAATTGTATCGTGAGTTGTGAGAAATAAGATAGTCCTGTACAATGTTAGTACTTACTTTCCACGTCTCAAAGCCAGAAGCAAAACTACCACGACCCCAAACATCGGAACCCATATAGACTTCGTTGCTTTTGCGTCCCATTGCTTTTGCCTTCTCAAATGCTGCAGCTGGCGTATCGGCTTTCCAACAATAATTTGTGAAGATGCCATCTGTAACATCAAAAAATCCGCTGTTCATATCATTCAGGGTATTCTGCCACTTGATGTCTCCATTCTTGGTCATGGAGTCGTACCATATTATCTTAGAGTGTGGTATCCGTTGATGCAACTTTTCTGTAAGGTACCTCAGTAACCTTCTTAACCTTAGTATCTCCATCCATATAATACACTTGGATAAAACAAATTAACTGCTTTCCTTACTTTACCATTTGTTGTGCCTTATACTCTGCCGGCAACGGAGATGCCGCAAATGGACTTTCGATGTTAATGAGCCACCCATCAAATTTATACTGTTCCGCAATTTCAACTAGAAGGATTGGATGAGAACGAAACATTTGACCCCATTCGATCCATAGTGGCTATCAAATTACCGAGTTTGTCTGCATAGTGAGGATTCCACATATCGCTCGATGGCTTTTCTTTGTCAAAATCTGCGTCTTTGGATGGACCCAAGAGAAACTTCTCCAGTTCCGATACGCCTTCTTGCCACTCAACAATAAAGGTGCCAAGAGATAGAACGTTGTTTCGATGGCACGCGTTGGTGAAGTTCACAGGGGGAATCGTGATACGGTGGTGGGAGAAACTAGGAATCGTCGTTCATGAGCATGTTGCCTTTTGGTATGTTCAGCAGCAATAGAACTTACTACACGAATATGTCCACCAAATGCCACGTCTGGCAGCTCCATATTGTCTCATAATCATTTCCTTGCACCATTTCATCCTCCCGATACCCTTTCAGGAACATATCAGCCATTTTGCAGTAAAGTCTGGCCAAGTCTATACCAACTTACCGCCTGCCATGTCATGGCATAGCAACAACTTTGATTTGCCAAGATCCCTATCAGATTGATCTTGGCGATATGGCACTGTAGCTATGTTGAAGATATCAGCAGCTGATGGCAGCCATTCATCGACTTTTTCTAAAGAATCTATTGGCTTGGACTTGGGTGCTTTGGGATCGGTTGAATCATAATGTGAGCTTGACGGCATTACAAACTTAGACAAGAGGATGGGACAGTGCAACTGCTTTTCAGGTCGGGTGACTTTTCAAGTTGCTCATATTTGAGTGATTTAATGCCACTTTGCGTACCTTGGAGATTTTCCCGCTCAAAGCTATTTTGCCTCTGGTTTAAAATATCGCATTTTTTTCATTCCTTTGGCTTTTCGATTTAGCAGAACACTTCAAAACTGCTTTTAAGATAGCGTATGAGAGAAAAAATACAATACTAATTCTAAGCTGTAATAGAGAAAGCAAAAGAGCAGAGTACAGTAAATAAAATAACAAAATTAAAAGCAATGATAGCCTTTAATTGATGCCCCAGTGTACTCAATCAAACCTACTTACAACAGCATGAAGCACATTTGGCAATGAAAGAACATTTATTCCTGTCATAGGTGGTGATAGCAAAATTCGTTCCTTATCTTTACCAGCTTTTGCTTGTTGCTTTAGATCCGTTCGTCTATATGTGAAAAATACCATCCGAAATGCAGATCTCTACAAGATGGGAAGAAGTTGTTAAATTGTGATTATTACCTCACCTAACGCTACCCAACGTTCTGAAAACGCTAGAAGCATATACAATGTGACACATAATGCTACAGTGAAGAACTACTAGTATAACAGGGAGAGTACTATTAAATGTGTAATGTGGTGTGGTTTGGTTAGTTATAGCCTTTAGCTAGGTATAGCTTTTAGCTTTACAATGAGAAACTTGTCGATTGTCTACGAAAAAGATGCAGGAAAAAATTGGCGGCGGTGGTTTCAAATCTTTTACGCCAAAAGAAAGAAAGAAAGAAACGTTAAGCATGATTGGTTTAAGGTAGTAAACCAATGCTTCTCGACAAATATTTACGATCCATTTGCTTCAGGTTATTACCATAGAATCAAATGGTAATGCATTTTGATACAGCAGCAAGAACTTGGAAAGAGGCTTATTATGAGTAAAGTGGGCGATCCCCCTATCAGGTAATCAGATTTTTTATTTTGGTGGACAGTATAAAACTATTGCTGCTCACCACCAAAAGAAAACAATAGAATATTCGTTCGGAGTACTCAAAACAACCTTATATACATTGGTAAATGTAAATGTGGAGGAAGGAGGAACATCTTTGTTGGATTCTTTCTAATGATGGAAAATTGATGTTTTATAAAATTCAAGAAGCAGGGGAAGCAAGCATCTGAAACGACCTGAGGCCAGCTAACGGTAATGCTAGAAGGGCGGACGAGGTATGTATGGAACTGTAAGATCGATTGGCTGCATGGTTACACAGTCCTTCGACAAGTAGCTTATTTACGCAATCGCAGATGAAATTGCGTGCTGAACCAAATTTACCAGGTAAACCGCTTGCAGCTTTCTTAATCTCCTTCGATCTTCTAAATGTCTTGCCATGCCAACTGAATCTACTCGACTTATTTCCGAATCACCTACACAGTATTCGTCTATACCCACCAACACATCGAATGCATCGCTTTTTCAACCAGACGTCCCGCTCAACCTTAAATTATCTACACTATATACCCTCTATGACCACGTCTCAGTGTCCAAAGTACTAAAAAACCGCGGGTGTGTAGCAAGGGATCATTTAGGTAACATATAGTTCTATATATTTTTTTATATCATAAAAGCTCCAATGTTCGACAAGTATACCTACCATTGCCAATGGACTAAATCCAAAGCTCTTCTACAGCCAATGAACGAACATATCTCGCGTATTTGCGCACCAGTCTTGCTATGATATCAACAGGTGTAGGTAAGTACTCCTTTTGAAACACATGGTACATCATATTACCTCACATCTGTTCAAGCTGTCTAACACATGATCTGCCTTCCTCATCTGCGTTTGTCTATATCAGCTGTTACGCAGCTATTCAGGATGAACAAGACACATCCTGACAAGTCTACAGGAGGAAGACTGTTAGGAGGCTATCTCATCTTACTAGGCATAATAGTCCTTCTATTTGCCGCGATTCGCTTCTTTCACTGTCAAGAAGCAATGACTAGAGGCGTGTTTCCTGTCATGAGCTCAGTGGCCATCGTCACATCGGTGCTATTGCTGACACTGTGCATTTCAATGCTATATCTAAATTGATAACAATGCACAATTCTATTGCGAAGACTGTTTTTGCTATATACCCGTGCATTATTTTTAGCTTTTATTGCTTGTTTCTTTGCAGCACACAATCTCCACCATTACGGAATTTGAAATAATCATAACAACCACCGCATCAAATCTCATTCAATCTCCAAGCCACGTTCTAGTTTGTAAATAAAAATGCAAATCTTTAAACGTGGTTTTATTTCATGAAAAAAAAGTGTTTTGTAGATACTGAATCATATGTCACATTCATCCTGTGAGAGTGACATTGATAAAAGTAGCGTTTTTTGTCTAGCCAAAAATGAGACGAAGTAGGATGTAGGATGTACTTCCAAGGAAACGGCAGGCTGAGAGGAAGGCAACAGACCAGAAAATGAAAGTCAAATAAGGATTGTAGGACATTTGCGCGTTCGGGTTGTGTTCTGCTATGTATTGTGTGAATGCGTCAGAAGACATGGCCACGATGAGCAAAGCGTTAGAGAACATCCAGGAAAGAACAAGTCTGGTACGGAAAAGCTTGTAGTAATCTTCCTGCTTGGTCTTTGCGTCACGATGTTCAACTTTTTTCACCTCAGGCACTGCCAGATCTCGAAGGAACTTTTCATAGTTGGAATTGATGTCCTCTCTTTCTGTTGGTACCTCCACCTTGATGAGTTTCTGACCGTCTTTACCAGTGGTTGCTTCAGCCGCACCCAAAGACTCTGTTTTGTTATCACCCTTTGTACCCCAACTGTAATAATCGCATTAGTTAGTAACTTGTCGAAGATATATTTCCATATGATAAACTGACATACCTGACATCGTGTGTGTTACAGAATGCGTAGACCTATTATAGACGACACATGTTAATGATCCAGTTGTGGAGCTTAAACCCACAGCGGTCAATTGCTTACCATGAGGATATTGACATAAGAGGGCAAGAGTGCCAAGTATTGAATGAATGAAGTAAACATGTGCCATGGCTGACCATACAAAAAGGATGAGAAGAAGTAAAGAACGTAGGTTGATCCAAGGGAGATGATGATATCACGGAATGCTGGAGACGTTTGGAACAACGTGTATGCATTTTTCCATCCAGATACGGATTTTGGCACAGTTTGCCAAATTGTGAAACCAGCAACATACAACATGACCAACATGAGGATAGCAAAGATAACGACACAAATCCAGTAGATTGTCTTTGAACCTTGTGGACGATTACCAAGTGCCGAGATAACAATGATGATGATAACCATTATATAAAGCTCACGCAAGAATGTAAAAGCGATGTTGCCATGTCCGTAGAATGGATCAGGGACGGTAGTTGATTGTGTGACTTCTGAAAGTTTGCCGTCCACCATAGTCTCGTAAGTAGTTGGAACAGATGCTTTTGTGAGGAAGAAGAAAGTAAGGTAGAAGTTGCCCTGTAGTACATAAAGATTGTTTAGTATGTCTCCTGTATTGAAGTCGAAGATTGTTAATGAACTTACCAGTGCAAACCAGTTGAACACCAAGTTGATAAAGTTATAAATGAAGAAAAGGGTCATCAAGAATTTGCGCCAAAGATTTTGTCCACTGGTCCAAATTCGATAAAAGTGGTAGGTAGCAAAGAAAGATGCGAAGAAGGATCCGTTCAGCCAGCGTCTACGTTGGGAGATGAATTCTGCCAAATTGTCTGGGACATCCGTTTCAGCCTTGGCTGCCTTGACATACTTGAGAAGCCACTGTTCTCCCTTCTTTGCCACTAATTCGAAACAAAGAATACGATCTTCAGCAAGGTACATATTGGCTTCAAAAATGCCTGCATCGGCTGCGCCTCCGTGCAATGCTTCACCCTTGAAGTAAGAAGATAGTGGGCCAACACCGGGAGCAATATCTTTCAAAGCTTTGTAACGATAAGCGGAGAAAGCACCAGGCAACACCGAAATGTAACCGAAAACAGATTCCAAAGGCTTGTCGAGGATATTGGACATTTTGTATTCGAAATTCTGGGAAGCAACAAGTGGGTTGATGAGGTTGCTCCAACCCTTTCCAAGTTCAGCACAGATTTCACCACAAGCACCACCAATGTATGGAGCACGATCAAAAGCTGATGTTTCATTAAGTTAGTCGATAAGAAAATTCCAGGTAACGCAGTACTTTAATTGAATCTTACCTTTCCACAAATGGTATAAACTTGTACCGCTTGGACGTGTACCGACATCCAATAAAATACACACATTGGGATTCAAAAGAGGAGCAAATGCTCTGAAGAACCATCTATGAGAGTTTAACTTCTTTGCGTTCTTCTCTTTGAGACAAAAGACGATCTGAATAGGGACACTACCCTTATCAGATCCAAACATTTTGCCAGTCTCTCTGTCCACCATGACCTGCGAGGTGTACTCGTAAATGTGTGCTGTTACAGCACGACCGACAACTTCAGTTTTAGCAATTCCTTCCTATTATGATATCGATTTGTTAAGCAGTTGAAATCAGATGGTGGTAGAATGATGTTAAAGCATGAACAAACCTGATAAACACCCATGGCACCAAGAACTTTGAGAACTCGAGGGTGGATCTTAGTACGACCATCAGCTACTACGCATACAGTGATCTTTTGCCAGCCATCCGGACCCCAAGTTTTACTCTTTGTTCTTGAGCACAAGTGGGCAATATTTTTAATAACGGAGTTCATAGTCTTGAGGAAAAGTTGATCGTCTTCGTTGTACATGGTCTGGTGAAAACATTGTTAGTTTTTTGCTTTACTTGGCATCCGACGTACTCAGTGACTTACCATAACAATGAAAAGCTCGGTCTTTCTGCCATAATTGTGTGTTCTGAGAGTGTATCTGTTTTTCAAAAAGTCATTTGGGTCACAGGTAGCAGCTGTGTAACGCATATGGGTGAACTCTTCTCCTGTAGTGTATTTCACGTTTCTCAGAAGCTTGTCAGGAACAGGACAGTCGAGAACAAGATTGCCTTGAGTAAGCTCTACATGGCGAATTGTCTAGAGTAAACATGGGAAAACAAGCAATTAGTCGCAAATTTGGATAGGCTAAGGATCAGTATTTGTGTGACATTGCAATGCCCGTAAAAAAATAAATATATACCTTTCTATAACCCAGTTTTCTAGGTGGTTGCTGCATGCGATCATGCTCCATGTTGACACGCTGATCTGGACCATTTCTCTCCAGCGGGTGGTTGTAACCACCACCACCACCACCACCACCACCACCGCCGCCATTAAATGGTGTTGAAGATGGTTGCGGAGCAGAGTGTTGAAGTAACCCAGCGCGGTCATCATCAAAATAGCCATTTACATGTGGAGCATACCCTGTTGTAGGTGGGCTCGTGTATTGACGCTGAGGTGGTGAATGGGCATTGTAGGGTTGTCCTTGGGGTGGGTAGCGTGGGCCAGGCGATGGGCCAGGTGGTGAGTAGGGGCCGTGCGTTGCAGGATACGGGCTGGTAGGCGACCGCTGTTGTGGAGGGGGTCTGTAGGCCATTTCCTTGTTATGATCGGCTTAAATTATGGCAACCAAGAGATATGGGAAATGAAAAGAGTGGTTCTGATTTGAGCAAACTGTTAGTTAAAAAGCTCGAACTGCGAGGAGAGGGAGGGTTGTCGTATGAATCCTTCTCCTTAAATGCTATATAAAATAGCACACAATCTCCTTACTATCGTTACCTTATTCTATTTCTATTGTCTGTTGATCTTCAGCTTTATGATCTTCCTTAGCTTGATGCCCTTGATGTAAGGGTAGGAGAGCAGAGGAGAAAGAAAGACGATGAAAAGGGGATTGAGTGCAAAGATGCTTTCTTTTGACGAGCCAAATTTACCTTCTCATGTCACACAAGGCCTGCTTTCAATTAACGATGGGTAACACAGATATGGGCGGGGACTCTTCGCTCTTGCTACTGATTCTCCATATTGCCAATTTGGTTGGCTAAGCTCCCAGCCGGATGCAGCAGAAAGGATTTACTCGGTATCCTATTTTTTGATCTACCTCGCTTGATTCAATGGAAAATACTGAGAGTATTTTGCTAGCTAACGAAATCAATATCATTATTAGGTTGTTCATAACACTCGTAATCTAAATGTACCAGACAGTATGCACTGGTTGGCCACGAAGTTTGATTGGCTGGATGGATCAAGCTCACCGCGCTCTTGGCCGGCAAGTTCATTTGAGTCCCCATCTGTTCCATCTCCAACGGAGCTTTAAAATCATAACCGTAAAAACCAACAAACTCTTTATAGAATCATAGGCCAGTCAAACACATTTGAAAGACTCTTTCCATGTCGACTCAAAATAAGGCAGCTGACGGTGGTGATGCTCCGGAGCACCGTCGACCTAGCATAAGCTACCTTTATTCTGCTCAGCCTAGCACCATCCAGCCCGATCCCACTGCCCCATCTACAAATAAAATAATCCTAGACTATCTTCTCTTTCTGTCGATACAATCACGACTGCAGCAGGCTGCTCTGGAATTGGATGAGCTTACATCTCCGCTGCAGGAACAAGACGAAAATGAGCCAGAGCATATTAAACGACGAACTACTAAATGGCGTGATACTGCTTCGAGAGCAGAAAGAGATAAGAACGCTGTGGAGTCTATCGTTGCAGGTATGCAAACGGAGCCTTATTTGACGTTATGTATTGACAAGTCCTCATTGACAATTGATATCATTTTTAGGTGTTCTATCAGACCATCGCAAGAGAACACCGTCTTCAATATCCAAAAACCCGCAACTAGAACAGCGCTTGCATTTATGCCAACTGACGAATTTAGTGTTTGGAAGATTCGATCCTGCTCCAAACAGCATACATCCCTCCGAACACACTGTATCAACCCGTATCCGCAAGCACTCGGAACAAATTGTATCGACCATCAATAGCGATGACCAAGACGAATCACATGATATTAAACTTAGAAGAGAATTTTTTGCAAAACCAATAGAACCACCATGCTGCCGTCGTCATCGAAAGAGCCACTGCGTGCTTTGTCAAATCCCCACAGAACCCAAAAAACGAACACAAAAGCCGGTCACTCCACCCTCCACACAACTGCCAACTGCCCATTGTCTTGGCTTAATTGATGCGATACCTGCGTTTCTCAAAACGAGTGCAGACTGGCTTCGGATGGCGTTGGAATCGGCTAGTAACACAAACAGTCCTGCACAACCTATGACTTTTGCCGGTGAACGAGTCATGGGAGGAGGAATGCCACCCAAGTGGTACGATTTGTTTCTAGAGTTTTTAACGCAAGCTGTTATCGAGAGCTATCTATGTGACTCTCACATTGGACTCCAATACATCTTTGAAGCGTTTTCATACGGTGATGTCGAAGAAGATGACAAAGAGGATGACGAAAAAGATGAGGACGATGAAAAAGATGAGGATGATGAAGATGAGGAGTCAACTCCGGATCCATCAGACCAAACCGACCAAGAAAATGACGAAGAGGATGAAGAAGAACTATGGGGTGTACGAGCTGAAGATCACTTTCTGCTGTTCCCCAAGACCAGAACCATCTTTTTGTTTTCACAACAACTTCGAGAAAGAGAGAAAGAGGTTTGAATATTGCAAAGCAACTTTTTATGAAAATGTGTGCCCTTGCTAACTCTTGTACATACGTTCAAATCTAGCTTCTACTCGTTAATGGAGATTTAAAGATGCACTTTACTGAGCTTGCGGAGCGATACCCGTTGGTTGAGTTTGAGAAGAGCATGACTGATTTTATTCGAATGGTGTTAAACTCTATGGATACTCCAAAATTGGATAAGGTAAGTTTGCTAATCACTACAAGTTTCTCCCAAGTAGACTACCCAGCGGACGATTCTGACATTATCATTAATAGTACGAAGGTTCGTCGACTAGCCTGCAAAAAGAGACGGCTGTCGAAAACAAGACCTTGGATGCTTCCGCTAAGCTGCCAATAGTTTACCAATTTCCCGGTGATGGTGCTCTTTTAATGCCAGAAGTTCCTGATGAAGTACACGGATCCAAATCCAACAGCGCCGCAAGCGCTGATGATGCTAGAGGAACTAAGAGGCGGCACTCCACGGTACCAGACGACGCTGAAGCACATAAACGCAAGTGATTGCTTTTTTAAGATATACGGCCGTGGAAGACATTTATAAAAAAAATGTTAAGTCTGAAGTAATGATAACAAGGACAAGAAGGAATTCCATAGAAGATGGCATACAAAATATCTCAATAATGATATTGTTACAATCGATTTAATACAGATGAGCCAGAGGCATAATGAACGATATCCATTAATGACGTTTTGTAATCTTGACTTTGTAGGAGTTGCTAGCAATAGTGTAAGTAATAAATTGGCGAAGATGTTTAGCGTCTTCAACACTTTCTGGCACAGGATCAAAATTGAAGTTGTACACGAAGGAAGCCAAAAGTAGTCTCATCTCCATCCAAGCAAAGTTTTTACCAATACAATTTCGAGAACTGCAAATTTGGGAAGCATACGTTAGCACAATTCCATTGTCTGCTACTGCATAAACATCATGTATCTCACCCTGAGGAGAATGGGAAGAAGGCATCTTTGTCAGCAGGAATATCAGAACCTTCCAACCAACGTTCTGGTTTGAAAGCCAGTGGCTCTGGCCAGTATTCAGGGTCGACCTGGCAGGCATAAATGTGTGCAGAGATCAATATATTTTTGGGGATATGGTACTTTCCACCAAGGATGTAGTCTCTATCAGTTTCTCTGGGAAGGCCGCCCATAGCAACTGGCTTGATTCTCATAGTTTCGTTGATGACTGCATTCAAATATGGGAGATTTTTGAGGTCTTCGTGCTCAAAACGAACATTACTGCCATTGCGAGGATATACGCTATCCAATTCCTCTCTCAAAAGAGCCAAAGCTTCAGGATGCTCTATCAGATGAATGATAGCAAAACCAATAGTGTTGCTAACAGAAGAACATCATCAGTTTCAAGGCTCTGTTGTTACAAATTTAATGCACAACACTTACGAAGTAGTTTCCGAGCCAGCAATCAAGAACAGAATGTTTTCGTGGACGATGTCTTCATTATTTAATCGATCGTTCTTGAGCTCAGCGTTTTGCGAGTCAATCAAAATTTGCAAAATATCATTCTTTCTCTTTCCTGACTTGAGACGCTCCTCGATAATACCGACCATGAACTAGATTATTGAGTTAATCATGTTGTCGAATTATAGACTTGCATAATGATGAAATATATGCATGTTTTACTTGCCTTGCCGATGTCAAATTTACTTTCGTTGCTTTTGATAAAGAAATCAACAATTTTACCAAAAATAGGGATTGATTTTGTCTGTTGCAAAAGTGAGTCTTCAAAGTATTCGTTAACAGCATTTATAAAGTCTTTACTTACAGCACTAGCAAGCGCAGCATGTGTCAAATTTCTGGTGATGGTTGCTGGTAAGGGATGGGATCCATTCTTGACCATATTGAAACTTTGATCGAACGCAGTAGCCCCAATAACATCCTACACGCATTCCAGTCAGCGCCATAACGAAGCACAATATCTTTTGACAGTTATGGCTTACCAGAGCAGTGGATTGGAGGAGACGCCACATGTCGACCTCAGCGCTAGGCTGGTTGTGAAGGTGTGCTGTATCAACTGCACTATTGATGTGCTGGACAAACTCGCCTACGGAGTCTGACATCAGATGTTCCAAAGCAGCAAGATATTTCACTGAAAATGCAGGGGAGACAACGCGTCTTCTTGTCTTGTGGAAATCCTTGTCAATGGTATTGAACATAGTTTGATGTCCGTCAACTGATAACAATGATTAGTCTGTAATAGTGGTATGTCTTCAGCAATGTCTCTAGCCTTACGTTGAAGGTTCTTGTATGCCCATGCTTTGGGAAGGTCATCGTCGTGTAAGATCTGCTTGATCATATTTTTATCTGAGATAGTGATGGTGCGACTTGTCGATTTCACAATCCTGCCATACTTCTGATGAAGTCCAACCATACGCTGGTATCTGTGTGGCCAATACTCAGTTTCATGCATATCTTTCCCGATGTTTTTAACATACCACGTGGAGGTATTCTTTCGTACCTGGTTCCAAGCGGCAAATTGTAATAAAGCATTGGCATATCAAAGAAAGTATCAAAAAATGTGCCGGGGATATTGCTCAACGGGCCAAAATAAACTCTGTAAAGCCTCTGATCTTGGCATCAGTTAACGCTGTGCATGGTCAAATCACCGTTTTCTAGTACACTCACGCTCGTCACAAAGTAACCAGCGGCAAGGATAGCCACTGCTGAAGAGTATTTAGCGTTTCGCTTCAAGAACTGACGAACAATTCCATCCGGCAAACGATCGATTATCTTGATAAGTTGGTTCTCCATTGGAAATGAGGCAGATGGTAAAAGACTTCAGCCGTAATTCTGAACGACTTTTATATTTTCCAGCCACGGACGATATAAGCCCAATTTGGTAAAAGAACGCTTACCAGATTTTTGGCTGGCTGAGGAAATCGAAAAATCCCCCCGTAACCCACTTGCATGATGAACAGAAATGGCCTCCCAAACTTGAGGAAAATCGACCGAAGTGACAAGATAATAGATCTACATCATCCTGCTACCATATATGAATTATTTTCTACCAATCCAGCAATCGCGGCAGACCGCATCGGTTGACTACTTTGTCCAAAACGTCAGCTATCGTACTACATGCCCATCTAACCATACACCAGATCTACGCATCGTTACGATGTTTCAGGCGTTATAAGACAACATATCTTGGCACTTTTTGCTCTCAATAGACTCTTCTACCGATGAGAATGTAAGGTCACACCACCATTGTTGATAGCCAGGCTGTCACAAAAACTGTCTTGCGTCCAATTGTTTCTTGAATTAAAATACCTCATGTCATACCATTAATTTCCTGAGATAACATGATATTCTTTTCCAAAAGACCTTAACTAATGATGAAAATTTCATTTTACTACCTTATATCAGAGGAAGATGCTGAACCTGTTCAAAAGTACAAAAACGGTTTGAATATGTTTGAGCCAAGAGTCAATAATCAACCGTTCCTAAAATGCTTAATTTTTGAGAATAAGGGAGGTATACTAAATGACAAAGCGATTCATTTGTACTGATTTTATTGAAGATTCAACAGATCTCTTAAAATCTAGAATTTTTTTGTCAATAAGAGTATTATGATAGAGCTTGACAAAGAAGATAAGGTGCTTCCTTGGGGTTACGAAGTAGTCTCCGGGCGATACGTTGGGAACGTCATGCAGAGGTTCTTTGGTTCTTAATTATCTCATGCAAGAATGGACAGACTGTGCATTCTTTATTAGAAAATCAACTTGCTTCTACCAGAAACAATGAGTCCTACGGATCTCTTGAAGACTTCGGAAAGGACCTCTATGGTCTGTCATGCGGCAAGACATTCTGGCTATGACATAGTTATTTTCAGGGGTAATTAGATGCATCTTCAAAGGTATAATTATCTATATAAACAAGCTACAACCTTACATAAGCTATTTGAGTTTTATATCATTAGCCAATATTAGGGTATTCTGCCTTTTGAATTCTGGTATTCAGACAGTAGCATTTGAACTGCGCTTTTGTATCAGCCACGACTTCCAAATTTAGCTGACAGGTCTCAACGCCTCAGCTTTGAGCACAGGACACCAGCAAATTTCGCTGCTCTCCCACACCTTTCGTGAACACACAAGCCATACCCCCCATTTAAATACTCACAATGGGCCTTGAATCACAAAACCCATATTATAGAGAGTTGAATGATACTCTAAGTGACCATCCCGATCAGAACACTCCTGCCACAGCTGAACCATTGCTGTATAATCCAACGTCAAGCTCACCCATCCTCACAGCCAATGACACTCGGATCGCAGTTGAAGACCATTCTGAAACAGCAGAACCACGGCTTTGTAGAATATGCCAAAGTGGCGAAGACGATAGTGACGATGACGCTACTATTGCCGACGAAGAAGTAGACCTGGTATCCAGCGAACCCTACTATAGGACGAGTCATGATGCACATCATTTAAGAAGTAAACGAGTCTACGCCAAAAATCCTTTAATTAAGCCGTGCAAGTGCAAAGGAAGGTAAGGAAAGTTTTTCTCCAAGAAATTTGTGTTCGTTTTGACTAAGGCAGTAATATTAGTATGATGTACGTACACTTAGACTGTCTCAACGTAAGTCCATTTACATAAGATTGCAGTCAAGGATTTGTATCGGAGCTAATGTTACTCGGTTGTATACTAGCGTTGGCGAAAAGAATCTCCCAGGGCAGCTTCGACATATGCCTGTGATCTTTGCGGATATCAGTATCACCTATACCGACCCATGTATGCATATATTATTGGGAACAAGTGGTTTGTTGCGTTCGCAACTGCATTGATAGTGGCTTTCATAGTTGCCATTGCTTCATTATTGGCTTATTTTATCGATACACTTGCCCTACACAACCCTGCAAGAACTGTGGCAATCTATTTTGCCTGCGGCATCGCAACCACCGCCATTATTGGCTTTGTTGCATTCATATATCGATGTGCAACTGAAGGAGCGGATTCTGTGACAATGCCCATATGGTGCTGCCCTGATGGTTGTTCATCATTATATCTGGCCGATTGCGGAGCACTTGGTGGTGGTGATGCTGCTCTTGCTGGACTACTTTTTGTTGTGGCATTCATTATAATGACTGTGCTTCTGTTCGGTCTAATAGGCGCCGTAGGTGGGGTCTACATATTCGTGGAACGGCATGTGGAAAATGTTGCTGGAAAGGTAAAGGAGCGCATTTTAGACGTCGAGTGATACACCATTTGATTTGTTTTATCCGTTAACACGCCGAGAAAATTCGTGAAATGTAATATTTACAAGTTAATAGTTCGTCAAACTCATAATAAAAGCATGAGAGGCAAATTATATAATAATGCATAGCAGCAAGAAATGATTTGTTGATATAACTTATTTCAAATCAGGCCCAAGCTTTGTTTCGAGCGATCTTTAAACGCTTACCGAAACCGCACTGAGATTGGAGTAAGGTATGATGTATTATACTTTATCCGAGTCCCCAGTTACTGGAAAATGAAAAAATGAAAAATCTTCGGTTTTTGTCAATCCAGGCAACTTCAACAAACATTTACAGAATATTCTTTTCATGTCGCTCTAGATTTGGTACTATATCAATTGCGTGAATAGATAAAAATTCACCTTTGGGTGATTTAAGGCTTGATTTACGGCCGGGCCATCCAGTGTTCTATCGATTTCTTTCATTTAATCTGCGACACAAGTCAGTTAGCACTTTCAAAATGTTCAAATTCATCACCGCCAATCTGATTGGCCAAAGAGTATGTCACTCAGAGATTTTTGGACGTTCAAACAGCCGCTAAATCTTACAGATTATACCATTCCAGAAGCTTCTTGTCCCATTCCTCGCAAAAGTACTGAAACGCTCCTCTCTGCTCGTTTCCATTCACGCTCCAGCCTCTAATTTAGTTGTATTTTCATTTTGCTTAGGAAAATCTCAGCTTTCTTGTGAATGCCACAATATGCCGCTACTGGTGCAACGAGTCCAGATCTAAGTTACCAGCCCATGAGTAACAATCTACCACCTAGTATATTGCGTAGGATATTCGAGCATGTGTCAACGGAAGAAATCATCAAATGTGCTCAGACATGTCGACATTGGGCCATACCAGCTTTGAAGATAATATGGCAACACCTAAAATTCATACGTACTAGAGATTTTGATCGTACGTTTGCTATTATTGCTCGCAAGAACACTATATTCCCATACGGAACCTTCGTAAAGAGCATAGAGATTATTCATGCTGAACGAGAATTGTCTATCAGCTCACAAATGATGCTTCTGGTGGTATCATTATGTCACGACTTGGAAGCCATCTCACTAAACTTCAGTAACGTCAGAGCTGGTCCTAAAATGGAACAAAGTTCTACACCGCCAAAGAAGGCTTTACCGCCGCCTCAAATGATACAACATCGGGTTCCAACCAAAACAGTTACCACTGCCGACACACACACTCAGCCACTCCCTTTGGCACACATTGGACACAACTGTCCTTCCATCCATACCCTCCGATTAGATTCCTATGTGCCTAAAAACGATGACTCCATATATGAAATGGCGAAATATCTTAATCATGGGACACTCCGCAATATACGCTTCACGGGATGCACAACGCTGCAAGGCTCTACGCTACGGAAACTGGCAAAAATGAATCCTCAAATGCGACACATTGAAATTCTAGGCAATACACCAATCACGGACTCAACCACTGTAACATTAGCTGAAGAATGTCGACTCAATCTGCAACACCTCGTCATCGGTAATGCATATCATCTCACGGATAAGGCTTTTTTGAATTTAGCCCACTACTGCTCCAATTTGCACCACTTAAGCTTGTATAACACAAACTCGGATGCCGAATCACTGTCGGAAAATGGTCTAATCCAGATCGTCAAAAAATGCTCGTCACTCTCCGTGCTGAACATAAGTAATGCTCGATGGCTGGGCGAAGCTTTCTTTGAAGAAGTCCTCATTCGAGTCAAACGACAACTGCAAGAAGTGGAAGAACCAAACTCAAAATTGACTGCTTCATATGGGCTGCATCAAATATGTTTAGGCAATGTACGACGAGAAATTTTAAGATCACCAACTTTACAAAAACTAATTGAACTGAGCTCATACTCAGACGATTTTGAGACGAGTGACGACGATGAATACAGTACTGCCTTTGAAGCACCCGTTCAAGTTCCATTCATGAGCAATGAAGCTCTCCCTCCAAATGCACGGAAGATGAATGTGGTTCGAGGAAGTTCTATTTGGTGGTATCGACGGCAACCTCGCGTTTCTCAAGCTACCAATTAATACCCCAGTTTAATGCTAAAGGGGTTGCAGAATCCCTGGTTAGATTGTTCAGCAAAATCCCTCGTCAACCTTATAGGATACCCTCTTCTTTCATTTCACTTTTCCCTTTTATTACCTTTCTGCCCTTGTAAGAACAGCTGTCAAGCACTTTAAAAAGTGCCTGTTTATTATCATTTTTTGCAAAAAATGTACATAGTCATCTGCAACGAAGCTGCAGGCGTTTCTCTCTGCAATAAATAATCCTCTCTTCTCAGTAGCAAATTTTCACCCCAAAGTTCTAAACTCCACTTCAACGTGGACGTTACAAAATTCAATTTGATCCTAGTACTCTATCCAGTAAATTACTAGCTGTGCTGCTCCATCGTTTAGTGTGATCAAGTGTAGCTTGTGTATCTTGCATGCTACGCGATGTTAATGATCGTTGAAGGTTGCTATGTGGGCGTCTTTCCGGTGAATGCGGCATGCTAAAGGCAGATGCATTTCGCTGCTTCTTTTCCATACATCTTATTAAGCTTTCCGACATTGGATCTTGATATCGTCTTACATACATGTATTCACGGTTTACATGCTCCATTTCTTTAGTTAGGCGAAGTTGATTGCGAGGATGCGCCAAATTATTTTCATCGTCCGCTAAAAAGTGTTGGCGCTGTAATAAAAGTTTTTGCTGTGTGCGGGTCATTGCCGTCGGTGCGGTTGAGGCTGCCATTTGTATAGAAGATTTGCCCATGTCTGGTGGGATGGCACGATGGTCACTTTGTTGATGGGTTAAAGTTGGCGTTGCTGGCTCACTGCTAAAAGCCACACTTTCATGGGTACTTGTTAACTTGGATATATCCGGATGTGAGCTAGCAGCTTGCTTTTCGATCATCACGTCGTTGCTTGGCGGCGAAACGTCAGGACTAGGTTGAATGAATTGTGATTTCATTGGCTGACGCTGAGAATAGGGGTTGCTTATTGTGGTATTCGCTGGAACCTTCGTGGTTGCGATCATATTGTCGGCGTGAGCTGTGAAAGCTGTGACTTTTGCACTTGCGGCACTTGGTTCATGTCTGATTAATTGTGGCGGGTTATTGTGCTTAGTGTCCACCTGTGTTTGTGCTTCATAGGTATCTTGCGGCGCTTCATTCGCGTTTGTAACCGATAGCTTCTCCATAGCAGCTAACCGGGGTAAAGACCTTTGCGAGCTTGTTCGGCGAACTATAATGCTTCTCTTTCCATCGTTTTCAGGTTCAATGGTTCCAGATTCACCGTCTTCCTGTGTATGGGACGAAGCTCGTGTCATTTGCATTAGCTTGGAAACATGCACCCGGCCACCTGATTTTCGTTTGACATGGTGTCGTGCATGCGCCTTTTTGACGGGATGACTTGTTTGTAACTCGGTTTGGCCATCTTCCTCTTCGCCTACAGTAAATTTCTTTCTTGATTCCTCTCCAGACTCTTCCATGTTGCCAAGTTTGACAATGGCTGCATGTGAGACAGCCGACGGAAACAAAAAAAAAATTGGGAAATTTGAACAGAACCTCCATTTACCCTCTCACGCACTCCATGAAGTCACGTGAGAGATCAGAGCAATTAAAATTTTACGCTCCGGATCAATTGAAATTCATTATTTCTGCAATTAGCTGGGCGCTTGTAATGTAACTTCACTTTGGCATCCCACAAGTATTATTCGCTTTCCAAGAACTGTTGTTAAGGAAGCATGATAATAATATTGTTGATCTGACAAAGTATATTCTTCCAGAATATTCAAAGATTGTATAAAGTTTCTCGATGAATGAGCATCACGTTATTAACTTACTGAAAAACCGGTTGTTCTTTATCTACGCTTATTAGTCTATGCTTATCAGTGAACCGATAGACACTGTCTAAAATAGAGTAATAATACTACCAAAGTAAGAAACCATGAAAATGTATGGACGGTTTATATTCATCCTCGGAATTTACCGATAATGTGCCACTAAACGCAATGAAATTAACGTAGTCTACAACCATACCGGGAATTTCATTCAAAGCACATTTTTTGAGAGAAAAACTTTGCTCTCGGCTGACTCCCATACGTGTTGAAACCATTAGGTTAAATTATGGAATTTCGGCATAAATATCTCACCTTCACATGGTGCGGTGGTTGCAAACTTTCACTTACACCTTCCACTCGTTTCGGTTCTATCTCGCAAACCGTCATTTTTCTTATTCTTTTCAAACATCTGTAAACGATGTCGCAGATTTACCTTGGATAAATGAAGCGATTTCATTGCATTTCAGTAGCACCTTTTGCTAACCACCATCATTAAAGCTTCAACGAATGCAAGCCCAGTAGGTCCCTCCCTCGACCTCGTATTGCCAGCGTTTCGCATACTGACATGTAAGACTACATGAATTATTTTTTCAAATGCCTCTGTTATTACCGAGTGCGTATCTCATCGGATTCAACATCATGAAGTTTTAGCCAAGCTTTTCAAGATAGCTCAGTTTTGTCAATCCTTCACCATTCTTTGTCGCCCATCAAGGCATTTGACGTCTTCGACGATGGAGTATTGATGAGGCACTTCAAAACTAGGAGAGAACTCTATTTTTGATCTTCACCGTCACCGTTTCACTCGATGTTCGCATGAGTCAAAGGATTAAGCACAAAGCTTGAATCTAGGGAGGTGACATAAACTAATATAACCTCTCGGGTATCGACAGCAAAGCTACGGAAATTTTTTGGATAACCAAGCACCAGCGTGATCGGGCGGTATGAATGCGCAGCAGGTACTACTATGGAGTGAGAAGATTTTCATCCTACTGCCGTGTTACTGCGCAGTAGTTATGCAGTCATCACTTGAATAGTGTATCCGAGATGTGAAAATGGTCTTTGAAATCTAGAGAATAATAGATATGCTTAGTAAACTTGCTAATAAACGGCTACGTTTGAGACTATTTTTAAAGCACCTCGCATCTTCGTAAAAATAATACGGAAAGCGGTGTTGTGAACTACAAGAGATACCGAAAAATGTAACCGGTTCCAAAGAGCCTGACCAGTCTAACGCTACCTGGTACACGCAAGATTCACATTTGCGGAAATGGATAATAAACTTAATGTGAACAAAACTTCGTACAACAACGATGGTAGGCCATAGTCATTAGGAACAATGTAATCGAATATTTGTTCATCCCAGCCAGCAATAAAAAGCACCTATATTCTGAAATGATTAATATAATACTACCCAGTCTACCACTTCTGTCTACTCAGGTTTTATTATTTCTCATTCAAAGCCTAAAATGAACAAAAAACTCTTCGTACATGATCATGAGAAGAAGTGTTGTTGTGCAGAAGTCCGGGCTCCGTTCACAAGAGTCGCACAACTTATGCTTTGCAATGGAAGTAGGGTGGTCATTCTGTATGGCGTTAAATCATATAATTAGTCCAATTGATGAAGCTAATCATGACCGAAATGATATAAATACAAACGTTTAACACTATTTTCATTTCCAGTGTTCTCCGGAAAATGTAAGTGTAAGACGATGGCTTGCTGGTGTAGTAGTTTAATCTTCCATTGACGGAAAATCATACATTAACATTTAAAAATTCTTCAATTATGTCGCTTCAACATTGTTTCATGTAGATTATTTCACTATGCGCTTCTTTATCCTTGTGGCTTTATCTGCTTTAGCCTCCTCCGTACGCGCTTCTACAAGCAAGTGCTATTGTGTTGACTATTCTACCTACTCTGGCAACTATTGCGTGAACTCTAAAACTGCTGCCGCATCCGCTTATTATTTCCAACATTATGTTGAAACTGGAGAAGCGACTATGGGTAGCGGAGGAACTTCAGGTATGACTTTTTCCTATGTGCTCTCAAATAGTGTATCATCACGATTTATCAAGAGTCCTGTTCTAGGTGGCTGTACTTACGTTCCTGTAAGCAACGTCGGTTATTTCAGAACCGCATGCAAAGCTAGATCAGCTGTCACGGCTGACTGCCTCTGAAAGTACACCGAAGTGTTTCATGTTACCATTTTGTATACATATTTTGTATGCAAAAATATAAAACAAATTCAACTTTTTGAAATCATTTTTAATGTTTCTGAGCTCCATTATACGTGTCGGAGGAAAGGTCATTAAAAAATGTAAACATGTGTATTTAGAAGTTTTCAGATGGCTCAACAATAGCTTTTATTGACATATAGGTACGCATTGTTCGTAGTCCTTGTCTGTTGAACATTGTTAAAGTAAAAGATATACGATGACTGTTGCGGTACATGTATAATTCGTAAAGATTTCCAGTGTCTATGGCATAGTTAGCACTATTATTCGATGCCGCTGGTAGAAATCGCGGAAAGAGCATGAGAAAGATACCGAGATTTACGTTGCACTCCTTTTTAAGGACTGAGCAAACATGAACCTAGAATACTGAAATCAATCCCAATATTTATTCTAGGGGTTTCCCAAAAATATAATCAAGTAGTTATTTTCACCAGCTAAAAAATATGGTTGACATAGAATGGCAACATCATTTGATCCTTCTTAAGCTGAAGTTAGAATTGCAACGATGGCGCATGTTCCGAAGTAGGATGATCGCGACTTGCTGGTGACCAAAAAGTTGGTCTTTGAGCCGATGAAGAATTTTGACCTTAGGATCCTGCGATGACATGAGCTCCGCTGTTATCGACATTACTACTGTGCGGGATTGGAACGAGGTTTCCAGGTGCCTTCGTGCATAGCTTGCTGGTCCTTTTTTCGCCGAGCGTCGATGGCAAGGAATGAATCTGTCAGGTCTTTTTCTTCTTTTGAGAGCTCCTTTATGCCATTCTCCTGTTTGATACATGAATTATCAAAGTCCCAGTCTTCTCCAGATGCAAAATGAGTAAACTTCAAGTAGCGATCTTGCCAAAGCCTTTTGTTACGGAGAAGGCCACCGTTCCACCACCATGGACGACCATCGATGTCGAGATGAACCATATTTCCGCATACTTGAGTGGCAGCTCCGCCGTCACCGAGTCCACCAACAACGGCCGCATGAGACTTCACAAAAGCGTAACCCGTTTGCATCACCTCATATCCAATCCAAAAGGTCTACATGGTTTCGTAATTAGCAAAAATAGGCCATAGTTCATACTTCGTTTACAAGCTATATGGGAATGTTTGAATTTACCTCCTTGTCGCCATGTACTCGACTGTACGTCACTTCGGATCTTTCACGTTTATCGTTCATTCTACATGTTGACATTAAGCCAAGAAGTGATCTTTGCTTGTCGATAACGACGACTCCAGATTCTTGCTCGTGCTTTGATGTCAGAGTGAAAAATCTAGTTTTATGAACTAGAGGGCTCATAGTTGGTAAGAAAGACAGCATCCACTTCCTGCCACCATCCCAGCCAGCAATATAGGTTCTATCATAGAAGAAAAGAGAGCCGGTCTGCTTGAATCCTGGATCTTTCAATAATAATTCAGGGTTTTTGAAAAAGAAGGAATCAGCGTCAGAGAGGATGACTTGGCTAAAGCTAGAAGCCAAAGCGGCGAAAGGTTTCATGGCCCAGCCTTCCAACTTTGTCCACGTGTCGTCGATATATTTTGATAAATCAACCGTTTTCACATTGACAAACTCAGTCTCGAAATATTGGCGTTTGACTTCAGAAAGATCATTGTTGTTGATATAAAAGACTTCAATAGGAATGTTGGATTTATGAGATTCTCTAATGGAGCGAATTGTAGTGGCCGCGTGAAAGAACTGATCATTGCCAACGCAGAAAACCATACCAGCGCCGTTGCTGTTGCTACGCACGTCGAAAAGACTCTTGTACTTGGGATGCAACCACGGGTATAATACGGTCTCTAAATGCTGAAAAAGGTCCCATGTATCCTTGAAAGGAGGTTGTTGTATATCCATGCCATTGGACTGTAGGTCATCGAGGTACTGGAAGAGGGCCTTGTAATTTCTCTCTTGGATAGTCAAAGTTTTGAAATTTAGCTGATCTTCGGGCAGGGTCAATAAATTCAACAAATCCCATTGACCTTTGACTGACAGTAAATATTCCGTATCCGAAAGTGTCCAGGGTCTTGAAGGATAAGGTATGGCGATATCATAGAACTGAGCGAGTGTATCCATGTCAGTCATGTTTTTTGTGCTTGGACCTTCATCATGGAGTACTAAACTTGCTACTGCTGCTCCATCAATTTTGTGCATAATGGACACAGCAGGACTAGCAATTGGTATAGTTGGGCGTAAAGTCTCTGTAATTGCAGTAATACCAACGCCACTGTTGGAAAATGACCTTGCAACATCTTCGGCTTTGACAATATTTGTGATGGCGACTGGAACATGTGTATTTGTACCGTCCCCACCAGTAACTATTCTCGTAATAGTTATTTCGTCGGCAGCATTCGCAACCACGGCCGAGTCACTTGCACACACAACAAGTAGTACAAAAATGTGGCTAGCCAATGTACTTAAAAGCATGATAGGTGAGTGTAAAGGTGTTGAGTTCACTGTGTCAGTCTATTTTATATCTTATAGCTCTGATTGCCATTACATATATATCCCTTAATACGCCCTTGCTACAAGTAAGCGCCTTTGGGATTAGGAGGTGCGAATCACTGACGTGGCTCAAATTCTTATATGCTGGTTACTTAAAGATTTGTGCATGAAGCCGAGTATTTGAAACGATAGTAAACTCTCAGATCATTGTCTTAAGCAACTAGTGCTATCAAATCTCAATCATTGCATTCCGGTAATAGTTAGCTATCTGACTCATTCCGACCATCCTACATAGGTTTTAACAGAACGTTCAACTTGGGAAGGTACTACTGCATTGTTTGTTTAGCAAAACATAAAGAGATCTGCAATTGGTTCAGAAATTTCTCCCTATTGATGATCTCTGGCATGGTTTCCTACATTGTTGTATGGATGCATCAATCACCCTCCAGGAGGTCGGCAACCTAAAATTTTTCCTCTATGCACTGTCCTTTGCAAACATTTTCAATTTCTGCGTGGCGAAAGACTTCGCCTACCAGAGCTTCCACTTGAAGCTCTGGCAGAACGTGGTCGCTCATTATTTTGGTAGCTCCGACATCTTTAACAATTCTATCTTTACAAAACAGGCTTACAGCCCCAAAGTCTATCTAATCATACTCTTGATAGCAATGCATAACGCATCAGTGCAAATGTTCTAGCTACCGTTTGTCGACGCATATAAATTCTATTGCAACATACAATTGAGCAGTCCCAACACTAGCACAAGAAAGAAATCAAGCTGACTTAAGCTCGCTCAATGGTTGAAATGACGAGATCTCTTTGACACATTCAATAGATGAGTGGGATCATTTGACTCATCATAATGCCATAAGTATGTCACCGTTTAAACGTCTTGGATAGCAAGCTGTTTCCTTTCCATTATTCAAGAATAAATTATCAATACAGGGTAACATTGAAAAGATGCCTCATTGTACGTATATGTTCTGAAGTGTATGTGGGCAACTCAGCTTTGGAATAAGGAGAGCAATATAGCATTGCGTTTTATACAACGCAGAATTATAACTCTCTTTTCGAACTGAATACAGTCAACGTGAGGCGAAGACAAGCTCAGGTGTTTAAGCAGTCTTGAAAGAAATCGTTGCGCAAGCTTGTATCCCAAACAACCTGCTCAATAATTCTCATTTATTTGACATTATACGACGTTCACTGCACAGTAGCGGAGCATTTCTCGGAACCCAGGTGGATGGCTGGAGAAAAAAAACTTATAACACTTTATCATGAGTCTGGTACAGCTTGAGTTCTCAAATCTGTTCAATAAAGTCCTTTTTATTGCATATGAAATGGCTAGAGAGCCTTAGCCAGTTTAAAAGTCTATTACTAGTCTATCTTGATCGCTCATAATGCCATCCAATGCATTATGAATCACAACCAATTTGCCTGCTATCAACATTTGCGGTCCATTGCCTTTGTTTATGCTACAAAAAACAAGATACTGCGTTGTCTGAAATGGTTTCGCATACACCTTCTTCACCACAAGTACGGATAATCCATTGCCCTGCATCACAAGTATAAAAATACGGTAGCACACCAGATTGAGCACATACTAGGTCTCCCTCGAGATTTGGAGTGCAAGGAACGGTTGGTGTCGGTATGTCTGTATTAGTCGTAGTTGTTGCAGCTTCTGTCATTGTTTCTGTTTCGGATTCGCTAGTACCACCAGGCTGCGATGAAGTCGCTACGGAACTTGAGTCAGTCCATTCAGTTGCACTATATGTGGACGCTGACGACGACGACGAAGAAGCTTGAATGGACGTAGAGGTGTCAACTGACGAAGTGGATACGAAGGAGGGAAGAAGGCCGTTAAGATTAACGATGGAACCGGCTCCCAAGCAGGGAATGTCGAAGGTGCTAGATCCAATTAAGATGGAAACCGAACGGGTAGCACATTCATTACCGTTGTGGCCACCTTTGCCACCTTTTCCACCCTCGTCCTCATCATCATAATCGTCGTCACTCTTGTCTTCGGACCAAAGTTGTTGAGGTTTGGCAGCCTTGGCATTACCTTGCTGAAGTTCATCGCTTTTCCCTAGAAATGAAGTAGCACCAACAGCGATATAGCCATACAAGCACAAAATTAGAATGGGAACGACTGCGCATATAAAAAATTTGTTAGAATGAATAGTAAATGATTGCTAATGCCTCAGGCTTTTACAGGTTTCTTTTATACCGAAATTTTAAAAACAAAGGATTCTATGAGATAGGGGGTAAATTAAAGATGTGCCAGTACATTTCCATTAAAAAGGTTTAAGTGGTGCCATTGCTTGCCAGTGCCAATTCGAGATCGAAAGACTTGATAACGACGCCACATGTAAGTTGATAGGACTACCTCGGCGCTGGTCTTATCTTTTTGAAGGGCATTGTTCTAACGAATCCAGTTCTCAGACGGAACGTTACAATGCAAAGTCTGCAATCCCTCCAAATCGTCAGCATTTCTTGGTGGATATTTGCAAGTTTTTTTGCAGCAGGGTTTACATTTTCTGTACAAATAAGCATGGCCATGAAAAAAAAATGTGTGTTAGATGTGAAATAACTACAGCCATATGGGAACATGAGCACAGATGTCATATATATTCAAAACGATAATGCCGTACGTTATTGAATCAAGAAATATGTAAAGCAGAAATTAAAAAGAATAGGAGGAAGTGAAAAGAGGTGTAAGAGTACAGAAGATAACGGAAAGGAAGAAGAAGATGCAAAGCGAACATTATGGGGAAGTTTCAGAAGGGGGGATAAAGGAACTTTAAGGAATCTTTTATTGCGAAAGGGTTACGAGCGTCAGCGAGTAACGCGTCGCAATAACATATACTAAAGTATTCTGCGCGCGAGCGAAGCGAGGAAGCCTCGTCGCACGGCAGAGTAAGAGATCGGAAGAGGGGAAGAGAGAAGGACAAGGAAAGTGTAGGTATGGAGAAGAAGAAAGAAAAGTATACGAAGAGATTGGAACTGAAAAGGAAAGATTAAAGTAGATCTGAAAATAGGAAACGAAAAAAAGAATAACAAGACAAGAAATATTTAAAAAACAGGGTTTAGGGTTTAGGGTTTAGGATTTAGGGTTTAGGCTTTAGGCTTTAGGCTTTAGG